TGGGGCTCCACACATTCGAATAGACATCCAAAAAAGGCAGTAAGCCATTAAAAATAAATCTGAAGTTCAAAACAGCCTATCTAAATGTAATTACATCGCGGCTTGCATCATTTTCTTTTTTTCTGTTCTCAAATAAACTCCAGAAGTTCAAATTTTCATCTGATGCGCACGTGGCAAGTGTCTGCCCATCAGGCGACAGAGCACTGAACAGCACTCTTCCAGAGTGTCCATTCAGAGTGCCTATCTTCCTCATGCTGCAGTATTTCCACACAGAAATGTTATTATCTGAGTAACCGTGTGTTGTGATTATTTCTTTGTATCTCTCGCTGAACAGAATGCTGCACACCTGTGATCCCGTGTCCAGAGTGTTCAAGCAAATGCCCTTATCCACGTCCCATGTGCGAATGCTCCTATCATTGGTTCCTCCACCGGTTGATAGTATGCCCTTCTTCCAGGGACACCAATTAATCGCTCTTACAGCTGCTGTGTGGTCAGTGAACTTCACGCGCGGCCTGCTATACCCTCCGCGCCAGATGCACACATTATTATCATTCGCCCCGCTCGCTAAATACATGCCCTCTGAGTCCCACTTCAGCCCGCACACTTCCTGCGTGTGGCTTATAAAGCTAGACACGTGCTCCCCTGCTCTGATATCATAGTTGAAAATGTTTCCATCTTTTGCGCCTGCAGATAGGACGCCTGCACCCCACGAAAGAGAAGAGACTCTGACAGATCTCTTAGGGAGCGTGCACACGCTCTTTGCCTGGTTCACATCAAACACTCCCGTATTCCCATCAGACATGCCAACTGCCAGGAGGCCAGAGTGCGAGAAGGAAAGGCTTGAAATGTGGTGGTCATCAGGAGCATCAACCAAATGAGAAACTGACTTGTTCTCTGCATTCCAGAGGTACAGCTGCTCTGATAGCCCCAGGGCTATTAAGTTGTCTTTACTCCAATCGAGCAAATTCAGGTAGTAATCGTTCAAAATAGAAGGAGCATCAAGGACTCTAAACGGGCTCGCAGGAAGAGGCCTTTTGGCCACTCTGTCTATGCGCGACTCTACGTGCAGTGGGCCTGTGTAGGCTATGGGCAACGGAAAACCAAGCGGCCTTTTTTGGTCTTCTATGCCGTATCTCTCAGATAGATTCTTTCTTCGTTTAATTCTGGCATACCGGGGCTCTTCTAGCATATCTGGGGAAATGTCCCAAAGATCATCCCCCCCTCGATGATCCATTGCAAAATAAAAAATAAACAAAGTTTATTCAGAATTTTCTTGTGGATGATAGAAGAAGTATTGAAACACGTGGTGGACTACACAGACGATCTAATGATGGATTTGCTGAAAGACGAAAGCAGCTTAGCCGACGCCATTGGCGAAATGTGCAAGGTATTCGCAGACATATTCACGAATAAAATTGGAAGGTCTCCAGAGAGTGTAAACATTTTTAGAAATTACTTTCTTACGCTAATTAAGTCTCCGGATATTTTTAATTTCAGCGGAGAGCAGAGAAACAACACGGTGGAAATACTGTACAATGAATGCGTTAGAAACAAGGTGTGCATTACGAGTCTGCTGGATGAAACTGAGGTGTCAGAGGAGATACTTGCGGTTCTTATGAGCACGATGTGCTGCCGCTCGGGAAACAAGAAGGCAAAAGAAAGAGAAATAGATGCACAGAAGAATATTTCCGCACACGAAAAGTTTTTATCGCTGAAGATAAGCCAGAAAGTCCTTAAAAAGCGAAGCATATGGGGGCTGGAGCCTGTGGATGATGCTGACAAGCTGAGCGCATGGGTCTATGCGCAGTGTGAGTTGAGCAGCCTGTTCAGGAAGCCAGACTATCCGTACATCCTTCGTCTGTGCCCGATGTACTTCGAAGCGATCCAGATAAACAGCGTGTACACGCAGTATCCAGAGTTTTTCAAAAAAACCCCAGCGGAAATAGAGGCATCAAGAGGGTCAATGGGCAGGATAATAGAGACAACATGCAACAAGCTTTTTGTGCTGATGAAGAGCCTTATCTTGAGCGACAAAACTATTAAAAAAAACTTTATTGAGTCTGTGTACACCATATACAAACAGAACAAAGATAGAGAGAAAACAAAATACAACCTGAAAACAGTGCTGTCAGACGATAAGATATTTACCATATCGAATATGCTGAGCAAGTTCATAGTGCCAATAGTGGGCGATGTAGAGAAGATGAAAAAAATACCGCTAGACCTTTTGCAGAACTGCAAGTATCTTAAGAACATAGAGTACACGGGAATTAACGGGGCTTTGGAAGGTGGCAAATCAAAGAACTTTGAAGAAGAGAGTTTTTTATCCCAGGTATTCTACGCTAAAATTCTGTTTAATCAGATATCGTATATACCGGTGTGCATAAACTACAATGAATATCAGACTGACATAGCGAGGAGCAATCGGGCTCTTTTGGTAGCACAGCCAGAAGAAAGAGAAAACTTGAAAAAAGTAATTTCTGTGCTGCAGTCGGAGTTTGAGTACGTACAAACCCTTTTGTCAGTGCAGAATATAGTCAAAATGGAAGAAACGGTGATAATGTATACAGTCTCCTTTTTGAACTCAGCCATAAACAGAGAGGACTTTTTCACGATGCCTACATTCATACTGGAGAGCACTCTTCTTATCCTGGAAAGACTGATTCACGTGCAGCAGGCATTTGGGAGACTAACCCCAACCGAGCTGAGAGTGGACGAAATACACAAAATATACAGATTGGCATCGCTAGTTCTGAAACAAAAAGGGGTAAACATAAACTACAAGCAAGAAGCCCTGCGTCTTCTATCGGCGTATGCAGAAAGTGCTCTGTACGTCCAGGGCACGGTTACCGCCATTGTTGGATACTGCATAGAGCTCCAATCAGAGATAAGAAATATAACGGAAAAACTCGAGGAAAGAGGAAGAATCGCATCGACTCTGAAGAGCCTTCTTGTGGATTACAAGGCAAAGCAGGAAATGCTCAACATACTTCAGCCAGCACACATTTCAACAAAAAAAGACCATATGGACACAAAAACAGTTTTTCTGCTCCACATGTCGTCTGCTCTGATCGATGCACAGGAAAGAGGATTTGACGAGCTCAGAAAAATATCGCAAGCAGAGAAAACACTGGAAAGTGCTGCAGAAGAGGACCGAATGGGAATAGAGAGCTCAATTGCTAATATGGTAGAAATATCCAACGGGTGCTTTTATGTCGTGCAGGTGATAGAAGAAATACTCTTTATCCTACTAGAACTGTGCCCATCTGCCTTCTTTTCTTCTCTCGTGGTCAACAGATTTGCGTCTATGCTAAACGCATCGATAATTTCCCTCGCAGGATCAAAAGCAAAAGAGCTAAAAATAAGGAAAAAAAACAGCAGCAGATTCTCGCCTGTGGAGCACCTGAGGGCTCGGCTGAAGATGTACATTGATCTGCGGAGTGCGAGCTTTGTGCGGGCTGTGGCGGAGGACAATGGAATGTTCAAGCCGCTTTTGTTTAAGAACGCAATCGACATATGCGAGAGAAAAGGATGTCTAACACAGAGCGAAAAAGCGTACTGTCTGCTATTTATCCAAACAGTGGAAAACCTGCAAAACCAAAAGAAAGATAGCACTGAGGACATCGAGTATCCGGAGGAGTTTGTGGATCCGCTCACTTATGGAATCATGAAAGACCCGGTGATTCTCAGGACCAGCAACACAAGGGTAGACAGATCCACTGCTGCAATGATTTTGATGAACGACCCTATAGATCCCTTTACGCGAAACAAACTAACGGAAGAGGACATAGTCACCGACTTGGAGCTGAAAGAGAAGATTGACCAGTTTTTAATTAAAATTCAGCTTGAAAAATAAAAACCCATGCGTTTACATTTTATTATTTTACTGCCAGTAATATTTTACTATCCTTATACTTTGGGTTTTATTTGCAAATATTTTCATTGTTAATGGAAGAGCACGATGTATTTTTGGACACACAGGAGGACTCTCTTCTTCTTCAGTACCCGCTAAACACTGAACTGCCGTCCTTAGTGGAGATAAAAACAAAATCAGAAGACACATTTGCTGAGACCAAGGCAGAGACATCTGCTGGACAAATCAGCTACAGATCAGTTGAGTCCAGCACAATAAACAAGTACTTCATACTCTCGGTGGGCGAGGAGATAACAGGAGTGCCAGTGAAAAAAATATTCCAGCTAAGACCTTTTCTGCCAGAAACAGACGAGATTCTGAAGAAGATGGACAAAAAAGAAACAAAAGTGTTTGCAATGAATGAAACACAGGAAGAGTTTGAAAACAGAATGAAGAACCCAAACTATGTCGTTGAAAAAGTGAATAAAATGCCATGGAAAAACTACCAGATAAACAAAGAAACTGCCGCAGAAAGCATGCCGCAGCAGCTAAAAGCAGAAATGGCCAGGGGAGCACCAATAAAACACTCGCACTACAAAGAAGCACATACTCCCATGGAAAAGATCAAAGAAACCATCTACAATGCAAGAGTGGTGAATATGAGCGAGCTAGCAAGGGTCTATCCAACGGTTCCCATGTCAGACATAAGCCAGGCAGTCTCTGAAATGACAATAGAGTTCCTCGACAGATACGTGCTAAAGCCAGAGTACTTTAACGATCTTGCTCCCATGCTTATAAATATACTAAACAGAATGAAAAACACAGGGGGCGTGCTGACTCTGACAAAGGAAGAAATTATAAACTCGTCAGAGGAGTTCAACTACGTACTAAGCCAAGTATCGCACAAAGAAGCCCACTACTACAGATTAAAAGGGTACTTTGAATGATGCAAAAAGATCTTCCAAGAGAATGATAGATTAAATAAATAGAAAATAGATGAAATGGTAAGATAATTAGAGATTGCTTCGTTGGTTAAACCTTTTTACTGCAGATGTACTGCAAAAGTTTATTGCTCTCCTCATGCACACATTCTTACTTTTAGTCCATCATCTGCACATGGTTCAAATGAACATTGTTAAAAGAAATAAAAAGTAGTAAACAGCTATGAGTGTACACTATTGTAATTCTCACTCTTCAGAAGATACCTTCATCTTGTCTAGGAGCGAGAGATAATAAAAGATTATTTGGCTTTTCCAGAGAATATAATTGCAACATAGCCCAAGAATATTCCAGCAGAACTACTTTCTTTTCTTTCCTAAAGTTTAAAATTCATTTGGAGAGAGTTTGTAATTTTATTTTTGCAAATTAGTTTGTTCTCGGAGAGTAATAATGGCTTTGTAATTGCATTATTATAAATATAAAATTGGCGTAAAATATTTTTACTAATGAATAGAAGCCAAAGGCTCATGTCTTTATTTGAATCGCTACTGGAAACAGAAAAGAGGCTGGATCAAGTCATTACGCAAAAGAAAATGGCAGTTGAGGAGGCGCATTTTAAAAAAATAAAGAAGCTGTGCACTGTGAGAATCCACATATTTCTGGAGAGAACAACAGAAGATACGCTCTTTGTTCTCATCGGAGGGAAGGTCAGATCAGAGCCGGATGAAGCTGCAGAAGAAGAGGCGCCAGAAACCAAGTCAATAGGAACAATCATCAACAAACTGTTCGTAGAGCTAAATAGAGGAGAAGAGAGCTCCAAAGAGATCACAAACAGCGCGATATCAATGGAAGTATCGCATGATGCGTACAGCGCAGTAAACAGGAACAGAGTAGAGCTGTCGCACAGTGAGAATGAAGCCTTCTTCGAATGGCACAACAGATCACCGCCATCAGATGTCTCTGAGTTTGAGATAAAAACAACGGCCAAATCAACACACGGAAGGATATACATCAGCTTCATGAGCTACACGGGAGTGTACGAGCTGTGCACAGAGCTGGCACAGCACATTGGGATAATAAGAGGGTCTAAGTCATCGATACTCCTTGGAATATGGAAGTACATCACTGCACAGAAGATGAGAGATCCATCGAAGCAAAAGAGCATTATATGCAATGACGTGTTCAAGAAGGCCTTTGGTCAAGAAGAAATAACATTCTCAGAAATCATCCAAAAGCTAGACCAGTATTTATCGCCCGTTGAAATGATTAATTTTGATTTTGCAATTCCCACACAGCCAGGCACAAAGACACAGCTAGCATACGATATCAAAACAGAACTAGACCCAATGAACAGAGAGTATGCATACTCAAACAACAACAAGATAGCCATACAGAATAAGAAGATAGAGGACATTCTTATAAGGATAGAAAAGCAGGACGAAAAGATAGAGTCGCTCGATAAGTTCATCCAGAGCCCAAAAGAGTACATCTCCAACTGGATTCTAGACAGCTCGAAGGACTTGCATCTGATCGCAGACGATCTCTTTGACATAAGCGATGGATTTTATACCCAGAAGGAAATACAAGAAAGTGTATATCAGCTGCTACAGAATTATAAGTGATCACTCATTAAATGGTAAATATTAGTTTTATGTTCCTTTTTCTTTTCGTTCTGCATGCTCATCTATCCGTAAATATCCATAGATATCCATAGCCCAAGAATATCTATGCTGCAAAAACAGCGAATCTCCTTTTTAATCAGTACTTGTCTATTCTATCTGATCATAAAAAGCTCTCTGCTAATTTTCAGTACATTTAACAAATTTATTCTGAGCAGCCCGTGAATACTACAGCCAATGGCTTAAATAAGAGAAAGATGGGTATAGGCCATAGCACTCTTATGCAAAGCAGCAGCATGAATAAAAAAGCCTCTGTGTATAAATACTGTACTTTAAATCGGTTGTATTTTATTTCTAGTTTGGACCGCAGATATCCAGTGGTATCTTTTCTAAATTCGCTCAAACTGGAACTCAGCCTGGTTGTCTTCAGCCTCTTGTTTGAAGTTCTCGGGGATCAGATTGTTCTCTCTCAGGATTTTGATTTCAGAAGGGAAGTATTTCTTACAGATGTACCCCGTGTCTTTCTGGTCGTCTGTCAGGGAGACCAGAACTATGTCGTTGGCCTGGACCCACACAGACTTGTGCATGCTTCCTCTGAGGACGCACTTTCTCGAAATAGCATCAACGCACAGCACCTCAAAGCGAGAAGAGCCCAGGGCACACACCACCTGTCCATAGATGGTTTTTTCTGCTTCGTCCATAAACACCATGGGCTGGTTTGAGCTATTTTTCCGTTTTCCGCCGCTTTTTCTCTTTCCCTTCATTATGAAAATTTTTACTCCATTTATTTTTGGGTTTTCTTTCTCTTATGAAAAAGACAAATATAAGCGCATACACAAAAGACTTCTTTATCGAGGTAGTGTGGTTCTGGAGCAGCGTAGGGTTTATCCTTACGTACATACTGACGGGCGTAAAAACCACCACAGGGTTTGGAATTAATAGAAAATTTCTGCACGTTGTCAGCTGTCTGTGTCTTATAGCCACGTACGCGTCCTGCATATTCTTTAAGAGCTCGGCAATAAACATCCAAAAGCTGCTAAAAGACGGAAACTTCAGATGCCTGCTTGTTGCCTGCTCGCTGCTTGGAGTAAGCGGCATGCTCATCCCCATGCTTCCCTTCCTGCTGATGTCTTCGCTGTCCGTTGCCAACTACATCATAAAAAACAAAGGAAAATTCGACAAAACAGCTGCGATGCAGACGTCTTTAAATCTTATCGCGCAGAGAGATCAGATTATGCTGGTTGCACTGAAGATAGAAGTGCTATCGCTTCCTCTGCTCTTTTTGCACTTAATCCTTGGAACTGCTGATCTTTTTGTGATAGTAAGCTATGCAAGCATGGTGTGGTTTGAGTACACAACAAATCCATGCATGAAAAAGGCTGCGCACGAGATAGTTGGGTCAATGGATAAGATCGCTGCATCCCCGAGCATCCCCCACGCAGCTAGACAGAGGTACTACCAGGCCAAAAAGTACATTGCATCTAGGCTGCCCATCCCCGTGGAGCACACAAAGACTGCAAGTAGTCAATAAAAGTTAATCAGAATTAAAACATTTCAAATGACACAATCCTATGCTATTTTAATCCACCAAATAAAGAAGGTACAAAGAGCTATTAAAAGACAAAGAGTAACTGCCAGTGGAATAGTACTGTCTCTTAGTCCGAGTCTTATTGCTTCAATGCTATGGGATTACATTCAGTGATTTTAATAAATTTTATCTTAGACTTTATTTTAGTTCGAGCTAGTGAAAGCAGCTCTTTACTTCTCTGCTTTTGATGCGAAACCAGCTCGAAGATGCTATCTATTCTAAGGAGTAGGCGGGTATTAGTAAACGATTCTATGATCTATGTTTAGTAGCATTGCTAGCCGCTCATTTGGTAGCTATAAATAAAAATAATTCTAACTCAGCTAACAATATACCTCTTTTATTATAGATTGTAAACATACTATTTATTTTCAATATTATTGTAGTCTTTTGTAGCAGTCGTATCTTTGCACTTCTCTTACTGTGTATTGCATCCTGGGTGTGTACTCTCTTTCAACTACAACCACAACTAGACTGGAGGTGTGATAGCTACCTCCACTACTACTACTATTGCTTCTACTTGTGACACTATTTTTTTTTGAAGCCATGAGAGAATGCGTGCGCTACTAAAGACAAACTCTTTATATACTTTGAATTTGTGATTTGATTACAAAGAATCCGATGATATTCACTATCATTATGACAAATTAGAAATAATATTATTGGTTTAGCACTGCTAAACCATAACCTTTTTGGGATATATTACCACGGAGACTCTACGAGATAATATGAAATGCCAATATAACTCCGAATGGAATAATTTGTTGTCTATTTGATTTTTTTGTTTGTAAAAGAGTGTTCTGAGCCAGTAAAATAAAATGCAATTGCTAATTCTACCCGTGCAAACCAGCCTTTTTTGGGATAGATTGCTGGCATAAATAGTATGGCTTCATGAAGTGAAAATATACTTCTTTTTGGCGAGATGGAATACCACTATATAACTTTCAATAAATAGCCAATGTTCGTTTATAATTTCAGAGAAAAACAGCTGCAATGCTCTAGTGACTAGATGCTCCATGTGAATCTTTGCAAAGTTTTATCTCTTCGACTAGCAGTGAACTCTTAGTACAACTACTCTTTTATCTTTTCACTTTGCCTGCTGAACGAAAGAATATCAAAATACCATTAGTGTACCAAATAATAAAACGCAAGAGGATTTTTTTTCAAAGAAGAAATAACACCATGCAACAAAATAAGTTACGAGAAATAGAAAAAATGCACATGCACTCAGACACTCTCCCTGCCATAAACAGCAGCAATGCTCACTTGCACTGCGCACGGCAGGAGACTATTTCTTTAGATAGCACAGCACTGAAAGATTCAGTTACCATATACTATTTCAAAGGAGGGTTTATTTTCATACCAAACCCTCTGCGAGCACAGGTGAAGAATGCGATAGTAAAAACAGTTCTTACCGAGCTATTGTACCCTCCCTATAAAAACAGCATAGACAGATCGTTGGACATAGAAAATGCAGATATTTACAAGGCATACCTGGAAAAGAAAGAGCTGCAGATAAAGCTCATAGATGCGCCAAAAGCAAATATAAAAATTCGGCAAGATCCATACGCATCGCAGGAGGAAAAAGACATCTACAACTCAGGAATAATAAAAATAAAGCCAGAAGAGCTAATTAAAAAAATAAGATGGAGCAGCATCGGGATATACTACGACTGGGAGCTGAAGGCGTACGACAAGTCAATTGTGTCAGAGATCCCACATGTGATACTCGAGACAAGCAAAGAGATTTCCGAGAAAATTTGCAAAGTCAGCTTCACGCCAGAAACAGCAGTTATAAACTACTACCAGGAAAAAGACAGAATCATGAGCCACATCGACAGATACGAAGAGGACATGAGCAAGCCTCTTATTTCCTACAGCTTTGGATGCTCCTGTGTCTTTGTGCTTGGAAAAAAAGAAAGAACAGATCCGAGCGTAGACACTTTTTTACTGGAAGATGGAGATATTGCGATTTTGATGGACGAATCACGCGAGTATCTGCACGGAGTCCCAAAGATACTCAAAAACAACGCGGGAATGAAGGACTATGCAGACACAGACTACTCCAGCCTCATTTCCAGCTCGCGAATCAACATAAGCATACGGCAGGCCTATAAATACGAAGACGCATAGTTTTCTTTTAGAAATTTTATGGACATCGAGTTGAAGGCAGGATGCGAGCTAAGAATAGAAATACCACCGAATACAAAGGCAAAGTTTGTCCTAGCTGAAAATACAGCCGAGATATCTGGGCAGGAGCTGCTGCTCGGCAAGTGGTATACGGTGAAAGAAGAACAGTTCTTTATTTTCACATACACGGGGTGCAAAATAAAACTAGCAGCTAGCAACGCATTTTACTACATTTCTGAGGAGACAAACATTCCGTACATCTTTAACGTCTTTCACTATTTACACAAAAATAACAGAAAGAAGCTGCTGATTGTGGGCAGTGGCAGATCAACCTGTGCAAATATTTTAACAAACTATTTTATCAGAAAGGGAAAAAAAGTGATGTATACGGACCTAGATATATACAGCGGCACACTGCTCTTCCCTGGGAACATTACAAATGCAATAATTCAAGAGCCTTTCAGCCCCATTGAGCTAGCTACTGTAAATGATAAACTGGCGTACTTTTGCGGATCTCTTAGCGCGAGCGATAACACAGATTTGTACAATCTGCTTCTACACGAGGTCTTGGCCACCGGAAAACAGAAGAGCTACCAGGGCGTGTCTATAATCATCGGGCACAAAGAAATCACAAAAAAAGAGGTCACTGATCTGCTGGCCATGTGCGACTCTGAATATTTTGTGCTCGTGGTGGGAGATGAAAAGTTTTTCAACCAAATTTCTACTGAGAACAAGATATACATTCCACGGTTCCCAGGGCTAGTAGAGAGAAACACAGAGCAAAGAAGAAAGCAGATATCCAGCAGAATAAAAACCTATTTCTACGGAGAACAGGAGGAGTACAGCCCCTGCACAATATCCATCAGACTGACAGAGAAAGATACAGTGCAGAAAAACGAGTACAAAATAGTTCAGGTAGGAGACGAGTACATGGCTCCGATGTCAGCACTTCCGCTGGGCTCGGCAAAAAGGAAGGTGTCCACAGCGGTTCTCCATTGCTCGCCAGTGGAAGGATCTGTGCTGGCTGTTTCATCAGCAGAAAAAATAGAAGACGTTCCAACATCTCCTGTGATAGGGTATCTCATTGTGCTGGAAGTGATATCTGAATCAGAGATAAAGGTAATCTGTCCGCAGCCAAAGTCGCCGAATAAGCCGTTCTTAATCCAGGGAAAGATAAGAATGATGAACTAGCCAATAAATAAAAGTATCAAGTAAAGTACCAACTAGATCTACCACTTCACATTCCACTCTATTGTTCTAAAAGTGCATTTTCGCTGAACTGCTACTGATTAAAGAAAAAGAGCAGAATGGTCGAATACACTATACTTGATAAAGATCTTTGATCAACTTCAATGCAGCATAATATTCACTGCACAATAGAGCTTTTTTATTTGAGATAACAATGAATATACCAGGTATAAAGTGAGATTGGCAATGCCATACGATCTCTGTAATAGTTGGATCACATATTCGCCTCTTCAATTACCGAGTTATTTGTGCCAGTAGGCCAGCTATTATTTGTTCAAGGCTTTGCATTATTGGGTGTAGGGAAAGAGAATAAAATTTATTCTTATATTTTTTCTTGCTCTGTTTATAGTTGCAGAATGGATGAATTTCGTGAAAACTTAAAGATAGCAGAAGGCATGGAAGAAGAGATCGCCCGCATCAACAAAATCCAGGAAGAAATAGATAGAGTAAACAAAGAGATAGGCGAGCTGCAGAAGAAAGAGAAAGAAATAAAAACACAGCCAGATAGAATAGAGGCGTACAAAAAAAGACTGGCGAAGCTGCAGGAAGAAATCGAAAAACAAAACGCAATAACAAAAAAAATAGAAACACCAGACGAAATTCTAAAGCTGTCCAAGATGGTAAGCCAGAAAGAGCTGGCAACAAAGGTGCTCGAGTATTTCAACACGCTCTACAGCGAAAAGAGCACAGTACTGAGCATAAACCAGGTCAAGATCAAAGTAAACTACATTGAGATATCACTGGTGTACAATGAGCTACTGCAAACAGTCAACAGTCTGCTTCCATCGCACTCGAATGTCTACATAAAGACCGTGTCAAAGCTAGTCTCCGATTACATTCTGCTGTACAGCACTGCAATAAGTGCCATAGCTGATAATGCACTGATTATAATAACGTATGCAGTGAGCAAAAAAACAGAGCTGTCTGAGAGCGAGATACAGGAGAAGATAGTGGGCGATCTGCTCAAAGAGAGCAAAGAGTCTGTCGAAAACCTTACAGACAAAAAACTGTACGAAAACATTTCCAAGCTGGCAGTCTACGAAGACATACTGGTAGAAGTAAAAAAAAGAATACAAGCTGATTTGCTCAAAATATCTTTAAAACAGCTGAATAGGTACAACAACGAGGTGTTCTATGGGACCATATACCACATTGAAGACATAGACAAATGGATGTGTGATAATTTAGTGATAAAGATAGACGAGCCCGCAGAGAGCGTGCAAATAACAGAGTCCGAACAAAGAGAGATATTCAGCGGAAAGGCTGCACAGCACAACTCGGTTCTTGATCTACTCGCAGAGAGCATGAAAAAACAAAAGATCTCGAAGATATCAAAAGGATTCCACAGGATAGTGAAAATAATCAGGAACATAGAGCACACCGAAAGATCAAAGAACGAAAAAATACACCCCGTGATTGTAGAAAAAATACATAAATTCTTTAAAAGGCCGTCTGAGAAAGTTGGCGTAGAGGGCGTTCTAAGCGCATCCCTACGGCTTGCAGATGCACAAGCCATGCTAGGAATAATAATGCTGTCCAAAGACAAAAAGAGCGCAGAAACAGGAGCCAATCACATATCCAGAATGCTTGGACAGATCGAAGAGCATTTTATCGATGTGGTGGAGGAGGCATTTGCTGACATAATATCTTGTTCCGAAGCAGGAAGCATCAATTTCCTAAACAGGAATGTCCTGGATAAGATAGAAAATGCAAACAATGACTTTATAGAAACAACGACAGACATATTCACTGATACATTCCTAGCGCACATTAAAACCATGTTCTATAGCAGGCTGCTGAGCAGTGCATACCATGCGGTGGAGACAACTCTCGAAGATCTTCCAGCAGAAGACTGGAAAAACATTCTTTCTCTTTTGTTGCGAATAGTCAAACCGCACAAGCAGTTTATAGACTACTATCCTTACATTGAAGCAATCTACCGCATTCTGCTATTTGATGGATCAGCCACAGAGTTTCTCAAGGCGTACAATGAAACCGGTTTTCCTCTGCCTAATGATCTGATTCAAGAGCTGGTTGTGTACTCATTTAAAGACCCAAGGGTGGCCCGAAACGTTCTAAACAATCTTGAAAAACAGCAGAAGAAAGAATAGGCATTGCAATGCGTTCTCACTTATTCACTCCTATGCACTCTGTACCACTAAATATTTCATCAAGTGCAGACTGAGACATAAAAGTTTTCCATCTTCTGAAAATGCAAACTACTGTATCTCTCACACCCACAATTGTAACATTGAAATATGCTGGCTGTAAGCTAAGTATGAATGCATGCTCAAAAGATCTATCGCATCTAATGCCTGCACAGCTACTCCCTATCTTACATCCAAGATGCTAACTGTCTCAAACTAATAAACACTTATCTTATGCCCAAACGAGAACATACGTCATTTTATTTTTGCCACTCATTTGGCCTCAATTGAATTTTATTTTTATGTTCTGGTGCAGTAGTAATCACTCGTCTATGACTCTTCTACTACACCGCTACGCCACGCCGATTCTTCTTCTGTAGACTCTTTATAGGCTCTGTTTCTTTGTGCAATGAAAGATCGGGCACTTTCAGGCCATTTGGAGCAGCCACTAATTATCTGTCTGCTTTTTAACTAACTGCTTTTTTATTTTTATTTGCAAAATTTGCCCCCCAGTAAATAATGTCATTTGAAGTAGCAAGAGACCACAAAGCCCACATGAAGAGAATGAGGCTTTCTTTAAGAAGAAGAAGAGAGGGAAAAACAGATTACCAGCAAAGACACAACCTAATACGCCACAATAAAAGCAACTACGGCGAGGTTAAATCGCGATTTGTTGTGAGAATAACCAGCAGCAAGGTCATCTGCCAGATAATCCAGGCATACTCCATCGGCGACAAAGTAGTCTGTGCAGCAGACTCATCTGAGCTGAAGAAGTACGGAATCACCTTCGGCCTGAAGAACTACTCTGCAGCCTACGCAACAGGCTTCCTCTGCGCTAGAAAGATGCTTACCAAGCTTGGGCTCGCAAACGAGTACACAGGAAAGGAAGAGCTAGACGGCGAAGTGTACCTTGAGGAGGACAACGAGGAGGGCCCAAAGGCGTTCCGATGCTACTTGGACCTTGGCCTGGCCAGAGCCACAAAAGGCGCCAAGGTGTTCTCAGCTATGAAGGGAGCATGCGACGGCGGACTGTACATTCCCCACTCCCCAAGCAAATTTGCAGGATTCAGCACCGAGGACAAGGAGCTGGACGCAGAGGCCCTCAAGGAGAGAATCTTTGGAGGACACGTTGCAAACTACATGAGAGAGCTGGAAGAGAGCGACAACGAAGCATACCAGGCAAGATTTGCTGATTATATTAAGAACGGGATAACTGCTGACTCAATCGAGCAGAAGTACGCAGAGGCCTTTGACCTAATCAGAAAAGACACCTTCGAGAAGACCAAGAGAACCACCCCCATTGACAGATCGCCATACCAGCACAAGCCAAGAAAGCTGACCAACGCAGAGAGAAAGGAAAGAGCACAGGCCAAGTTCCAGCTGCTTGCTGGAGAAGTAGAAGCCGAGAACTAAGCATCTTCTGAACAGAATGGAGTTATAACGGTTTAAAATAAAAACTTATAGTTGATTATCGTGTTTATTGCAGTGCTTTCTTCTGGTTCTTACGACAGAATGTTTTACAATGAGAATGCTCGCAGCTGGGAGAGAATTGGGCTGCTAAATTTTTGCGCCAGAACTTTTCAGCAATAAATTATTTACTTTATATAACACTTTTACTATATCGGGTAGATCTCTACTTTCTGCCTGCTCGCTTCTTACTTATTTATGGCTTCGAGTATTTTGCTCTCGCTGAAATACTTTCTGGCTGCCAGAACTATCTCTGTGATTTCGCTTCCAAACACTCTGAATGCTTCGTTCAAGTGCTCGCTGTCGATGTTTCTTGTTTTTGGGTCTTTAAGAACCGACAGCATTGCCTCGTATGAGTACGCGAGCACATGGAGGTTGATTATTCTTGTGAGATCTTCGTACTTGTGGCCAAAAGGTATGCGCATCTCCTGCATGCACGCCTCTGCAAATCTGTATATGTACATCGGCAGCTCGCTTCCTCTGAACCCAAGGTTTTTTATCTCTTGGAAGAGAGTCTTTTCAATCTCCTGCACTTTTTTCAAGTCTATGAGCCCGGGCGCAATTAGAAATTGCTGTGACACTATGCTGTTCTTTGTCATTTTGAGATAGGCTGATATCTCCGGGCTGTTGAGTATCCTGTCAGACTCGCTGCTAAAGAAGCTATCCTTCACCTGGCTGAGCATCGTGTTTATGCCCTTTTTTACAGCATCTTTTGTCGCGTGAGATATTTCCAGCTTTTCCAGCTGGTATGTGCTGATGATGCTGATAACCACCAGGAAGCAATAAAAAAGATTCATGACCTCTGGTCTTTTCAGCATTGTAAAGATGTCTTTGGTGCCTTTGAGTATATTTGCATGGTACTTCTCCAAAGACGGTTTTTCTGCTGGGACATCTGAAGCTATCTTGGTTTGCAGAGGCGGTTTATTTGCAGAGTCGTATATATACGGCTTATTTTTCACCCACACATCGCCAAATAAGTACCTGAATGTTCCATCTTTGTTCTCGCCCAGAGGAGGATGCATGGAGCTTTCTGCCTCTTCGCTGTACTCTGAATCAGCTACTTCCCGCCCAAAGACGAGAGGGTTGCACTGCAGCAAAAGCTCTTCGCTGCTTTCATCGTCTTTTTTGTGTTTTTTGATCACTATCTTCTTCTCTTTTTCCAGACTGCACTCACTAGCATACTTTAGCACACTGTTTGCATCTCCAGAGAATATTACGCTGCTTGGACTTCTCTCTACTTCTCTATCGATCACTGATGTGCTCTCTGCGCTGTTTTTTCCTGAATACAGGCTCTTGCCTTCTTCGAATGGACTATACACACTGTTTGCAAAAGACCTGGCTATACACAAAACAAAGACACCTGATAGTTTTGTTTTCCACTTCATCTGACCGCGCATACACATCGTAAATATTGCGAATAGTAAATTACAAGATGCAATAAAACACAAACAAATTAAGCGGGCTTTTAAAAATTCACTCTCTACCAAAGACCCTCCTCTGCGGCAAAAATCCACACACTCTGCACTTTCTTTTTATGCGCTCATTTTTACTTTTGCGCATTTGTCTCAAAGGTCTCCAACAAATTTTGCTTGAAACCATTTTAATATATTTATTCTATTTTTGCAGCCCATGTAAAATGAAGATACTCTATTGACGGGCGGTCTGAAGGTAATGTAGAATGTCAATGAATCTGATTACATTTATTATTTAATCTCTTTTTATTATCTATCTCATGCAATGGCAATGATTATGAAGCACATGTAAACCAAAAATATTGGATAGCCTATGAGCACCCCCCTATTTTCAATTTTAAACCGCCCAACTATCTCGCTCGAAGAAACAAAAGTTGACCAGACAGAAAAGACTCCTCCAACGAGCAGCTTAGCCACCTTTCCTCCCGGGATAAAGTTGCTGGAGAGCGCGAATATAAGCACAGGAATGAGCGAGTAGCCCAAAGTGTTGGCAATGCCCACGGCGCTCACAGGATTGCTGTTCATCAAGATGGTGATCCCGTATATGAATACGCAGCTGAGAATTGACAGACAGTACAGATACCCAAAATGGACACGCCCTCGAACGATCAGAATGGCACCAAATAGAACTAAAAATAAAATTGGGCCTATCATATCGTCCGTTTCTTTGTGTTCTTTGCTTTTGACAAAGAGAATGCGGAGGGAGTCCTTCTTTATCGAGCCAAAGTCTATCCCCAGGTCATCGAGCAGAGGCCTGTCGCCCTCTTTGTATCCGATAAGAGCATTCTTTATGTTTCTGCGCAATTCAGAATTAATCATACACGAAAAAAAACAAAAAAATATGAGAGAAGATGAAGGAGATCCAATGGATACAGAAAGCGAAGAAATAGAGGTCTACAAAGAGCCAGCAGCTGCGGAGATGGTCGATTTAACAGAAGATGAGCTAATGAGGTACGTAAAATTCAGGAGAACAGGGTTTAACAAGGGCGGAATTCGAAAGTTTGTCAGCCAAGTTTTGGAGCAGACATGCAACCCGAATTTCTCGATTGTGCTGAGCGGAATAGCAAAGGTGTTTGTCTCGGAAATGGTTGAAGAGGCAAAAGAAGTGCAGGAGCAGTGGGGAGACGCAGAAGAGCTCCTGCCCTCGCACATACACGAAGCGTACAGGCGCCTCTGCAAGAAGCTGCCAAATATGAATTGAGAATATATCAGCAAATTAAATTATTATGTGGATTGAGGTGTACACTGAAGAGAGCTACAAAATAGAAAAAAGAATAGAAAATGCGCCAGAAGAGAAAGACAGCACAAGCGCAAACGAAAGCGAAAACGAGGGCTGTGGAGAGTATTATTCGCCCAGAGAGTACGTAATAAATGCGATGGTAGGAAGGTACAGGCTGCTAGATAAAATAACAGGAGATGTACTGTGTGGGAGCTGGTCATTCAATAAATTGCTGCAATGGATAGAAGAGGGTCTACCTGATCTTTTCGAGAGCGTAGCATTTGGCCTGAACATTGGAAGCTATATTAAGTCGTATGAAGGAGAGCACTCTGTGGTAATACTAGGAAGTAATGGGATGGGAGTATTTTCTTCTGAAGACCACAGGATAATTCAGTATGCAAATATCAGAAAAATAGAAGTAGGAAAACTCATGACCATCCACATGCTGCCGGAGGTAGTGGAAAATGGAGCAGGAATGAACAGCCCGCAGTGCAATGAATATGAAAAAGAAAGCTTTGAGATTTTCCAAGATTTGGAGAAAGAAATCATCACTCTGTCAGTCTCTCCGATAGAAGAGGGCGGCTCAGTGCGAAATCTGCTGTTTCGCAGAATATCAGAGAGAATTTGTGCAACCATTCCACTGTACAACCAGAAAATAAACCATGTGGCGGTGCATGAGACCGGAACCATCTCTCTAACCGACAATTTTATAATTATCAAAGAAGATTTAAGGTATTTAGCCATGCCGCTGTGCATGATCCGAAAAGTAGAGGTGGTTAGAGAGTGGAAAACTGTGCTCAAAATTAGGGATGCAAATTACAGAAATTTTGAGCTCATTTTAGAGGACAGTGGGACTGGCATTGATAAAGTTCTTGCAAACATCTCAAAAGAGTCGCCTGCCTTCAAAAGCGCATACTTTTCTGTTCTGCTGGATATAGTGGAGAATATGCACTTCTACAGCCAGCACACACAATCCGCTAGCAACTGGTCGATGGGGAGCACATCAGAGTACAGAATGTATCTGTGCATGAAGCTCAAGGACAATCTGAACTTGGCTATTCCCAAAGAGGAAAGGCCGTTTATGTGGATGGGCTGCTTTTGTCTGTGCGGAATGGTGGCCCAACCTGATTTGTATGAACTGTCAATTGAAAAATCAAAAAAAGTATTTTACCAGTCATATTCGCAGATAGACAAGGACATTGAAAGGTCGATATATGGCGAGATTCCAGAAAAGACGCTTGCAGGGTTTAAGAGAGTGATGTATGCATTTGCAGCAGCAAACAACGACGAGTATCTGCAGTCACACTCCATGGTGGCAGGCGTTCTTTTCCGAGTGCTTGGCGAGAGCGGGTGCTTCTATGGCCTCATTCACATTTTCACACGAACGCTCCCAGGGTACACAGGCCCCGACATATACGGGATGCACAGGGACATTTGGGTATTTATTGAATTTGCAAAGGAAAAGTATCCGGGGCTGCACGAAAACCTTACTGAAAAATCGATTGAAATGGAAATACTGGTCACTCCCTGGATTCTTGGCCTGTTTACAACGCTGTTTCTCCAGCCGCAAATAGAGAGCATATTCGACTACATTGCATACTACGGCGCGAGTTTCGTGTTTAAACTTTCTCTGGCTCTTCTTGAAAGAATGTACTTGGGGCTATCAAGATCAAAAGCAACAGGGTCTATATTAAAAACATCAAAGAACTACTTTTTCAAGAACACAAGCATGCCTTCGATTGACTCTAAAGAGTTTGGCACACTTATGTCTTTGGCCAAATCAGATAAGCTGGTTACTTCTGAAATAGTTCTTTACAAAAGACAGCAGTACGAGCTGCTCCACAGGAAGAACAAAGAAGATCTCCTGAAATAAATAAAGGCATATTAAACTACCTGCTACTCTTTTATTGCTAAAATAAATCTCAATATAAAGTTTACTAGAGTTATTGGAAGTGTGTGTACTAGGAATTTATTTAAAATAAAATTATTATTCTCTACACGTAATAGTAACACATTTAAAACTTTGCACTCTAGATAAATAATTTAAAATAATGCGATTATAGAATTTAGACAATGGTAGATGGAAAAGACATAGACAATCTTGATTTAATAGTGACAAAAACAACTCGAACAACACGATGGGAGCTAGAAAGTGCAGTGATATTCGTGGTACAATAGGCTTAGTCAATCGATCTACTTTTACTGTTAAATGATAATTTATTCTATGCGTGGGCTTCTTTTGCTGCTTTAGTCTTTACTAGATCTTTCCAGGCAGAGCTCTCTTCTATTTCCTTATATATCTCTTCTACAGGCTTTGACTTCCTGTCTTTTACCGTCTCTATTCTTATTATGCTGTCTATCTCTTCGCTGTCTTCGCATATGTTCTCTATTACCTCATTGTATATCACTTCCATTATCTCCACCTGTATGTTTTCGTCTGCTTTTATCTTGTTGTATCCTCTCTTGTCATATCTCTCGCTAAGCACATACGTGTCAGCAGATAGGACAATAATTGCATCAAATCTAATGAAAGAGACTGATTCTGGGTCGTGGGTGTCAAATATATAGCTCTCTCCCTTTTTCAGCTTTTTTCTCAAGTACTTCTCCACTTTCTCTGGGTCGTATTCAAGTGTATCATACTTTGCGCATCTGTTGCTGTACAATTTCTTCTTTTCTATCAAATCGCTTAGACTGATCATTTTGCACCCCAGCACTTTCTTCATGTGCTTAGATAAGGTGGTTTTTCCCACGCCGGGCGTGCCGGTTACAAGTATTTTGTAGCTCATTGGTTATTTTTCCCACAAAAAAATACAAAAGAAATGCGATTTATGCAAAGCATGGAAGTAAAAAACAAGGAAGAGCAATTAGCGATAATAAAAAGCTCAATCAACAGATTAATAAGCAGGCCTGAAGAGAGCAACTGCTACGACACATTCATGAAGGGGTATAATGCAGTGTATCTGTACTGCACAGAAAACACAAAAGAGAGCTACATAATTGAAGGAGCCGAGGTGTACAAAATATACGACCAGGCGTTGACAAACCATCTTAAAAGGCTGCCAGAAGACTACACCTTGGAAACTTTTGTGCGCTTTGTGGATGCATATATCCGCGCCAATGAAAGAGTCTGCAAAATGCTGACATTCCTTAGCCGGTACTTCGTGCGCGTAAATGTTGAAATATCGAACACAAATGTTATAGAGCTGAAAAAACTGTACTTTGAAAGACTTTATTCTATGCTGATAGAGGGGAAAGAGCACATCATACACCCTCTGTTCATAGAAGGGCTTGGAAGATACACAGATATGAAAGAGAAGAAACAGGAAAAGACAGGTGTGTATGAGAGACATCTGAAGATACTAAGGGTGATGCTTCGCACGTATATAAAGGTGTGCGAGATATCCAACCAGAAAAAATCCCTGAAAAAGCTTCTTAACAGCGTGGCCAAGTTCATAGCATCGCTGAAAGAAAAGGAGCAGACAGCCTTTATATACTACAAGATGGCAGCCGTGGACAGTCTGTTCAAAAAAAAAGAGAAAAGCAAGAAAACGCTGTATTGGATGGTGGAAGAAAAAATAGACGAGCACGTTTTGAAGAGTTTTATAAAAGAGTTTGTGTCCAAAATTCTAAGAAGCGGGATAAACAAGAAAACACACGCTGAGATAGCTCCATTCTATTCTTTTATAGACAACTCAGTAAAAGGAAAGGACATTTTCATCAACAACATGCTTCTGATGAGTATAAAAATCATTGATAAAAACGAGGAGTGCAACTCGTTTCTGAGGTTTTTTATTTTCATAGGAAAACATCTCAGCTACATGCCAAGAACATCAAAAAGAGTCAAAAAGGTGTTTGAAATGGTTTTGACCAGGAGAATGCAGAGCATCTTGGATGCGCCCGACTGCAAGTTTGAAAATGAGCTGCTGGAGTGCATAAACGTCTTCATGAAGACAAAACACCCGCCGATTGTAGAGCTTTCTTTGCTCATATCGAATGTATCTGCACATAAAACCATATTTTGGAAGATGTTCATCGTTGGAGTGAAGAACAGGCTAATTCTGGGAAACCTGGCATCGGTTGAAAAAAAGCTAATAAACCTCACAATCAGAAGAATAGAGCAATACAAAGAAACAAGGCTAAGAAAGGAGGCGGATGTAAATAAGAAAGTGCTTGAGTACATTGATGCAGATACACTCTATAAAACACATCAGTACTACGATGTCTTCAACTTTGAAGAGCTACTGCTCTGCATAAAAGATATTGCAACGAGTGAAGTGTACTTCAAGACAGAAAAGCCTGATCAGAAGAGCGAGTGTCTTTTGCTGGTGTACACCAGATGGAGCTACCCTGTGGTGAATATGCACATACCTCCAGAGCTGGAGGACACCTGGAACTCAGTTAAGGAGTACTGCAAAATGAAAGGGAGAAAATACATACTTAGATTCTGTCCAACTGTTTCGTCCATCACACTCGAGCTAGGTGAAAAAGAAATACACTGTGACATGCTCCAAGGCTCTATTATAATTCTTCTGACACGAGGCGGCCCTCACTCGTTTGACGAACTAGTGCATGCGCTGATAGTTGAAATAACGGACAAAACAATTGAGCTTGTAAAGCTAAAAATAAAAACTCTGCTAGATTCAGAAATTGTAAGAGAGAACAGTGAAAAGTACGAAATAAACACAGAGTGTGCCTCTGGAAACATAGACATCTTTGCTCCTGAAATAGAAGACACCCTAAACGAGGCAGAAACACTGAAATATGCGTACTCAAAGGGCGCCATTGAAGCACGCATCGTGAAAACATTGAAGAATGCAACGGGAATGGACTCAGAAAAGCTAAAAGAAGATGTGATGAGTGTCTTTCCTATAGAGGAAAAAGAAGTAGATCTGTGCATTCTAGTGCTTCAGGAGAAAGGGCTTATTTCGATTGCAGACAACATTTTATATTTTGTTCCGTAACTGTGGGCATGTGTGTACAAGTAATTCCAAGCGGTTGCTCATGAAATCAGCTGTGTGTGTTTATATCTGCAAATGTCTCGCATTCTCATTGCCATCGTTCTTCTGCAAACTCTATGTATAAGATGTACTCTGGTGGTGCTAGACTATTTTTATGGTTTATCTGTTTATGATGGTGTATGCATTAAGTGGCCCAGAATGAAACGCGTAAATAAAATATTTTGTTATCCTTATTGTTCCATTACTTAGCAGAGTAGCTTTTAGAATGTTGGGTTAGGATTTAAAAAATTTTATGTCTCAGCTTAAAACAGAGAAAGACAGTATACGAAAACTCTGCAAAAAACACTTGAAAGAGATGATCGAAGAAACTGTGTCATTAGAAGAGAAACTACACGGCGGGCACCTCTATTATTCAAAAACAGAAGCCGAGTGCATACTTAAAGAGAACAGCGGGTGCTCTGCAGCTGTGGAAGACGTAGAGAAGAATGCAGGAATAAACTACTTGGTCTTTGTGAAGGGAAAGCTAACAAACCACGAGATGGTTTTTGATAAGCTAGAAAAGCTGGTAGATGAAGTGTCTCAGCTAGAGACAACGCATCAGCTGAGAGTGGGGTATGAAACCCTTCTTCTCGCATGCAAACAGATAAGAGATGTCCAAACAACGCATCCAGATGCGCTTGCTCTCTTGAAGAACAATGAGAATCGAATGGTGTCTGTTCTAAACGATAAAATGGCAAATGCACATTTTGTAATCAGAACTTTGATCAAAAACATAGTAAAAGAGGTGATGAAGATAGAAGGCATGCACATCCTTGAAAACCCACAGTGGTCAATGCAGAACAAAACAGACATAACACTTTCTTTAAAGGAAGTTGTGCTAACAGTCACAGAGAATGACGTTTCTTTGCTAAACGACAAGAAGTGCGGGGACAAGATAACAAAGCTGCTGTTGCTCTCTGATCACAAAAAGTATGCGGAGCTCATTGGTAGGCTAGATCTAAACTGCGTAGGAAGCAGGAACATACGAATACTTTCGAACAGACTCGGCGAAAATATTCGAGAAGAAATATTTAGAATTTTGGCAAACAGCAAAATGTTCAACTGTGTGTTTTTTGCCTCTGCCTCCAGCACGCTGCCAGAGTTTGTGATTGACAGCTGCTCTTTTCTGTGGAGCGAAGAGGTGCGCACAGAATACTTGGAAGTTCTACTGAAGAATCCAAATGTCTTTGAAGAGAGACTCCCCTTGATTGTCCAGTGGCTGCAGTTTAACCAGATAATAGCCACAAAGGAGAACCAGAAAAGAGTAAGGGCGTGTTTCTACACCCTTTCCAAGATGTTCAGACACAAAATTGTGTCTAAGCACGCTTATCTAAAAAGTGAAGGGATAGAGCATGCTCCAACGGATGCAGGAATGGCTTTTTTCAGAGAAGTAATCAGTATTTCGCTAAGCATGGCAGAGAGTAGCAACTATCATCGGCAGATACAGGGTCTTTACTATCTGAAAACACTGTTGGAAATGAGCATGGTTCAGAACTACGTACCTGAAAGAGACTACAAGCCAATTATACTGAATGCTCTTTCGGGAACACACAAGGAAATAAGAGAAATAGCAGCACAGTTCCCAGTTGAGATAGATGCTGAGCAGATAAAAAACGCAGTGCTATCGCATAGAGATGCAAACATATACGGAATGGCTCTTCTTTTTACAAAAAACATGACCGCAGAGAAAATCAGCAGTGTATTTTCATTTTCGCTCAAGAGAATTGCTGCCAAAGACAATTCTGATATGGATATCCACAAGGACATATACCTGGTATGGAACATTTTTAACAGTCTGCCGGCAGAGAAAGTGCTGATAGATGGGAATAGGCTGAATCCAGCACTTTTGGTGGAGAAAAAGAAAAGAAAGGCATTTGGCCAAACAGGCCTGGACATACAGAGTCTATACACGGCAGAAATCCCGTATAAAATAGAAGAGATATACAAGGAATACATTCTGCCGCAGTTTAAAAAGTCGCTAGAAATCATGCAAACCAGAGAAATATACTTGTCAGAGCACACAGAGATCGATGAAAGCAAGAGCAAAAACACACAGAGAACATACGTGTCAAACTGGTATGCGCTTAGAGAGTGCATTGTGTTCATCACTGTATATGCTGTATTGGCTAAAGACATAACCTGTTTAGACATGCTGATCGATGCTCTTCTCTCTGTCGGAGGACACCTGGGCGTTATAATGACAGCATCCGATGCGATAAAAACAATTTTAGTGTTCAACGACTCGCCAGAGAACACTGTGAAATATGCACAATATTTAATGAAGACAATACAAACAAGAGACCTGAAAAACATCAGACGGGATGGAGGGATACCCTATGCCTTCAAAGCACTCAGTGCAGCAGAGAGCAATACAAAAGATAAGCCAGCCACCCACTATATCATGAAAGAAACAGTCAGAAACTCGTTCAGTTTGATCGAAGATCTTTTTAGTTTCGGCCCAATACGTGCAAATCCAAGCCTCACCTTCTGCGAGTACAATTCTGTATCACGTTTGGCTGTTAGAGTCCATAATGAGCCAAAAATAAGAAATGAAAAATACCTGATACACTACATGAACATACTAAAAGGAGTGTCTAGTGATGGGGTGTTTAAGTACGACATGAGAGTGTACGAGCCTTCCCTATTCCTGCTATCTGTGCTGCTGATATCACACAGCAGCTGGAAGGTACGAAATACATCGCTGATGCTGTACACCACACTAATTAAAAAAATGTGCAAAGAAACCCTGAACAAACAAGAAGACTCCAAATATTCAAAAGTGTCAGTCAACCCAGTTTCAAGACAGGTAATGTTCAGCTGTCTAAGCTACTTTGGAGACAAGAATGACCTAGATGGGGTATTTTCGTGTCTGGTATTTTTCAGCCGAGTAAATGAGATAAACGAAGCAGAAGAGAAGCTTCTTGCAGGCCTGAAAGAAAAAACCATGTGTGCACGAACACACCAAAAAATAAGCCAGATACTGCACAGAAAACCCAGTAGTAATGTTCACCACGTAAACAGCTCGCACAAGTCTGTCTCGCAAAAAACAAAAGATGTGCTATCGTATGTCAAAACAGAGCTGTTCGATAAAAAAGAAGAAAAAGCAGAAAAAACGTACAGGTGCCCTGGATTAGAAAACAGCTGCATGCTGATCGAAAGCGAAGCACTGAACATTCTCGGAAATGAGGACAGCTACATCAGAGAGTACGGCCTCAACTATCTTATGCCAAACAGATCGTACGAGTATGTATTACGCGCCCTGCTTGAAAAAACAAAATGTGCCAGCTGCTTATCATCCAGAATAAAAACACACTGCTCTCTCCCAACGGAAGACACAACAGAGGACAGCCAGTTCCCAATGGAGCAATCAAATTTGTTCAGAGATATAGAATATGAGAATAAAATACTGCGAGACACAAAATTAGATCAAACAGTGTGGTAGTGCAAGCACAATCGTTATCGCAGAATATTAGATGGATAAGACCAGCGCAATCTCAAAATAAATCAAACAATCGTATCATTACTTAACAACATCACTCACTAGATCTAATTTATTCAACATACATTATGCATCTGTTTTTGTGTATAATATCCCATACGGATACCCCGTTGATATTGCCTCGTTGACCGATGATTTAGTAATTGTGCTGTCATTACAGTGATACCAGGTGTTGTTTCTCTTCGTGAACGCAACATAGTGGCCTCCTATCCCAAAGCTGTGGTGCACCAGTATGCCAACCAGCGAGTACGATACTCCGTCGAGCATCAGCCCATCTTTCTCTACAAACAGCTTCTGTCTATCAAACATTTTCTCTCCTTTGAACGGCCTGCCAAGGCCTATTGGCAGCTGAACACAGAAGTATTTTGAAAACCGGCTGAATTTTGTAGACTCTTCAATCGTATCAAAGTCAAAGTTTTCTTTGTCTCCAGCCGACTTACTTCTAACGGTCACGTTTTCCCAGTTGCTCACCACACACTGCACATGGACGTAGTCTTTTGCTTCGTACTTTCTGTTTTTTATGATGTCAATGTGTGCTGTTGCATCCCAATATTTGTTAGATAGCGCAATCACCATGGAGCCAAAGTGCAGGTCAGAAGCATCTACGTTCTGCTGTATGTCCAGCACTGTATTTGGCACCTCTGTCCGCCTCTTTATTTTCAGATTGTTCTGCAAAAACTGTGCTATGTTGCACTTCTTCTCCACCAAGAACGGCATTTGGAAAACGTTTTTTACTCCGCTGAACAAAGATGTAAAAAAAGAAAGGCCTTCAACTGCCGCAGTGTAGCTCAAAAACAAAAACTCGATCTTGTCTAAGTCCTTGTCTGTAACGTAAAAAATAGGCTGGAGCAAAAGATTTTTGTTGAGAGAAAACTCGTATGAGTCTGCCAGTCTAGCCACCTTCCCGTCATCAACGAGGATGCCCACTATTTCCCCCAGATCCACACGAAAGCTGCCCGCTATTCTCTCTTTTATCGCTCTCACGCTCACGCGGCCCTCTGAGTGTATGCACAGCCTCGTAACCACAAGCTGGTTTTTGTGGATGATAAGCACGTGCGAGTGAGGCCCGCCTTCTGAGCCAAATGACCCATTGAGAACAAACGACTTGTAGAGCGGCTTTATCTCGGAGGAGACGCTTTCTCTGTTTTTCTTAAATATTTTCACAGACTCTGCGTGGTATATAAACAGATCCGGTATCAGCTTTTCGTACTTTGTTTTTTCAAAAAGATAGTTGAAGTTGCTCAAAATCAGAGAAAATGCTTCGCCTGCATCTTCTTCCGTGCATCCTCTGTATCGGAAGTCGATGTTTCCCATCGCTCTCTTGATTTCTTTCAGCTTTGCAAGACAGTCGCCTTTTACTCGAACTGTTTTGATAAGATCTCTGTACGCCCGGAGCAGATCTCCGCTCTTTTCCTTGTTGTATCCTTTTTTGGTATTTTTCCGTCTGGAGTACTCGTCTATTTCGCGCGTGCTCATGCCCTCAATCGCTGCCGAGAGCTCTCCCACCCCCAAAAGAACCTGCAGCGCTGTGTTCATGTAGCAGGTAAGCCCGACATTCCTGAACTCAACGGGCGTGCACTCATTGATCGCTTGCGGCACCATTTTTTCTCTTCTTGAAAAGATCTCAACTTTCACGTGCTCGCTGTCTCCGCGAACTATCTTATCGCCCAGCTGTATCTCAGGCGTAGTGCTGTACGTGTACTCCCTGGCAAACTCTTCCTCCTCCATTCCCTCCTTGAACAGCACTATCTTTATCACGGTGAACAGAACTTCGCCTGCAGGAATTGCAAACTTCTTGTTGACGTCCCCGTTGTTGACAACAATGTTCATATTTACAGAGCCAACAGGAATCTCTGTGTCGCACCCAACTAGCCCCACAATGCGGTCCCACTCAGCACACGATAGAACCACAAAATCAGACTTTAGATCCAAAGCGCCATCCTTCAGCAATTTGCTGTTGCACAGCGCTGTGTCGTCTCCGTTTTTGTGTCTATTGTAAGCCTCTCTTGAGATAGCATAGCCTACTGACCGCTTCATTCTCTCCCCTGCAAACAAAAATAAAAATAAAAACAGTAACCGACAGCAGGCGCAGAGACAAGAAGCACGCAGACGCAAAAGTGAGTGCAGATTTATTGTGCAGCTCCCTCATCAAAAGAGCATTTGCCCTCTACCCCGCACATGCGCACACTCTGCTGCAACGAGACTGCGCCAGATTAGCTAAAAGATAGCAAAAATAGTTAAAATTTCATTAAAAGCAGCTGGAGAGCCATCGACGTCTCCCAGCATTAAGACACAGCAGCACCCAGACGCACTGATCATGCTCCTCTCTCCATCTCTTGCAGTCTTTCAGACTGTTAGTATCAGAGAGCCCTCCAGCTATTATCGAAGCCCTCTGCTACAATATTTGCTCACATATTTATAGTTTCAAAGTTACAAATACTCTCCCTGCTGCGGCAATTCTGCACTATTTTTATTCTCTGTGCTTCTCATGCAAATAAAGTTTTTACTCTCTCCGCACTGACAGCTCTTCTGCAAAGTTTTCTTCTGGCCTCCCAGCTCCTCCAAGCTGCATTTTCAGCGCGCACCCAAACATCCGTCTTTAGCCCACTCAGCATTTATTTTGCTGTTTTTCCTTGCGTGCGCACTCAGGGAGCCCTCTAGAGCAGATCCCAGCAAGAGCAGAGCGAAAAATAAAAGAGAAAACAGTTACTTTAATTTCTTAAAAATAAAAAGAATAAAAATGCGAAAATTTTTTACCCCAGCAAATGGCAGACCAGAAAGAACAATACATTAACGTATGCTTCCTTGGACACGTGGACAGTGGTAAGAGTACTACCATCGGGCACCTGTGTTACAAGCTAGGAGCAATCGACAAGAGAACACTAGAGAAGCTAGAAGAAGTAGCAAAAGAGCACGGAAAGGGATCTTTCAGTTACGCTTTCTTCTGCGATAACAACAAAGCAGAGAGAGAGTCTGGTATCACCATCCAGGTCTCCATGAAAGTTGTGAAGACCGCCAAGCACACCGTAAACATCCTGGACTGCCCAGGGCACAGAGGGTTCCTGAAGAACATGATCACCGGAACCGCCCAGGCAGACGTGGCAGTCATCATTGTCCCCGCTGCACAGGGAGAGTTTGAGAGAGCAATCACAGAAACAGGAACTCTCTACGAGCACATCGTCCTCGCGCACACCCTTGGTGTGTCCAAAGCCATCGTAGCCATCAACAAGCTCGACACCCTTGGATCCGAGGCAGACGCAGAGAAGAGATTCGTTGAGATCAGCGAGAACATCAAAGCAAAGATGAAGAAGATGTACAACATAAAGACAACTCCCATTGTCGCCATTTCTGGATTCAAGGGAGTTGGTCTGGTCGCAGAGGGCGAGAAGTTTGGATGGTTCAAAGGATGGACCCCAGAAGACGCACCCGCAGACTTTGTCCCCATCAGATCCCTCGAGGAGGCCATCGACTACTACCCCATCCCCAAGAGAATGACGGAGTCTCCTCTCAGAATCCCTCTGACAAACATCCTGGAAATCAAGGGAATCGGCAGAGTGTACACCGGGCGTGTGGAGTCTGGAGTCTGCACCGCAGGAATGAAGGTGCACATCTCCCCCGCAGGAGTCAGCACCGAAGTGAAGACCATGGAGATCCACAAGACCGCAAGAAAGAGAGTAGAGGCAGGAGAGAACTGCGGTATCACCCTGAAGGCCAACCAGGACACCGACAAGATCAAGCAGGGAGCCGTCATCGCAGACGCTGCAAACCCATGCATCAAGGGATTCGCTGCATACGCAACCGTTATCTTCATTGGAAAGGTGAAGTGCATCAAGGCAGGATACGCGCCCACCATGGACATTGCTGCTACCCACGTGAGCTCCGTGTTTGCACAGCTGTGCGACATCGGAACAAAGAAGGGCAAGGAGTTCGTGGTCACCGCTGACAGACCCTCCGAGATCGCAGGCACAAGACCGTGCGCTAGAGTCATCATTGCCCCCTCCAAGCCCACTGTTATGGAGAAGTTCTCGGAGTTCCCATTCCTTGGTAGATTCGCTTTGAGAGACATGGGTAAGACCATTGGCGTGGGCATCATCCACGAGGTTCTTGACAAGGCACAGACTGAAGTAAGAGTGCCAGAGTTCTTCAACACAGGAAAGAAGGCCGTTAAGAAGTAATAAAGCATACTTTTCTTATTATTTTAATTTTTCATGGGAGACGCAGGGGAGCTCGACAGCTCGTACATACTGATAGAGAGCAGAAGCCTCGGGGCAGAGAAGGAGAAGGGCCTGCAGAGGAGCAGGGGAGGTGAAGGGGCGCAGGAAGGCGCGGCGGAGAGAGAAGAGAGCGGCGCAGAGAACAGCGCCGCGGAAGTGGAGGAAGGGAAGAGAAGGACAGGACATAGTGGACACAGCAGGCGTATTGAGGACAGCAGAAGTGGAGAGATGGATGGCGGGCGTGTATATAGCTGCAGCTCGGCAGGGTCTGCTGGAGGAAATAGTGCTGAAAGAGCAGAGGAGTGCAGCGTAAAAAGCGTCATTAGGAGCATAGATGATAACGGCGGAAATGGAGAAGTAGATAAAAATTACAGTGATGGCAGCGTGTCTGCTGCGGGCACAGAAGATGCCTCTTCCTCTGCGATGAGAAAAAGAAAGTACACGAGAGACGATAAGTTCATCAACATTCTCACGCCCAAAAAGGACAGGGCAAACGTCTTTTTGACTCCCGTTAAAAGAACCAGGCGCTCGGTGATAAACGGGCTGAAGAGCGGCACAATAAAGGTGTTTGACAACTCAGTGGAGGTGAGGAGCAACAACACGCCGTATGCCTCCCTGGTGGAGTGCTTTAGGCGCCTGGAGAAGGCTGAAAGGCAGGAAAGAAGAGAGAGCATTGATAGAATAGTGAAGAAGTATTCAAGCGATAACACCGCGTAATTAGCAGAAAATAAACACATCACAATCCTTTTATTTCAATGGCTATGAATTACAACCCACTCTGCCAGCTGATGGCTCAGCTGTGTCTTTTTTCTTTTTACATGGTGGACGGTGGGGCTTATTTTTTGTTTTTGCTTTGGCATCTGCGCATTCTGTTGCAGAGCCAGAGTCTGTTTTTGTACGCGAGTTTGCAGAAGATCGGTGCAAACTTTTTCACTTGCGGATGCAGGTTGAGTGTTTTTGTTTACTCTAGAGGACTTATGCAATGCTGCTTGTAAGAGTGTCGTCTGTGGGGGAAGAGTATTTATCCCAAGTTTCTTTTAGGGCAGTATTCTTTGCAGTTAATTCTTTTACAAAATCATCAAAGCTAATGCTTTCTATTCTACTAAAAACATCTGAAAATGCATTGAGGTTGTCTAGCACAATTTTAATTAATTCTTTAACTAAAGTATTATCTTTATCTGTTGAGAACTCAAGGCCAATGTCTTTCAGACTACAGGCGATTAATTTTTCAAGTATTTTTTCATATGTATTATCGAAGTTAGCATTAAAGTGAGTAATATATTCTGTATAGTCTTTGGTCTTGTCTACATCAAAGTCATGAATATCCTCTTCTATTTCATCTGTTATTGTTTTTTTGTATTCTTCTGGGACTCTGCTAACTACTAAATTGGCGTAAGTGCCGTAGTCTTTAGAGTTGTACTCTGCTGAATTCTCACAAGTATCTTTTATGCTATTTTTGATCTCAACAAAATCTCTTCGCACTAAGTTATACAGCTTCTTGAGCACGTAAGTGTACTGTTTGTTTACATTCATTTTTTCAGCTTCTGTATCTGTATCTTTCTCAATTTCTTTTATCTTTTCATCCAGCGCTGTTTCTATTTTCATCGCATTTGTTTCAGATAACTGTATAGAGCTGGTGTTTATACAGGGAGACCCAACTATTTTCTGAACTAGACACAGACATACGATCGAAAAACGAGACTCTGGTGTAGGAACATACTCGCATTTGGAATAGTCGTATTTTTCTTCTATGCCAGTCCTGCTAATTAAGTCTTCTTTTTGCGCGCGCAGCACCTTTTCAGAACCATTGGCTAATGAGTTAACTAGGCCCATTATATTCTTCAATTTATATAGTATAGTCGTATACTCTTTTATATGCCCAATAACGAAATTTTTTATTGCCAATATCAAATTTGCTTTATCTATATACTCCTGCACGCATTTCTCTATTCTCTGCAGCAAGAATCGCTGAAAGATATCTTTGTGCGTTAAGATGCTGTTTATATTGCGGTATTCATTATATTGGTTCGCTATTGTCTGTTCTACTTGAGTGGAAGTTCCTGATGCGCTATTTGTAAGCAACGTGTTTATCTGTCTATTTACAGTTGAAACTATCGAGTTTTCATATTCTATTTTTGCCATCATGGAATTGCTTTCCAGATGCTTTCGAAGCTCTGGAGCTAGCGCATGCAATAAATTTGCTTTACTCAAAAAGACATTTTTTTTGCTTTCTAGATTATTTATAATCCCTGAGTTAAGAAACTGTATGCCTTTAAAGTCTGCCTTGATAGTCTCTATAAGTTTTTTTGTTATGCCAAAGAATTCTTTCTTGTAGCTTTTTAATCCATCTATATATGTTTTGTTCTGATGCATCATTGAGTCTACTTTGACTATATTGCATTTTTCTATTTCTCCTATTTGCATTTTGTGTCTAGTCTTATTGGCTCCGTCTTTAAACACAGGAAATTCCATAATTGAGTTCACGATTTGTATGCAGGCATTTCCCAGCTCATTAGGAACTGAAAAGAAGGACTTAAAGCTGTTGTTGTTATCTATTATACTGTCTATTGTATTTTTCTTATTGTTAACTATCTCTTCTATTTCTTGATCAGTTAAATTTCCACTATCCTTCTTTTCATCATAAACAAGAGTGGCGATTTCAAAAAACCAATTCGTATATTTTACCCACATGTTCTCTTCCAGACTTTCACAAACAGTGGTTATATTGTCCGGAGTGCCAGTGCTACTATTTTTTTGATCATTTGCATGCGTTGCTGCATCCAGCCCAAGTCTTTTACTGTATTCAGAAACTCCATCAAAATACTCTTTTGCATATTTTAGTATATCTTCATTATCTGTTTCTAGAACTACAGTTAAGCTTCGGCCGATCGCCTCCACAAGCAGTGATCCTAATAGGTTAGTATTAGTCTCTACTTCATCATCTTTTTCAAAGCACGCTTCTATTGTTTTTTGAATAAACCCCTTCTCCAAGTGGGAATTCAAGTTTATAAAAGGCTGATTTTTAATTATATCTTGTGCTTTTTCATACTTCAGAGGTTCTTTAGCCTCTTTACGTGCTTTTTGTTCAGTATAAAATTTTACTAGGATTTCATTTAATGTTCTCTTTAGCTCTTTTTTCAGCAGCCTAACATGGTTTTTAGAAAAACTTTTAGTATTTTGGTCAGTTATCCCGGCTTGGACACTTGTGTTTATTATATCATGGAATAAAACTCCTTTCGTTGGCTTCTCAAATCTTTCTAAAGTTGGAAAATTGTTGTCAAAGGTAAGTAAGCTTTTGAGGTGCTGAGATTTTACTAAGCTCTGTATGCTATCTGAGGGAAGTAGGTCTATTTCGTCCAATGTCAGTATTTCACTCCTGTTCGGCCTTTTTTTTTCTTTGTAGTATATTTTTGAGAAAATTTCTTCTCTCAACGGATCTAAGCTGGCATTGCTATTATTCTGTATACTAGAACCATTGCTGTGAATAGAACTAGGTGCTGAATTGCTATCTAAACTGTTTGGAGGGCTACTATCTAAACTGTTTGGAGAGCTACTACAGCTAATTCTGTTTATTATGGATAGCAAAATAAAAACTACTACTTTGTTTCCTATATTTCTTTTTCTTTTCATCTTCTTAGTTTCCAGCTTTCTTCTCCTTTTATACCTTTAAAATGATCTCTAAATGTTTTTTATGATTTGGCAAACAAATAGTACTCTTGATTTTGAGTGCTATATTGATGAAAAGTTGTTTACAAGCATGGGTTTTTGTTGTTTAGTCTTTCTTTTTGTGTTTGTTTTGTGTATATTTATGATTAGAACTGTACACAAACAAATAGCAAATGTAAACTCTGATGTTTTGTTTGTCCAAGCACAGCGTCAATTAAACAATTCATTGTTTTGAATGTGTACACTGATCTTGTTTACATAAGAGTGCTCTTAGTTTTAGGAAAGAGATAGTGCAATGACAGCTTCTCATATACAGATATTTTTCTCTTATTTTAACTCATGCACACTAAAAGCGTTTGCATCTTGTTTCCTAGGAATTACTGCGCTTTTTCAATAAATATTGCATTCAAAAAATAATTACTGTAATTTTCTACACTTTTATTTAAAACATTCTATGAGCGCAGCTACACTTTACATTTTTTTAATTGTTCTATACAAATTGATGCACAGTGGCATTTTTATGTCGACTGACAGGGACGGCGTGCACGAACAGCTGGACTTTTGGAGAGACGGCTTTGGACAGTGTGTAAACGGTGGGTGTGTGTATCCGATGTCTTCAAAATAGTGTATTTCGCTTTTGTTCAGAAACAGTGAAGCAGCAATTGAGTGCACAGGAGCATCGCCCCATCTTTCGTAGAAAAACCCGCCAGATCTGTCAAGATAGTCAAAGTAGAGCCCGTACTTCTTGCTTCTAAAAAAGGAAAAGTCTCCTATTTCAAAGTTCGACCAAAAGTGGCACATATTGTATCTTGTAAACATTTCATCTGTGATAAATCTGTGCAAGCTAAATGGATTTAGGAGACTCCAGTAGTTTCCTTCCTTGTAAAACGTGTTGTACGCTGCCACAAACCTCTGCACTGTGCTCCAAAGGGATGTGATGGTTTGCGGAAACTCGTGGAGAGTAATGGTAAATCCGTACTTTTTTTTATTTACTCGCATGTACTCAAACACGTCATAGCCTATGTCGCAGTGTATTTGTGTGTCCGGCTCAATCCTCCAGTAGTACCTATACTTCATTGCTAGCGGATGCAGAAAGAAGAACCCTGAAAAATACCTGCACATGTGTCTGTACGACTCACTTCCTCCATAAATAATCTGTTCGCTCTCCATCTTTTTTCTTGACATTTCTGCTTTTTCTTTGTCCACCCACTCTGGATAGCTCCAGTGCTCGGCTGGGACCTTTCCAAACTCAACAGAGCTCTCTGTCAGCTCTTTGAACTGCTCCTTGAACTCCTCTGTGAACTCCTGATCATTCACTACCACGTATGGATATTTATATTTCTGATTGAAGTGGCTCTCAAAAGATTTTATTGTGCCTTTGAGCCCATCTATATCTGTGTTTCGGCATAGAATGAAGATGCACGCATTTTCCTGCTGAGCTGTCTCCCTGCTCAATAGAATCATTATGCAAATGACGATTCTGAATAACATATAAATATTTACACAAAACACATGGAATGAAAATATATAAAAAAGACCAGACAAAGTACAATGTTTTTCTGGATCTGTTGCCCGAAGACATTGATGATATCTACGAGCTGTACCGAATAATAGACAGCCAGGATAGGGTGAAAACGCTCACGCAGAGAAATATTTCTGCAGAAAGCGGTAAAACGAAAATACGCATGTCTTTGGTGCTGGAAATAGAAGTAGAAAACGTAACAGTCGATCTCTCTGTGGGGATGCTCTTCATAAAAGGAAAGATTTTAAACGAAACGGAGTACACGAAAGTTGGCTCGTTCCACACGTTAGAAGTGTGCGTAAACCAAAGAATGTCTCTGAAAAAAGATCACCTTTCCAGCTCATCAATCAAAATGCTAGAAGAAATGACCATCGAAAACAAAGCAACAATGGCTTATTTGGTGTGCAGAAAGGAGGGGTATTCTCTTGTACTGACCACCGACCATACGACAAAAAGAATTCCCCTGCTGGAAAAATCGAAACAGAAAGAAAAAGTCTTTAAACAGATTCTAGCACACCTCAAAGACAGTCTGACAGTGTTTGTGATATTGGGTGGAGACAGAGACGCAGAGGAGTACTTCAAAAAACAGAAAGAGCTAAAAAACAAAATAGTCGTTATTAAGAAAACAGTTACATCGGCTAATACGCACAAGGGAGACTGCGCAGAAATAGAACACATCTACAAAACACCCGATCTGCTTGCCAAGCTAAAGGGCCTAAAGAAGGGAAACGAGATAGCTGCGCTTTACAACTATTTTATGCTGGAAGATTCGTATGTCTCAAAGACAGCGGTTGGCATGAAAGAGACAGAGTGGGCTGCAGAGAACTTTGTCGTTAAAACACTGATAGTTGTAGACTGCGCTATAAAGTCCGAGTGCCCAGACACAAGGAAGAAGATAGAAAGCATAATCACCCTATCTAAGAAATCAAATGCAGAGATACACATTATATCTCAGTATACTCCCAACGGAGACAAGATAAAAGACAAAGGAGGGATAGTGGCTATACTCACCCAGCCCATGGAAATACAGTCTATGCTATAGTGCACAATGTGTGCTTTTAGTAGACAGTACATTCTATTTTGTTCGATTCCAAGGCAAGCGCATGATTATCTACGGTAGTATTCAAGAAGTATAAGAGATACATGTCTAAGTAGGTGGTGAATAAAATACAATGTGTTTATTTGTTCCTCGTCTTTCTTCCTATTGTCGTTGTTTTGATTAAATCTTATACGTAGTCTGTGGCTGCTAAAAATCAAATTCATTTCTATCTAAAAAACGACAATATTTGCAAAAGAAGAGCACGCAACCTCTCTGCAAGCAGTAACTAGTAGATACTAGTATGCTATACAAATGTGCATACTACTTAGAGGATGAAGATACTTTTGTTTTTCTTGGCGCGTCAGATTGCAATAGAGTGTGTCTTCTATAAAGACCAACAGGAATACCAAATAGCAAAATCATGTAAAGAATGTTGCTTAAGTGCGCGTAGTAGATTGAGTAGCTCTTCCAGTCAAAGATAATGTTTCCTATTAAGACATATACGTTAGCCAGTAGGAACATTGGGCCCATCACGCGGCTCAGGTTGGAAAGGAATTTTATATTGCAGAACTGATAGATGCAAGAAATGCCGTAGAAAATACACATGGGAAGAACCATTGCGCCGCAGCAGAAGGAGGTAAAAGACAGAGAGCACAGCCTTCTAGACGGCTGCAGGACATGCAGAAACCCAAAGTGCATAGCAAAGAGAAAACAGAGCATAAGAGTCAGCTTGTGCAGTGTTCTCCCAAGTGTTTGGTCCTTTGCAAATATAATTTTACCTATTGCTTTTCCAAGGAGGAGCACTCCCGTGTATGGAAGCACAGAAATAAGGCCTTCTCTGTTTGCTTTAAATAGGTTTTCTCGTGTTTCAAAGAACACAAAGTCAATCACTGATTTCTGGTTTATAACGGCTTCATGCGCTAGTAAAATGCTGAGCCCTGCAGTGAGCGGGTCAAAGTGTTTGAACAAAAGGCTGAGATTCTCCGAGAGAAGGTACACGAAATAGAAGTTCAGATGCGTTCCGTACTCTGTTGGATCTGAGTGGTATCCCGATAAAATAACCCCCAGCCGAATCAGCCCCATACTCCCCATGTAAATGCTTTTTTTAAGACGAAACTTGTGGCTAACGGATGAAATCATGCCTGCGTTCAGCATAAAGGCAACCACTCCAAAGTCCATCAGAGAGATCCCAAAGTATGTGCTCTTTAGCTTGTAGCTGGGATAGAAAGGAAAGTCGCACATGAAGATGGAAATGCACACTAGACTGCACACAATGTATCGAAGCCCGTCAATGATCAAAGAAGCATGGCCCGTATCTTTCTGATTGTATGTGTACTTTTTTACACTTGCACTTTTGATCAAAAACAAAATAGCGCTAGAAAAAAGCAGAACCTGGCTGATCAGCACAGATCTAGTCGCCGAGACAATGTAGTGGATCGTGCAAATGCCAGAGAGCAGGACCCAGAAGTTTTCTATCTTGAAGTAGTCAACAATTATGAGCCAATAAATAGAGCAGCAAGTGGTGTGCAGAAGTTCAGCCCGGGGGTATGCTGGAGTTGTAATAAACATAATTTTCTAAAAAATATTCTACTTTATAATGAACATAGAAGAGCTGAGAAAAGCACTACACGAAGAAAAAGACGAGAGAAAAAAAGCCAAGATAGAGAAAAAGATTGAAAAGATGGTCAAGTTCTTGAACAAACTGCAGGTGCAGAAGGACACAGCGCCAAAAGAGGGCAAACCAAAAACAAAAAAAGTGATTGAGTTTGAAGAAGCAGAAGAGATACCAGCCGGAGAAAAGAAGGCTGTAAAAGACTTGGCGGGACAGTTTAATCCCAAATCGGTGGAAAATGGATGGTTTTCCTGGTGGGAGAAGGAGGGATACTTTACCCCAGAGTTTAAAACCAAAGTGCAGAACGGCAAAACGTTCACTATAGTCCTTCCTCCCCCAAATGTCACGGGATCCCTGCACGTGGGACACGCAATGATGGCTTCGATCCAAGATACAGTCGTCAGACTAAAAAGAATGCTGGGATACAAGACTCTGTATCTCCCAGGAACAGACCACGCAGGAATTGCCACACAGGTAGTTGTTGAAAAAGCAATGGAAAAACAAGGAAAACACAGAAAAGACTGCACACGAGAAGAGTTTCTGGAGAAAGTGTGGGAGTGGAAAGAGCAGCATGGCACACAGATTGTCAACCAGTTCAGAAGGCTTGGCACTAGCTTGGATTTTACACGAGAGAAATTCACCATGGACGAAGAGCTCTCACAGGCAGTAACAGAGGCATTTGTCAGATTCCATGAAGACGGGCTTATATACAGAGGAAATAGGCTGGTCAACTGGTGCGCAAAGATACAGACAACTCTGAGCGACCTAGAGGTAGACCATAAGACAGTGGAGCCATACGAAAAAGTGCACACAGACGGAAAAGAGCATACTTTCGGAGTAATATACACTGTGAAATACGAAATAGAGGCAAACGGTAAGACTTATACGGTAGAAGTGCCCACCACTCGGCCAGAGACAATCTTTGGTGACTCTGCCCTGTGCGCACACCCAAATGATGAAAGATATTCTCATTTCAAAAATTCAGGCAACAATGAAAGTGAATGCACGCCCATCAATCCTCTTACAGGAGAAAAGATGAGATTCGTTTTTGATGAGGCAGCAGAGATGGACTTTGGCACGGGTCTTCTTAAGATTACGCCCGCCCATGACCCCACAGACTTTGAGGTGGGCTTGAGACACAATCTTCTCTCTACCTCTGTTATCGATGCTAATAACAGAATGACAGTTGGGCCTTTTAAAAACATGCTCAGGTTCGACGCCAGAAGAGAAACAGTGGCTCTGCTAAAATCTAAAGGACTTCTTGTCCGGGAGGAAGGGCATCCTTCGAGCATTCCCATATGTTCACGCACGGGTGAGGTAATTGAGCCCAGACTCACTGCGCAGTGGTGGATGAACTGCAAGGAATTAGCCAAAAAGGCACAGGAAGTAACTAAAACAGGAACACTAAAGGTGCTGCCAAATGAAATGTGCAAGGTATGGGATGCCTGGCTGTCCAATGTAAGGGACTGGTGTCTCTCCAGACAGCTGTGGTGGGGGCACAGAATACCTGCATACTCTCGCAATGGAGTGTGGTATGTTGCGAGAAGCAAAGAAGAAGCTGAAAAACAGGCAGGAGGAGAAGTGGAGCAGGAGGAAGACGTTTTGGACACTTGGTTCTCTTCTGGTCTCTGGCCCTTTGCTGTGCTCGGGTGGCCAAAGGACTCTGATGACATGCTGAAGTACTATCCCACCTCTCTGCTGGAGACGGGGAAAGATATTGTCTTTTTCTGGGTTGCGAGGATGGTTATGATGGGAATTGCCTTAACAGGAAAGTGTCCGTTTGATACTGTGCTTTTCCACAGCATAGTAAGAGACGCACACGGAGAAAAAATGAGCAAGAGCAAGGGGAACGTGATTGATCCTGTGGATGTTATTTCCGGTGTTTCTCTGGATGATCTTTTGAAAAAACTGAAAAACGGAAATTTGTCTGAGAAAGAGATAAAAACGGCCTCTAAAAACATAGCGCAGGAGTACCCGCAGGGAATTGAGGCGTGTGGAAGCGATGCACTGAGGTATTCTTTGCTCTCAAGTGCTTCGCTGGGAAGAGACGTGTGTCTGAGCATAGAAAAAGTTGTGGGGTGCAGAAAGTTCTGCAATAAGGTGTGGAATGCGATGAAGTTTGCGCTGTCACAAAATGCCAAAAAAAGCACAAATAACAGCAATGCGTCAGAGACCGATGAGAACATGGAGTACAAAAAGAGCTCATTTGAGTATGCCTCTGACAGGTGGATAGAAAGCAGGTTTTTGAACACCGTGAGAAGCACAGCCGAGTCAATAGAGACGTACAACTTTATGAAAGCTGCAGTAGATGTGCAGCAGTTTATGATCTACGAGTTCTGCGACTTTTACCTGGAAATGTTCAAGGGGCGTAAGGACTCAGCAGGCATTAGAACTTTGCGGATGGTTGCGCTTGGGTTTGTTAAGATGGCGCATCCTCTGCTTCCCTTTTTAACAGAAGAGATCTATCAGGTAATGAAGAATTCTTGGGAGCTTGATGGATACACGTGGATGCCTTCCATTACGGTGGAGGAGTATCCTTTAGAAAATAACGGCATAGAAAAAGAAAGCGCTGAGGAGGCCCAGTGGATGGACTCTGTCCTAGAGCTGGTAAAAAGCGCTAGATCAAAAGTGTCGCTGAAAACAGGAATAACAAAGATTGTGGTCGAGTCCTCTGAGAAAACACAATCTCTGGAAAGAGCAAGCGGTATTTTAGCTCGGCTGATGGGAGTAGAGGTGTCCTTTGAAAAAGACGCAGCATTTGACGAAGAAGCATCTGGAATTCAATATAAGCTGGTTTAGCCCAATGTTCTTGGAAGTGCCGCTTTAGATCGAAATTAAAATAAATTCTACTATTGAATTAACAGCCATTTTCATTGTAAAGATGCACTAGAGAATTTCAGATAATTTATTAGCTCTCAGTCTTTCTGTATAGATTTTGCAAAAATTACCATATTCGATGTGCAGTATCACCATGATAGCAGAACAATATATTCACAAACCAACTAGTAGAAGTGTTTTTGTAAGTAGATATAATGTTGTAACTGCTGCATTTTCTTTATCTATTATGTTAGCGGCAAAAACTCAACGCCTTCAACTGTCGCTGCACATATGTACCTGTTAAACAGCACAGCATCGAGTGTTATGCTATGTATTGAATACTCTGATAGTATTTTGTTATCCGATTTTAGGGAGATGACAAAGACTTTCCCAGTGTTTGTTATTGCAATCGCTACAGCTGATGATATTGCGATTATTTTCACAACACATGCTTCGTCTTCTGATAGTATGCATGTTTTTTCTATTTTATATTTTGTATCAATGATGGTCACAGTTGACTTAAAATCTCCAAAAATTAGCAAATCTTCAATAAAACTGATGGACTCGACAGATGTTCTCTCTGGGTTATCATTCTTGTAGACATTCGTGAGAGTGTTCTGTGTGCTGGAGTATGCCAGTATGCACACCAGCCCATTCCCATATCCAACTCCTACAGACCTTCCTGTGCTATTTACCTGCATAACACGAATGTCGCTGTCTACCTCTGCCTGGTACTTAGCCAACAGCGATCCTTTTTCCTTATCATAGATAATTATTTGAGAAGATGAGAGCGTATACAGCACATCTCCTATCTCTACTATCTCCAAAATATCAGAGGAATGGCCTATGTACATGCAGGGTATTCTGCTCTCTACCTCATTTGCAGATAGAGGCACTCTTTCTACCATCCCGTCAACTGTTCCCACATAGATTTTAGTTTTGTCTTCAGACAGCACAGCCTTGGATACGTCCATTTGCAGATCTGCAGTGTGCACTTCTTTCATGTATCTTCCATTTCCAAACACTATGTTTATCTCGGCAAGAGTCCCGTCCATAGACACTGCCACGGCTTTTTTGCCAGAAATAAATCTGGCCATTACAACAGAATCTTCAAATCCTTCAATTACTTCATCAATTATGTACTCTGTGCCGTTAAACTTGTAAAAAGTAACTGCGTCATCTCCTCCCCCCGCTATCACCATGTTTAGGTCTTTCTGGGCGTCTATAGCGTATATTTCTTCTGTTTTTTCTTTTATGTGCTCCTCCATGCTAAAATGCTTTATGGAAATATTTTCCTTTCTTTATTCAGTCCACAGAAAAATGCACATTTGGCAGCCGCGCTGGAGCAATAACTATTTTTGCAAAATGCACAGCACAAAAGATAGACAGAAAAATTAGAAACTGTACACATTAAACCAGAAATCAAATGCTTTTCAGCCGTTTATTATTTAATTTTCTGCGCTAGGTCTTTCTGCGCCTCTATCATTGACTTTAGGAACTCTTCGGTTACTTTCTTTCTTGCGATGGGGGGCTTATAGTACAATCCTTCTTCTGTTACTATTCTTATAATACATGCCATGCACTTCGTGAAGTTAGTCAGCGTAAAAAAGCCGTTTTGGAAATTCGAGTTCTTTCGCACCAGCAGGCGAATGTTCACGGCATTTCCGTTGCTGAATGACACAGGAGCAAAAACCAAACCTGAAAGCATCTTCTCCTCCTGCACATACCACTGCAGTCTTTTCTTCAGTTTCAGTATTGCCTCATTGCTGCACTCTATGTTGATTGGTAGATCTATGGCCCAGTACTGCGAAATAGACCGCCTTACATTGACCACTGGGAACTTGCTTACCACGCTGTTCTGTATTATCGTGTACACGCCTGCCCATGTGGTGAAACACGTCGAAAAAAGACCCACTTTGTTGACTATCATGTTCTCTCCTCTGATGTACACTCTGTCTCCTGTGTCATAAGGATGAGAGATCAGCAGGAAAATAAAACTTTCAAAGAAACTCACGCTCCCTGGGATCACTGCATTGATAAGAACAAAGGAAAAGAAAGTCTGCAGGAAGAGATTCTTTAGATTCATCGATATTGTAAATACTATAAAGAGCAGTATTCCCTCCAGTATGTGCAGAAACCCGTTGAAATGGCTGATCAGTCTGCGGCAGTCTTTTATGGCCACATAGAGATTTGTTCTTTCCAAGGAGATCTGTCTAAATGTTTCTTTGAACGTTGCGTACTGTATTCTGCTTCTCTCTCCATACGAAATCAGAGAGAACAAATTGTTTGCATCTTCTGGCGAAAACTCGTTAAGAAGCGAGGCCACAGAGATCGATCCTTCGACTTCATCCATCACAGGCGTAAGACGCGGTCTGTTCGGGATTCTAAGGCTCTCTCCCAGGCCGTATCCATACTCCTCCATGACCGAGCCTTCTGTCTCTTCTGTTCTCCTCCACTTTTTGAAAATGTCCAAAGAGGAAAGCTCTTGAGGCCTTCCTTTTTTGTAAAACACGTCAATTGTCAGATCGTACTGAAGATCTGCTTGCGTAATTTTGTTGCTTGCGTAGAGAAGGTACTTCTCCAGCTGAAGAACTTCCAGGTTGTGCCCCGTGCTGAAGTCTTTGAACAAGTTTCTTTTTGTTATGGAGTAGAGGATGAGAAGAAGAACTCTTACACAAAGCGCAGAAAAGACAACAACCCACACGCCAGGTATCTGGTACTTGGGCCAGGGCCAGAGAATGACCACTCCTGTGAGAAACAGCTGGAGCCTCGTTTTGTAGAAAAGAAAGCACGGAATGCTGTACTTGCACCTCGAGTAGAGGAGAGGGAATATTCCAAATAGAAGAATGGAAGAGGAAAGATGAAGGAGCACAGAAGCCACCCATCCTGCATTGTTCTGCAGGAGAAGAAACCCAACAAACCAGCTGAGTGCCAGAAAGCAGCCCAAAATAACGACAAAGTATGAATTCTCCTTCTGCTTCATAAACAAATATTTTATTTGTCTGCACGAGAGGCATAAAAATGCTTGCTCTTGCTCAAATGCAAAGCTGACTAAAATAAAAACTGCTGCCAAGAGACGAAAACCAGCTGATAAGATAGAGCCATCTGCTATATGTAGAAAAACTTTTATCCTCTCTACTCTCTACACAAGGATATAAATGTAAATCAAAATACTTTATTTGGTAATTCTCCACTCTTCTGCAGATTTAATCTATCTGCTGCAGCACAATAAACACTTTTCTTCCACTATATTATCACCAACTGTAACTAGCTGTTCTGCGCATCACTCTTCTGCGGCTCTTTCTTTACGTACCCAATGAGTCTGTTCTCTAAAAGCTTCTTGTAGTTGATCCATGGATGGATTGTGTTAAATATCACTGTGCAATCTTTTCCTCCGTTCTCCAGAATGATATCTGCTCCCCCGGGGTGCTCTTTCACGTAATCAGTAACATCGTACACAAGGCCTGAAAGAATAACCCAGCAGCTTTTTCTGTGGTTGTTCTGCGCAACCTCTTCCACTGTGTAGAGCTTGGGCCGGGCGCGGATCATCTTGATGCTAATTAAATGTAAATTAATTGCAAATTAATTCCACTCCCAGGCCCAAACTAGCCCCAATTCCAAAGCAGCTTGTTGGATTGAAATAAAAATAAAAAAACAAAACAAAAACATGGCAGAGGAAAACACAGCAACAGCAATACTTGATGAAAGGCGAACAAACAGCTACCAAATAGTCTACCCCACAGACGACTGTGTGAAGGGAGAGTGCCGGCTAGACCCCGCAGACGTAGGCATTTCGTACGCAAGAATGCAGGAGCTGAACATTTTTCAGTACGACGTAATACTCATAAAGGGAAAGAAAAGAAAAGAGTCCCTTTTCATGGTGAAGAAAATGGACATTCCAGACGACAAAATAGTTCTACTTCGAGAGGGGTGTGAGAATCTGTGCTCGCGTGTCGGGGATTTTGTGAAGCTCTACGAGCTGATGGATGACACAATCACCGTGGAAAAAGCAACTATCCTCCCCGTGAAAGAAGATCTCGAGGGAGTGAACATAGATGTGTACAATGACCTGCTTAAAGAATACTTCGAAAAAGCAGTCCGCCCCATCCACGTAAATGACACCCTTACAATTCGGAACAACAAAGTGTTCAGATTCAAAGTGACACAGGTGAAGGCAGGCCCTCACTGCTTTGGGAAGGTGGGAAAAGACACGGAAATATTCTGTTCAGGAGAAATATCCGAAGAAGAGCTGATGGCTGAAAAGAACATGATAGGATACGATGACATCGGAGGGTGCAGAAAACAGATGGCGAAGATAAGAGAGCTTGTAGACCTTCCACTGCGCCACCCTGTTCTCTTCCAAAAGCTTGGTGCTAAGCCTCCCAGAGGAATTCTCATGCACGGCCCCCCGGGGACAGGAAAGACAATGATCGCGCGAGCAGTTGCAAATGAGTCAGGGGCTTTCTTTTTCCTCATCAATGGCCCTGAGATTATGTCCAAGCTCTCAGGAGAGAGCGAGAATAACCTGCGAAAAGCCTTTAAAGAAGCAGAGAAAAACAGCCCCAGCATTATCTTCATAGATGAAATAGATGCTATAGCACCAAAGAGAGATAAGAGCCAGGGAGAAGTTGAAAAGAGAGTAGTATCACAGCTTCTCACCCTTATGGATGGGCTCAACTCGAGAGCTACTGTGATTGTGATCGGTGCTACTAACCGCCCTAACAGCATAGACCCTGCTCTTCGAAGATTTGGAAGATTTGACAGAGAAATAGAAATAGGAATACCAGACTTTGCAGGAAGACTCGAGATTATGAGAATCCACACGAAGAACATTCTCATGGCAGAGTCTACAGACATCGAGAAAATAGCAAAAGACACGCACGGGTACACGGGGAGTGATTTAGCCTCTCTTTGCTCAGAAGCTGCCCTGCAGCAGATACGCGAGAAGATGCACTTATTTGACTTAGACAGTGACACTCTTGACATAGGAGTGCTCAACTCCCTTGCAGTTTCGCAGGAGAACTTTGAGTACGCGCTGCGACACACTGATCCCAGCTCGCTCAGAGAAACTGTCCTAGAGGCTCCCAATGTCTCTTGGGATGATGTAGGAGGGCTAGAGCAAGTGAAGACTGAGCTCAGAGAGATGGTGCAGTACCCTGTTGAGTATCCTGATCTGTACAGAGAGTTTGGAATGAGCCCTTCCAGAGGTGTGCTCTTCTATGGTCCCCCAGGGTGCGGTAAGACTCTCTTGGCTAAGGCAGTTGCCAGTCAGTGCAATGCAAACTTTGTGTCGATCAAAGGCCCAGAGCTACTGACAATGTGGGTCGGAGAGAGTGAGGCAAATCTCAGAGAAATCTTTGATAAAGCGCGAGCTGCAGCACCGTGTGTTCTTTTCTTTGATGAGATCGACTCGATCGCTAGAGCCAGGGGAGGAGACAGGAATACATCAGGAGGAGCCACACAGATCCTCAACCAGATGCTTATTGAAATGGATGGAATGAACTCCAAAAAGAACGTGTTTGTCATAGGAGCTACAAACAGGCCAGATGTCATTGAGCCTGCGCTTATGAGACCAGGAAGATTGGATCAGCTTATCTACATTCCTCTTCCCGATGAGGAGAGCAGACTTTCCATCCTGAAGGCAAGTCTGCAGAAGGCTCCGCTGGATGAGTCAGTGAATCTACGGGACATAGCTAAAAAGACCGTGGGGTTCTCGGGGGCTGACTTGACAGAGGTGTGCCAAAAGGCGTGCAAGTTCGCTGTTAAGAAGAGAATTGAGGAAGAAATAGCTGCGAAAAAGGGAGGAATGGAAATTTCAGATGTTTCTGCTCCGGAAGCAGGAGAAAGCACGGGAAAAACTGTCTGTGTGACAAGTGAAAACTTCCGCATGGCTCTGGAGAGATCCAGAAGAAGCGTGAGCGAGGAAGAAGAGAGGAAATACGACGGATTCCAGAGCAAGTACAAGGAAGGGCTGGGATCTCTTTCAGAGACAGTCGATGAGTCGGGGCTTTACGACTAAGCATTTCTGAAAGAAATAAATATTCCAAAGGTTGAGATGTTTTGATGGTTTGTGCTCTATCTAATCTATTTTTAACTTTTACTGATGTGCAGATATTTATGATGAAAAGTGTATGTGGACAGGAGTTGCCCATTCTTTGCTGTACACTTTGAGTGAAAATGTGTGAAAGATGGAGATAGAACTCTACTTCGATGGGGCTCTAAAAAGCTGAGAAGAAAGAGCTTACAAGGCAATCAGGGAGTAGTATGGTCTGTAGGATAGGCTGTATATGGATAGTATGTGTGTTTATTCTATGTATGGCAGCAGATCATTTTAAAAAATAATTGGCATTTAGCTTGCTTGGCATGATAAAAATTTTATGAATAATTCATACTCTGCTCTTGTGGTTGCTGGTGCTAGTGGCTCAGGGAAATCCACGATCGTAAAGCACCTGGTGCACAGATTCCCAGACACGTTTACGCTGTCTATTTCGTACACGACAAGAACGCCAAGAGAGAAAGAAATAGATGGCAGAGATTATCATTTCATAAGCCAGGAAGAGTTCAATGAAAAAATTAAAAAGAACGAGTTCATAGAATACGCAGAGTACGCAGGGAACTATTATGGAACAGGAATAGAGTATAGCACCGTGGAGAAGGGGAAAATACTTTTGCTGGAAATCGAAAAAAAGGGGGTCAAGAAAATAAAAGAGTCTGGGCTCAATGCAGCGTACTTGTATATATACGCATCCATGTCAGTGCTGCATGCAAGAATTTCCCAGCGAGCCATTATAACACAGGACGAGCTGAGCAAGCGCCTTATGAAAGCAAAAGAGGAAAACATGTACGGCTGCAGCGATGAGTTTGACGAGGTCATTAATAATGAAGATCTGGAAACAACATTGAAGGAGGCAGAGGAGTTTGTCAAAAGTAAATTCAATGTTAAATAAACCACTGAACAACTTGTTCTACTGATTTCTTTTCTTTTTGCAGAGTTTAGCAGCCAGAAAAATGAGACTATTCTTTTAGAAGTAAAGTGTCTGCTGCACTGCAAAATGTGTACTTCTATTATTTTTATTTATTTATACACTATTCGTCTGTTTCTTGTCTGATTTTTCAGAGAGTGCTGTTGTCCCCTTGAAAATAAATATTTAAGAAATTTTTTAGCACAATTTCTAATGAATTTGATCATGAATGGTGTAACAATGTTACTACTTGCGCTATCAAGCTTCAGAGAAAATAACACAGGAAGCAGATTCGGTGTAAGTCTAGTAGACAACGATGTGGTAGAAATAAGCAAACTAAAATATGACAAGATAGAAGGCGATATAAAAAGATTGCACTTCGTAGTAAAAAAAAGTGATAATGACGCTTGCAATAGAAGTTCAGAGAAATGGAAAATCACAACTAAGCTTCATATCACTGGAGGCAATGTAGATCAGATAAAGAATTCTGCTGAAGAGTCTGAAAGTCCAGCTGTAAACCCAGAGAATAAAAGAGGCGAAGAAAGAGGTTGTATGATGAACATAGACAAGTCTACAATACCGGTACAAATTCTAAAGGACTTGCTAATAAAAATATCAAGCGAAGACTACTACTACCAGGAAATGTGCGATTTCTTCATGTCTATAATATTTTCGCAGGTTCTACACAATGGAAATACAGACACAAAAAAGATACAGAAGGATTGCCTGCTGATGTACGAAAAATTTCAGCGCCCTTACTTAAAAGATAACTACAAATTGGCCAGAGACTTCGATGCTATTGTAAAAGAGCTTCCAGACTACCAAAACGAAAGAGTTATGGGAGAAGACCCTACTGTTATTGCCGGAATAACTGAGTATACTCACACGCTATTGTGGTTTAATAGAATGTTTAATTTCGACGATCTAACATACATCTACGCATACTTCATAGAGTCAGAAGACCTGCACACACCTTATATGTTTCTGCTGTCTGCAGTCGATATAGTCAGAAAATACGAGCATACAAAAGAATTTCCTTTTGAAACGCTTGGAGAGGAAAAAATAAAAGAATTGATAGAGAAAAGCAAAGAGCTAGACAAAAAATATAGAAAAGATTTCATCAGACATCGGATGAGCAATGCTCAATGGATATTTGAAGGACTGAAAACTCTACTGTATAGCTTCAAGAGAACTGTTAAATTTTTTATGAAGTATGTATTCAGACGGTAGCCCCACAGAGATTGCAAGAAATCAGAGGAAGGGCAGTCCTAGACAGACAGCTCTATAGCCAATAAAGAATATATGATAAATATTGGTCAAAAAGACCCTTTTTACTGGTTGCCAAACAGAGAGATAGTGTGCAGCGGACCAATTAGACTTAGCTTATTACTAAAAGTTTTCATTCTTTATTTGCATGGATATAAATAAGAGCATAAAAGTGCTATTAGACGCAATAAACGCCTTCAAGTCAGCAAACACAAGCGAGTCTGTTTTGATGGCTAAATTTCCTGCCAAGATAGATAATATAGAAATAGTAAAACAGGATGTAGATAAGGACATAGTGAGGCTGGGGTTCTACGTAAAACACCCGGGGGACACAGAGGAAAAACCAATTGATAAAAAAGGCAAGCCTGTGGAATTTTTAAGAAAGCTACTGTGCAAGCTGTATGCTATCAGAGAATATTACCAGGAGATGCAGGACTTCTTCATCCCCATAATATACGCAGAGGTCATGGGAAATGAAAACATCACGTACGAAGAGGTTGAGAAAGACTGCATGCTGATTTACGAGAGGTTTTTGTATCCATACCTAAAAGATAAATTTGCGCTTTCAATCCAGTATGAAGAAATTCTGAAAAAAATCCCAGGGTACTCTCCTAATCAGGCTACTGCAGAGATCCAGGATCTAAATGGAATACTAGTTGAGCTAAAGCACACTGCGCTATGGTTTGGAAGAGTTTTTAATTACTACGACCTGGTGTACGTATACAAATACTTGCTGGAGTCAGAGCTGCACACCCCATACATATTCTTCTTGGCGGCAATTGACACAATCAGAGAGAGAGAAAAGATGGATATGAGAGAGCTGCAGAGCAAAAGCATGACGCTTGGGGAGAAGAAAATGAAAGCTCTGATAGAAAAAAGCAAAAAGCTAGACAAAAGCTATAAAAGCGAGTTTTCAAAGAAACAATCCACAAAGTATATTTATGTGGCATTAGCCACTGCAGGCGTACTGTCTGCTGTAGTAGCAGGCTTTTTATTATCGGTAGAAAAGTCCAATCGAAAATAAAAGCGATGTGCTGATGTTTTTACACTAAGTTCTCTGATTGTTTTTACTACAGATATAATGCGCATGATATGAGTTGTCTAAGAGTGGTAGGAAAAAGATAGTAAACACGTTTTATTTGGAATCAGTCAAAATACTTGTTGGCTATTGAAACATCTACTTCATTTGCGTAGTTGGGAACTATCAGCTTTCTAACTGGCTTTGGGCTGCTTGGTGCAAGTTTAAATAATCGCCCTGTTTTGTCTATTATCTCATAGCCGTCTGCAGTGGCTGTTCCATCTACAATAAAACTGTCTGATAGATTTTCTATTTCTTTACAGGTGATCGATAAATCTTCTATACTGTCTACGCTTAGGAGCAAAGGAGCTTCATTTGTTATGATTAGAATTGTGTTCTCAAATGAAAGGATCTTTCGCACTCTGCACTCTGCCTCCAAGTTTATGTTTGATATGCTTTTTGGATTTTCTACGCCTGGCAGGGTGTCTCCTATTTCTTTTATTTCTTTTTCCACTAGGTCAAATATTGCGGTTCTTCCTGTTTCTGTATTGTAGAAAGAAATGTACCAGTCGTACCCTCCTGCTACGATGTACTCTTTGAACATCTCCACTGATACCAGTGGCTTACTATGGACCAGCACGAACTTTTTGATTCTGTAGGGATGGCTTTTGTCTGTGATTCTGATTTTATTGTCTTTATCTATCGTGATAATCGATGTGTCTGCTATTTTCATGTCTGTTATCATGGAAATAGACCCAAACAAATAGACAGGGATGTTTTCTGCTGGATTTGCAGAAAGACTGCTCAGATTGTCTAATCTGTAAACAGACCCCAACCGGTCTGCAATGTACATAGAATCTTTGTCAACTACTATCTTTGTGGGTGTTTTTGCAGCTCTACTTATTAATTTTACGCTGTTCCCCTCTATTTTCAGTATTTCTTTGTTTTCTGTTACCACATAGTTGTCAAATACAAGCACTGTCTTGCTATTCAGGTCAATCGTGCTGTGCTCTCCGTTGCTGTACTTGTTTATTTGTGCTCCGTTTAGAATAGTGTTACTGTTATTTGCATGCACTATTGTATAAATCATGGAATGCAAATAAAAAATTAAAGAAATAAAATTACATAACGGCTCCAACAGAACAAAAAGCAAAAAGAGGCAGCTTTTCTGTGAGATATCACTGTGTTCATAGGGATAGTTGAATGCCAATGCACTGCTGCTCTTTTTAACTCAGATGATAGCTTTAAGATACTTTATAACTGCTAAATGTACAGTTTGCGTCCTAGAATTTAGGAATATCCTGTAGAATAAATGAAGATCAGCAAACTCTTGTAGGAACATTCATTGGTTGGTGAGTCACGTGTCTATAAATAGTATTATGCATAGCAAAAACACAAGTAAACTATTTGGATTTTATTTTACTGTTTTTATTTTAGTTCGCCGCAGACGAATGCATTATTACCGATAGAAAATAGCCATTTCTCAATAATGGATGCTCTCTGGCGCTATTAGCGAGCTAGTTGTCTCCTCTGTTCTAGAGTCTTCTTCGTTTTCCTCCTGCGGTTTGTATATTCTATTGTATATCCTGTACGTGCTCTCCAGTTTTCTATTCAGCGACTTATTAAGCACTTTGAGGTTGTTTATAGCCTCTATTCTTTCTGTCTCAAGCTCTTTTAGGATCTTTATTTCTTCGTTTTTCTCCATCAAGTCCATTTCCAGCCGGTTATTTATTGTTTCAAGCTCTTCTTTGTCGTGTTTGTAGTTGTTTGTTTCCTGCTTTAAGATGTTTTCTGTTTTTATTTTGTTTTTCAAGTCTTCAAAGTTTCTTTTTATAATATCGTTGGCTTTTCGAAGATCTTCTTCTATTATTCTATTCTGCTTTTTCAGCCTCTCAACGTCCATTGTGTGTTTTTCGTTCAAGCTTGTTAGTTCTGATATTCTCGCGCTAAGCTCATCCTCCTGTCTGAGCTTCTGTTTCTTGTGGCTTTCGAAATCATCCATTTCTTCTTCGTGCTTCTTTCTAAGCTCTTCCGCTGTGTGTCTGGCAGAGCTAAGCTCTTCCTTTAAAATGCTGTTCTCTCTTTCAAGTGCTGCTGTGTGTCTGTTGAGCCTGCTGAGAATGTCTGAGATATACATTTTGTACTCTGCTTCGGAAAGATCTTTCAAAGGAAGCTCTAGGTGCAGAATATTTCTAAATGCGTTTCTCTCTACGATTTTCAGTGTGCTCCCCACCTCAATAAAAAGCTCTTTCCTCTGCACTCTCTTCAACAGTTCGGCAAGCGTTGTCATAAATCTGAAGAAGTCCACCCGAATGCTCTGTGTTTCTTTTATGCTGTAGTACTCTGTTTCGTTTATCCTAGACAGCAGGATGGTAAATGAGGCCTGGTTGTACAGCTTTAGTTCAAATGCATTTGGTTTTTTGGATAGCTCGCATGTGTACTCTGCTGTGCTCCCATCCTTGAAGATGTTTAGCGCACCAGAGAATAAAACTTCATTCATAAATAAAATAAAATTAGGGCTAGTTATGAACAAGTGTGCATAAATAAATATTTTGTATGCATTTTAATTATGCACACCATCAAAATAGTTAGCTTTGACGAAAAAGAAGTGGAAATTAGAGAAAAAGAAATGAAAACCAAAAAAAGAGTAGTGGATGCATACGACATGGAGGATCCGTTTTACCAGGAAGACGAAGCCGTGGCTACATTTGAGTGTAAATACAAGAACTTTTTCTGTCTATCGGGGGAAAGCTTGGTGGAGAGAAAAAAGGAGGAAAAAGAAGAAAAAGCCAAAAAAGAAAAGAAAGAAACCAGCAGAGAAAGATATCTCAAGCAAAAACAGGAAAAGTTGGAAGAGTATACAGCGGCTCCTGAAGATGCCGATAGAATAATAAAGGAGCTGGTTACTTTGGAGATACTGACGGCACAGGAGCCGAGCAGAGACACCTTGCTAGACGAAATAGTTAAGGTGAAGCCTGGAGAAGACAGAGAAAAAACAGGAGCAAAGATCGATGAGCTCATGAGCAAAGAAGGACTGCAGAATCTCCTGAAAGAGGCGGAAGAAGAGTGCAAAAAGATAGTTGGCGAAATAGAAGTAGAAATAAAGAAAAAAATAGAAGAGAGCGCCGAGAAAGAGACCGTAGACGAGAGCTCAAAAATAACACAGCTGTCGTTTGATGATGACTTTTTGGAAAAGCTAACAAAGTACACGGAGATAGAGTATTTGTGTTTCTTCATCAAACTGTTCCTCGCTGGGAAGAAAAGAATACTAGAGCACAAAGTAAAAAAGAACATAGTAAAAATGCTCCAAGAAGTGTTTCCTGTGGAGTACAGAAGCAGTTCTCTGGGAAAAAAAATCGCATCCTATGTGATCAAAAAGAGAAGGTCTGAGCAGAGCAAAGAGTCGCAGTCTGAAGAGAACATGGACAGCAATAGCAACACAGAGGACGAGACTCCAGACACGCCCATAAAAACCACAAAAACAGAAGAATCTCTTAATCCGAACGAAGAAGCTGCTAGCAACATAGAAAACATCTCCTCTATCGGCTCCCCCAGTGAAAAAAGCAGTATCGCAGAAGAATTGGAACATGTCTCTGATGAAAAGCTGGAGTTACCGTCCAAAACTGAAACAGATGATGCAAGTGGCAATAATGCGCTGAAGAGCTTGCAAAAGTCTGCTCCTCTTAAAAAACCTCCTGTTCAAAGAAAGCGAAAAATACCGCTTCCTAAAAATAAAGAAGAAAAAGCTGTTACATCCCCCAATGGCGATGCTGATGATAACACAGCAGAAAATACAGCTGCAGAAGATGAAGATGATATAAAGGCTGCGCCTATTCCAGAAGAGCTGAAGAGTGCAGAAGAGCCAATAGATACACTGCCAGAGGATGTTACTGACACCCCCAGGAAGCTGCAGCCAGTATCAGGCAAAAAAGTGCCAAAGAAAACAAAAGCCACTGCGCCTAAGCCTGTAAAAGCAAAGGCAAAAGAAACAAGAAAAAACAACAAAAGACAGAAAGAAGCAGCAGCACCATCTAGTGATATAAATAGTACAAATGACGCAAAAGAAGAAGAGCCGGTAGCAGACAAAGCTGCTGAAGAAAAAGAAGAAAGTTTTTCACAATATGATACAATTAGCATATAGTCATTTATAAAGGCTGTGCTAAAAGAAGAAGTATTTAACTAACTATTTGCAATGGAAGATAGAGTAGATCTATCAAACTTAATAAATCTGAGAAAAGATGTACTAATTAGCATGTTCTTTTTTACGCATGGGTTTAAGCTAAGCTAAGGTGTTTATACCTCGAAAAGGTAGGAATAAATTTTATTTTAATGATGAACATAAATGAAGAGAAGACGGCAGAAATTGTTTTAGATGTGCCAGATGCATCAAGAAATAAAAAAATTACAAAAACAGCCGGGAGAAAATCGATCAGAGAGTACGTAACTTTGTTTTTTAATCGGCTGGGCATAAAATTCACTGCTAAGCCCATTCGGCTCAACGTTGACATAGAAGAGATCAAAAAAGACTTGAAAAATCTTGCAAAGAATGAAAATATTGATGAGCACATGATTTTTGGCATATTGCACAGCTTGGTGTCCAACCACACAAAAATAGTAGCTGACAAAAGTCTGAGCGATCTGCACGCATCTCTGTTGTCTGAAATAGCGACCAATGCACTGGAGCAGGCCATTGTGGCGTACAGCTATGATGAAAACGACTGTCTCTACAAAGAATGCAGCAACACAGGAACAAATGAGAAGATTTTAGAAGCGCTTAGAGAAGGCCTAGGTGATCTGATGCACAAAGACCTCCCAAAAATCATTGAGAAAAGGATTAACAGGTGGTACAAGTATGTAATAGAGCTGAAAAAAGTGGATGCAGACTCGTATCTCACCTATGCGCGAGACTACTTCAACGAAAGAGCATGCATCTTATATATGGTGTACAAGCCGCTCATCTACAACTTAAGAAACTTTGTTGAGTCTTTGAGATATGACAAGGAGTCTATCTTTGAGGAGTGCAACTTATTTAGGAAGAACGAAGAAGGGGTATACAACCTCGACCATGCAGTCAATTTGCTTATGAAAAACAAAAAGTATCTCCAAAGCTACTTCACCAGTTTTAGATCGCCAAAAAAGGATGAGATGCCAGAAAGCGATAAAAAACTTCTGTTTACACTGTACCAAATGTGGGAGACCGTGCCAGATGTTTACACAAAAATACACAACTTCACTGACTTTGATAATGCGTATGTGGACAGCTTTTACATAACAGGCGACATCGAAAAATCAAACAAAAAAAGTACTATTGCAGATCCAACAAAGTGCAATTATAGAAACATTGCAACCGGGAAAGAAGTGGCAGAGAGGCTGGAAGGGAGCAAGTTTTCAGATAGCATAAAAGCCTACATTGTAGACAAAATTGCAAGATACAAAGAGCTTGTCAAAACAGGAAAGATGCAAGACGAGATAGGCAAAAAGCTACACGCTGCTTTAGTTGTATGCAGTGCTTCTTTGCTCACTCTTGGCATAGTATCGAGCTCCTTATACGTTTAATAAATAGCGCTTTATTGTTCAGTTTTTAGGCCTATTTTTAATTTTATTATTTTCGAGCCTGTGCAAGAGAAAGAGCTTTAAACGGCAGTTTTACCACCAAAGAAGAAGCATAAATCTAATTAAAATTTTTAGGTAAGCCATGGGGAGAGAAAAGGGCTTGGTCTATAGCACAGCAGAGAACGCACCAGATAGAATTACAAAAGCAGAAGAAAAAATGTATCTTTGCTTAGACATAGATAGTGCACAGCCCAAAAATAATGCATTAGCATCTGGAAAGCCCGAAAAAAAGTACGTATGTGTCTACACCAGCAAAAAAAGAGTCAAGTCTCTCTTAAGATCCATAGTTATTAACATGCTAGAAAACAATGACAAAGTGCTGGATTTTAATGAGCTGTTTAGAGTTTTAACTATACTAGTGGCTAAAAGCACAGAAATCAGAGCATGCAGCTCTGTTCCAGAGCTCCACTGTAGCATACTGAAGGACATAGCCATATCGCTCGTAGAAAAAGGCCTGGTAAATACGAAGATAGAAGCCTTTCAGCATCTATACAGCATAGCTGACAAAAAGTCCACGCCTCTTGAGATATCTGGAGCAATCGAAAAGACGTTAAATGATTTGCATGGCAGCGATCTTTTTACAAATGTACAAAAAAAAGTTAACAACTGGTATGGAAGTCTACTCGCTTGCAGACTGACAGAGACAGGCACAAGCGCGCGCCTTGGCTATGCAAGAATGATCGCAAATGAAGAGGCTATTTTCAATCCAGTGCTAAACAGGAACACAAGAGCCTATCTGAAAAATATACTTTTTAGGATAAACAAGATATCCAAGAGCAGCTCAAAGAAAACTGCCAAGCCAATTCAGCTATTCAAAAAGAACAAGCTTGGGATATACAACGTAGACGTTGCACTGGAGCTTGTCCATGTCATTAAAAAAATGGCAGAGTATTCGTCTTTTGAAGAATACAGCTCGGAGTACAAGGATGCCCTTAGAAAGCAAAAAGCTCTTTTTGAAGCTCTGTACCTAAAATGGCCGCTGGTAAGTGCTTTCTACAACAAGCTGCACAAGGACCTCAATTTTCTAAAAACAAAATACACCACTCTGTTCTTGGAGGAAGAGCACGCAGCGTGCAATGCAAGTTTACTAAGCCACCACAACAAGCCCCCTGTAAATATAGATAGGAATAGCATTGAACATTTTAAAGAAACTGTATATGATTCCTACAGCAACTGGCCAAGCGACTTTCGAGAGTATGCACAAAACAGGATAATGAGACTGGAGAACCACCTATACATTAATGAGATGGCCTGGCACAATAGAAGCCTCCTCAGCAAGCATAAGATAGTAGGAGGGTGCTATTTTATGGTTATAATGATCTTAGGGACCGTAGGCATCCTGTGCAGCTCCAATGCCATTTTCTTGGCAGAGTATATGTTTTTTTTAAATAACGAGCTCTTTGCCTAATTGGTCTACTGCTAAAACCATGTGGCTAAATCTAGTACAGACACAGGTGCATGGACAGTGGATATACATTAATGCGGAAGGTTTATACTATATTAATAAATGTGTTTCATTCTAATCAGTGCACATCTACTTCTCGACTACTGCTACGTGTTTTAGCAAATACTTATCAATTACTATATAGGCTCTATGCCAAATTTTATTTTAGTAGTAGAAAATACCGTAAAAATTTGCTGGTTCTGATGAATAATACCGAAAGAGAAGAAAAAACAGTTACTGATTTGAAAGAAGAAGATGCACAGACTGGCACCATAGAGATATTAGAGGCACCTAGCTCTAGCAGTGAAAGATTGGAAGAAGCAACACAGCCGGTTAAGCTTACATTTAGCACCGACAGGTTTAAAGAAGAGCTGAAGACTATTGCAGAAGAAAACACAAAATCTGCCCAAATAGGAAAACTCAGCAGCTACTACACGTTTGTCAGCGCTCTTACTAATTCAATAAGAAAAAGCTTGGAGATTGAGACATGCCCTGCGATGGATAAGGCTCTTTCTTCTTTGATGCCTAAAATGGTTATGCTTATGCTTGAGGAAGTCTTGCTGTTAGATAAATCGAGTGTGACTGAGTCCTACTACTACGACAGACTCTCTAGCATCAATACACATAATGCTTTATCGGAAAGTTTCCCTTTTGCCAATGATCTGGATGTGCCCAGTCTCGTGCTGCTGGTTGAAAATAAAATTAATAGCTGGTACACTACGATTAAAAAATCAAACAGAGTATTTTTGTGTGAATACTTTTTGCACGTTAACAGAATTCTATGCCAAAAAAGATTTAGCAACAGCATACTAAATGCAAAGACAAAAGACAACCTGAACGAATACATTGCCCATTTGAAAAACAATGATCTGCTGAGCACAGCCCACACAAAAACTAGTAGAGATATTTTGTTTGAGAAAAACAAAGAGGGGGTGTACAACATAGACCACATAATAGACGTGTTTCTGAGCAAAGGCGGTGAAGTTGGAGACTTTTTTACCGGCTCTAAAGTGCACGCACTGCCAGAAATAACAGAAAACGATAAAAAACTCCTTGTAGCCCTGAGCAAAGAATGGCCGCTGCTAACGAGTGTGTACTCCGAGCTTAGCAAGGTGATAGATGGAAAAGTGCAGGAGATAGACAGGCACTACCTGACAGGAGTTCCTATGTACGACAGCGGATGCATAGGCCTTCCCTGCCTAACAAGAGGTGCATACAATGAGTACATCGATAAGGTAAATAACTTAGCGCACGAAACAAAGCGCCAATACAAAAAATATCCCTATGTTGTGCGAAAATACATAAAAGAGAAAATGCTGGATCTGAAGAAGCTCATAAACCCTCGGCGCACCATACTGTACACTGCTAGGTCTATAGACAGCATAGGCAGCATGTATGAAGTCGATTATGACGGTGAGTGGTTGGACGAACAATACACAACTGCCATTGAAAAAAGGAGAAAGAGAAACAGAATGCTTCTGACAATATTCACTACTGCAGGATCTTTACTAATGCTCAGCATGCGCACAATAGGAGCTAGCAGAACATTAGAGCACGTCTATGCAGCCCCCAAGCTATAGCCAAGAATAAAGATTAGTTCATTTTTCTGTACAAAACTTTTCTCTCTTATTCACTTGAGTAGTGCCACTATTTAATTATTATATCAACAATCTGCAAGCTAATGACAGCTAGTAAATGTCATGCAGTTAATAAGTGCAAGGAATATGGATAGGAATAAAAACAGAGAACATCGCTGAGCACCCTGAAATGTAAATATAATTGATATATCTATTTACTCTTTTTATTTTTATATGGCCAGCCTACTAGCAATAGAATATTGTAATTAGATACTTCATTAGCTAAATTAAAAAGTGTATTTGTAAATATTTTATTTATTTTACTACTGATAAATGATGGCACCATAGTAATAATCACGCAGGACATGAAGTAGACTATACCAGCATTGTACTAACAGCCCGTCTAAACTTCTCTGGGTCCAGTAGATTCGAGGAACTAGCTGGCCGCATAAAAAGAGAGAGATGAAAGCAGAAAATACTTCAGACATACACACAGCCCATGCACAGAGAAATCACTTGAATTATCTGCGCATACATGTATAGTATGCTTTTTTGCTGCTGCCTGACTAATACTTACACAATAAATATATTTTTCGTCTATCGTCGTGCTCCCGTAGCTCAGAGGTAGAGCACGGCACTTATGGGTGGGAGCCTCCTGTGTTTGAAGGCTGTAATAAGCTGAGTTATGCCGGGGTCGTGGGTTCGATCCCCATCGGGAGCATTTTTTCCTAGTTTTTAATTTTTAGCAATTTGTAGAGCCAGTTGACCTCCTTCTCTTCTGCGCTGTATCTTCGGCACAGATGCAGGAATATTGCCTCAAGGTCTGCATTGTCTCGCGGGTTGTTTTGCTCTGATATGATCTTTGCCAGGACCTTTAGCATTTCAGTGTCCATGATCGTTGTGCTCTTCAGATACTCTCGCGTTATTGGCGCAAGGCTTGTGGGGTCATAGAGAATCGATAGTAGGATTCTTGCAAAGGGTGTTTCCTCCGACTTTCTGCTGTCTTGGTAGTAGTCTTCTATATCTTCGTCTCTTATCATTCTCAGCAAGAGCTCAACCTCTAGAGACTCTTTTGTTTCTCCCTGGAGGTTCGCTTTTTTAATGCAGTGGGAGACTGCGTTGTGCAGCACAGGATTGTTTAGCTCGTTGTTCACACTGGCCAGTAGAAGCAGTAGTTTGCTCAGTGTTATTAGCTCTTGCTGGTCATCTGTTGATAGATATTCAGTTAGCCTGTTTTCTGCTCCAGTCTCGTTTTTAAGTATTTTATCCACCAGCTCTACGTATGCATCTGATATGCCTATGATTGCCCCCATTTCTGTCCATTTCTCATCTCCACTGCACTTTCTTTTTAGCTTGCTGTATTCTTCTGTTATTTTTAGCACGCTTTCTACTTCTTCTGTGCATATTGCCTCTCTTATCTGTATAGCATGTATGTATTTCTTGTACTGAATGGCTTTGTTCTTCTTTGATTCTTCAAGGTTTTCTTCTAGCAGGGCATTGATTATCTCCAGAGCCTCTTCTAATTTCCCAATTTTTATGTGTAAATATGCCTTGAATATGCGCACACTCGCCAGTCTACTGCTGCTCTCATCCGTTATAGTGCTCTTGCTTAAAATGGACATCTCTGATAGCTCATGTGTTTTTGTTTGGTTTTTCTCCATTTCATCGCTTTCCACCTCTTCTACAATTTTTATTGCATATTTGTACTTCTTCTGCACTGACAGGGCCTCTGCCAGCGCCATTTTTATCTTATACTCGTATTTCTGTGCCAGAATTTCCTTTGCTCTTCTTTCGACTATCTCCCAGTTGCCTTGCTTTTTGTGGTATTTCATGCTTATCAAAAACAGGTTTGTGCTATCCATGCTGTGTGCTGTCCTGAGATATTTGTCAACAAAATGTATACTTTCGTTTTTCTCTGTTAATATCAGCGCCAGGTCATTGATTAAGTAATAGTCATGTGATCTTTCCTGGTACAGCTCTCTGAGAAGCATTAGAGAAATTTCTTTTCTATTTTTTTCGTAGTTGCTAATCGCTAGCAAGTGCCGGAAGTACTCTATGTTCGCATTGACAGTGTATTTGTACAGATTTAGCTCTTGCATATCCCTGCTTCTCTTGCAGCCCAGATACTCTTTGCTGTATACACTTTTGTACTCTGCTGTGTTGATATTTTCCTCTGCTATCTGATTTTTCACTATCTTATTAATGTACTCGCACAGAAACTTGTGATAGCCGTACACTCTGTCAAATACACTGCCGTATCGGTCTATCTCATTTAGATACAGCCTGTGCATATCTATTCCTTTTTCATTATCTATCAAGTATTCACATACGCCATCTGTTCTATTCTCTAGGACGTGTGCATGCTGTATGATGGCATTCAAATGGTACTTGCTGTGTATTATGTCTAGAATGTAACTGAATAAAATGTCTCTATAATAGTCCATACTATACAAACTAGACATTGTTTTTAGAAGAAAAGCCTGTATAACCTGAGTGCTGTCTGCACTAGCAGCGGATAAGTCTTCCAATCCACTTGCAGTAGTAGAATCAGTTTTAGATTCTTGGCTGCTTGCACATTCTTCTTTTGTTTTTTCATTGCCCAATACAGACAAAGTACTCTTCGGTATTTTTTCATATTGCAAACACTCAGAGAGCACATCGTCACCAAGCGGTCCCTCTTCATAGATGCTACAAAGAAGATCGTTCATCACTTTTATGTTCATCGACTGCATTGCGTAGTTCATTAGAATTAGAATGTTCCTGGGATGCGATATTTTCCTAGGGCTGTTAGAGCATCCTCCCTTTACATTATCCGATGGCTCAGAATGGTGCAATTCTATGGCACTCTTTATGCTATATTGTCTATTGCTGAGTATTTCATCTTTTGTCATGCTCTCTAGAACGAGCGTGTCTAAATACTCCTTCTTCAGTTTGTAGCTGAGCCCCAGTGCGTTTTCCATTTCCTGGTAGATCTCTAAGACAACTTTTTTCTCATTTGGGAACCTCAAAAGCCTGATGGTTGGCGATAGCGTGTTGTAGTAAACTTTTTTATAGTGCGATATCTCTCCTAGCACGGCAGGAATGTTTAAAAAATCAGATAGCACCATTAGCACAGCTGCTTTGTTCTCTATTTCCACACCGTTACACACTAGCTCTCTTATAAACAGGAGCAGTCTCCCAATGGATTTGTAACCGCTATACGTTCTTGTTGTAAGAAACAAGAGATACAAATTGGCAACTTCTTCCAAAAATATTTTTGGATACTTTTCCACGAGGGCACTATAGTACTTGTCTAGGTCTAAACACTTTTCTATTATACACTCCAGCTTTCTAGCTATCTCTTTCCTGCAGACAGAGAACCCTCCGCTGTCTACAATGGACTTCAAGTCTTTTTCAAAATTTCTAAGTCTTGTCATAAAATAGCTCTTAAGCATATTGTGTCCTTCTTCTTCGAATCTATCCTTCATAGCTAAACTGTCAATGGAATCTTTTCTCAGACAGTAAGTGCTGAAAAAGCTCATGTATTTCTCTATGTCGTTGTACAGGTATATATTAGACAGGAAGACAATGCACGAATACTCGGTTTCTGTGTATTCACTGTCTTTTGCATTTTTCAACACGGCAAGAAGAGCGGCTTCTATTTCTATTATGTCCTTTGCATCTAAATACAGAAACTCGTACGTTATGTATATCTTTGACAGGCCTTTGTATATATCTAGCAAGTCCTCAGGAGACACGGACAGCTTCAGGGCTCTTTTGTAGTACTCCACAGACTTACCGTACTTGTTCTGTAGATAGTAGCAGTATCCTGCGTAAAATAGTATCTTGCCATCTTCTTCATCTTCCAAAGCATCTAGTGCGGTGCTCAGTGCTTTTTCAATATCGCGGGTTTTTATGTGGTTTAGAATGATCTTTCGAAGCTTCTTCATAGAAGCAAAATAAAAAATAAAAAAACATAAATTCCAAGATGCTACTCTATCTCCAGAGTGCTCTCTGCACCTCCCATGGAAATGCTTCGTGCTGTGCAAGTTTCTTGGCTCTTTCGCTCCCAAAATCGCCAATTTTTTGATTTTTATTGCGAATGATAATTATATAGACAGATTTTACTAAATTAGGAAAGCCCTATTGGATATAAAGTATTTAAGGAGAACAGAAAGTGAATTTTGGGGCGGTGGATGGCATTGTAAATGTTTTTATTCTCCTGCCCTGCTAACCCGAGCAATTGCTGAGCAATTATCAAAGGCATGCTTTCCCCATGGGGTGGAGGGGAGGCTGCTTTTCTTTTGTTTTTATAGGAGGGACACTAAGAAAAATAAAAGTCTCTGGTTAGTAAATTCTATTTTATTTTTGAATTATTTTTAAACAGCAATAGAGCGCTATTCTATCTGAAAACAGGAGACACTTTGTGCTGCTTAGCAAAAGACAGGAGAAATAATCATGCTTCTACGTCTTTTTACTTAGTCTGAGAAAGTGAATGTCTCCATTAAAAAATGATTAAGATTGTTGTACTATCGAAGGGTATGGTGAGTGATCTATTGCTGCTCCTTTAGATTGCCTTGGCTTAACTCTCTATTTCTTCTTCTCTTTCCAAGAGTGTTATTAATTGTCCTATGGTCTTTTTCTTAAATTTTATTTTATTCAATTGGAGTATTGGCAAAGCAAAGAGCACCAATACTCGCTGCAGGAAAAGAGCTAGAGCTGAGAGTAAGGCCATGTGTAGAGAACAGCAGTAGATCCTCAAATGTGTGCAATTTCTTGGGCGGGGATAAAACTAAAAAAACGTCCTGACAGGGACTCGAACCCAGAACCTCCTGATTAGAAGTCAGATGCGCTGCCAATTGCGCCACCAGGACACACATTATATTAAAAAGTAGAATACTTCTCTATACTAGCACTTCCAATCCTCAACTGCATTTGTCTTTTGGGTAGTGCTTTCGTGTTGTGTATGCTGCGAACAGCTTAAAGCAGATCCAGAAAAAGGGAGACAGGAAGTAGGCTAAGACATCTGAGAGCGTGTTTATCTCTGCTGACTTGCTGAACAGCCGGGTGACAAAGTCTGAGTATATTATCCTGCTTTTTGGCATGGCATTGAGGAGCGTTCTCGCCCTGTTTTCAGGCAGGGACATTTTCGAAATTGAAGAGCCCTCTATTTTTTTTGTTATCTCTGGCTTTGTTTTCTGCTCTGTAATGAAGCCGTTGCTCTGTATTGTTGACACGTAGTATATGTACAGATCCAGGCCCAGTATAGACGATTCATCGTACACTGACTCGTAAAAAGAGGAGAGTGCAGACTTGCTTGGAGAGTACATGCCGTATCCCGTGAAAGAGTGCAGGCCAAGCGTTGATGAAATAAAGACCAAGCTTTTTCTCTTCTCGTGTGTTACGTGTTTTAAAAAGTGCAGGTAGACTCTCACCGAGCCAAAAAAGTTACAGTTCATGATTTTCTCCATTTTCTGCACTTCTATTTCTCTCGCAAGCGACGGAGTTGCAAAGCCTGCGCAGCAGAATATAAGGTCAAAATCAGAGGGAATGGCATCGACTGAAGACTGCTCGGTGATGTCCACAGGATGTGTGCTAAACTCTGGCACAAACTCACTTAAGGTTGATGGCGATCGAGAGGTGATTGTTACTAGAGCCTTTTTGTCTTTTAGATCTTTTGCCAGCGCTAGGCCTAGCCCGCTGCTTCCTCCCACAATAAGAACCTTTTTTCCTTCGTAGTGCATGTTTTTATGAAGTGTGTTCGAGTATTTATTGTTGTATCTACGTGTGAAAAACAATCGAGCACTGGGAGGTGTGTAGGATATTTGCACTGTTTGCTCTTTAATTTAGCTTTTGTTTGTTTTTCACTCTTCTTTATTTATTGTGCTTTCTGTGTTATTTGCATGCTCTCCATTTTACTTTTTGTGTTTTTTGAAAGAGTATCTTTTTTTTTAGTGCGTACCCATTTGTTTTTGTACAGCACACAGAACATTCTTTCCAGCCGGGTTGATGGCGTGATTCTTGTGCACTTTTTTATTTGTTTGGCGTACTTTTTCTGCATTGCAGGAGGAGCTATTTCGGCCAAAATAGGGGGGCAGTGTCTATTAATAGCAGGCTCTTTGGTTCTGTACTGTGCGGGAGCTCTGCTCGTCACATTGTCTTCATTGATTAACGGAAAACTCTTTCTATTTCTGGGAATTCTTCTCATTTCCTTCAGTGCGGGTTGCATAAAGCCAAATATAACAACCCTAGGAGCAGACCTAGTGTACAATGGAGAGACCAGAGTCTCTAAAGACCGGTTGGTGCGTGATAGGAATGAGGCTGTGGTTGGGTTCTTCTCTGTTTTCTATTTTGTTGTCAACTTGAGCAGTTTCCTTGTTCTCTTCATTACGCCTAGTGTTGTAAACAGCATTCTCTCTGTTTTTATTGATTCGTACGCAATAAGCAGGGAGAATTTGAAGAGCCTGGATATTTCTGAATATTTTCTGATTTTCTTTTTTTCTCTTCTGTGCACTCTCACGGCCCTAGTGGTTTTTATGTTTATTGTTGTGGACTGCAAAATATTCAAACGACAAAAACAGGAAAAATCTGTAGATAGCGGCATGGGCCGAAAAAATAGCGAAGATCTTGCAAAAAAAGTAGGGCTTAGAGGATACAGCCTAAAAGACAACATTCCTCTGATAATCGGGTGGATGATCTACGACCAGATGAGCTCTACGTGGATAGACCAGGGGAAAAGAATGAACTGCAGTGTAGATCTTTTTGGAAAATCAGCCAGCATAGCGCCCTCTCAGCTAATACTCCTCAACTCACTCGGCCTTCTCTTTCTCCTGCCTTTCTATGATAGGATAGCAAACAAAACTCTATCTTTTTTCAAACTGTCGCATGCCCATCGTTCAAGAATGGTGTATGGCCTGTGTTCAATAGGAGCATCATACTTCTTCTATTTTATTCTCGAGGTGTACATGCTGCACAGCAAAACTACGCCATCTATTCTGTACCAGCTGCCGCAGATACTCGTTATTACAATAGGAGAAGCGCTGATTAGTGTCTCGGGAATGGCTGCCGCATACAACGGAGGATCAGCCAGCGAAAAAAGCATTGCAATGGGGTACTGGTACTTCAACATGGCAGTGGGCAATTTACTAGTTATACTTCTCTCCACTTTCTTTAAATATCTGAATGTCTCAACCGAGTACCAAGCTGCTACTTACTTGCTGCTGATTGCAGGAACAACAGGAAAAATGGTGCAGAATAGAAGAAAGTCTGCTGATGTTGCGTCTTAGCCAAAGAAAATATGCGCTACTAATGGATGGCACTGAAATGAATGCAATCTATGAACAAAGAGAGCCCAAGAAAACTTTTGCTGAACAAAGAGCACAGCAGCTAGTCTTTAGTTTCAATAGTATTTTAGAAAATAAAGAAAAGAGAATGTTCTCTAGTTGCGGAGATGCGCACTTAGCTAGACAGTATAGGGTGTAATTGAACAGATACAAGATCAAAGCCAGGTCTAAAAAGTAGTCCAGTGAGTAAATAACTGATGTAAATTTATTTAAAGAGCATTTAACCAGTGTTCTAGAAATAGCTTATAAGCACAGACTGGTGCATATGGAGCCTAGCGCAGCCCATGGATGAAGTCTATAAGTGCCTGTTCTGATGCCTGCCCATTGAGCCGTGCATAGAATGTATTTTTATACTATTGTAGCATAGTGAATAAATGTACTAGTGTTGAATCTTTTCTGTTCTCTGGTGTAGAGTGTTCTAGGCAGTGATGCTCGGGTTTTTAATGAATGCAGAGAGTCTGTTGAAAAACAGCGGTCTGTGTGGCGGTATATTATGAATCTTTGGTTTTGAAGAAATGGTTTTGTTTTGGGTGTTTTCGTTTTTGCTATTTTCTATTTTTTTAAATTATTTTTTAGCCCCTTCATGACTTTAAGATTCACTGAGAGCGCGCAGATGCAAGATATCATTCGTATGTACAATACGAACATTAACGGTAGATCCACAATTGTGAGATCTCTCACCGGAATAAGGGGAATTGGCCTGAGAATATCCACATTAATATGCAAAATAGCAGATATTGATATGTCTCTAAGAGCAGGACAAATAGAGCAAGAGAAGCTAGACCAGATTGCAAAAATACTTGAGTCTCCCCAGTCCTTTGGAATCCCAGAGTGGATGCTGAACAAACAGAGAGATCCTGTAAGCGGAGAGACAAAACAGCTGATAGCCAACCAGGTAGAGGCAGACTACAGAATGTACCTTGAGAGAGCAAAGAGGCTGAAGCACGTAAGAGGTATTAGACTACTGAAAGGACTGAAAGTTAACGGACAGAGAACTAAGTCTAACGGTAGAAGAGGAAAGACAGTTGGAGTATCTAAGAAAAAATAAATTATGATATGATGATTTTGCTATGCTGATAAATATTTAAATGAAAAGTTCGCGCGGCTTTGCTGATATGTTCTGTGAGAGTCTAGTAAGCACCTATGAGTTGGGGAGAGTGTCCAGAATGTTTTTTGGCACAATGCCCTCGGGCACCAGTTCGTATCTATACGGAAGAAGCTCTTTGTACGTGTTTTTAATTGTTACATCGGTGACATTTGTCACTATCTGGATGTCTTTTTGTATTTTTCTCTGGTTCGGGAACAGATATGTGATCAGATAGATGATGGCCGCTGCTATGGAGTCAGGAGACTTTCCAGCAATGCAGCCTATCTCCTGTGCTCGCTGGCTGATGGTCAGTGCAACCTTCTGTATGTCTATGCTCAGTGTAAGATCAGAGCAGAATCTGGCCACAATGTCTTCTGTTGATACAACCGCCAGCTTATCAATGTGCGGGAATATTGCTTTGTAGCAGCGCCCTATTTCCTTTTTTGGAACTGCTGTGAGAATGCTTACTTCCTTAAACGTGCGCACAAATCCAGCCTGTCTGCAGGCTATGTATATGCAGGCCGCAGAGACTCCCTCTAAGTTTTTTCCTTTTAGCACTTTTTTTTCTTCCACTGTCTTAAAAACGTACTTTGCTGCATCGGATATCGTTTTGGAAAGATTCTTTCTTTCGCAGAAAGCAGTGATCAAATTGAGGCCATTTATCAGAGCTCTTTCTGGGCCGCGCAAGCTGCTCTTCATCTGTGTCTTTGCCAGATTGTAGGATGCCAGGCCAGAGCCAGACGATATCAGAGTGTCGAGCTGCTCTGAGTCCAGGAACGGGTTGTTTGGCCCTCCCACTCTGCTGGGGTTTTCTCCAGAGTCGCTGAAAGTTCTCCACTCTCCTCGCTCGTCGATGATTCGGCTTCCCACAATACAGCCGCAGGAACCGCACACGTTATATCCATTTTTGTAGTCTTCTATGATATTCTCCTCTTCCTTGCAGTCTGGACACTTTTCTCGTTCAGTTTTCTTCATCTGCATTCTGTTTTGCATTAAAATATTTTAGCACAGCCATTTTTAATTCTACTATTAATTTTATGAAAATGGATATTTGGTGAGTTTTGTTTCTGTGGAAGAGCGGCTCCTTCTGTGTCTGCAGAGTGTTTATTTTTCGAAGCAATCATCGGTATTTTGAATTTATCCAGAAATTTTACTTCCTTTCAGTGGTGAGCATAAGAAATAGATGATATACAGCGAGTGCTTGCTGGCATGGTGTACTATTTGTCTGTTTATGGAAAAGTTCGTTGGTGTTTATTTTTTGATGAGAGATAGTGCTAGATTATCGTATGGACTGGAAAACCTCTGCAGTAGATGGCTTGCACTCTGTTTCATCCTTTCCGCGCATAGTCTTTGGGTGCTTACGGCACTCTCAATTGAATCTTCATGTGCCAGTTGTTTATTTCAAAACATTCTATAGATATGCTTTTTGCACATTTTCATTGGCTGAAGGAATATGATCTTTATGAAACTGTTTTATTCCATCTATATATGGACTGCTCTATTTGCCTTATTTATGCGTGCACTGGTATTTATTTTGTGCTTATTCTCTGTGAGTGCTATGCACGACTCAAAAAAAACAAATGTTGGGTTTTTCATTGTGCCCAGACACAAAACAGACGATAGCAATACGCCTGACGTAATGACGCTGGAAGACGATGGAAACTGGTACTTTTCAAAGCCCAGCGACACTAAAAAGCAAATATTCATTGTAAAAACGCCGTATGGAAACAGACTGTGTCTAAAGAGCGACAGGAGTCTGTGCTTAAGAGTGGAAAAAGCCGTTACAGACTCAAGTCTGTCACTTTTCAGGAGAAAGCTGTGCAAGAGAGCAGTAAAAAAGAACAACATAGAGATTGTTCCGAGCCCTTATAAAAACTTTTACATGATTAGACTGAAAAGATGCGAGATCTACTGTCTGTACAGCCACAGCATGAACGATACACAGTCAGCACACGAAACAGCTCCAAACATTGCAAAGTGCAACTACTCCAACACAAATAACCACTTTTATCTGCTCAATGAGTACGATATAAACAGCTATGCCCCAGAAAAAGATAAGAATGCAGATAGTGTCATCACAGATATCGATGAAGACTATTCACATGCCCGCGCCCACCAGTACGACTTTGACCACCATATCCACCACGGTCATAAAGCACATACAAAGGCTGCATTTGCCAAAGGCCTAGCTGTAGGCTTGCATAGCTCTAGCAATGCGTCTTCCGATGATCTTGGAGCTGCAGAAGATCTGGCCAGGACCCTAGCTGACCTGCATGGGCCAGAATACATGCACATCCTTGGGAGCGCGCAGAGCAAAGCCCATTTGGCTCCGGTCATCCCAGCTGGATACTATCCGCTCTCTCATCCACTGATTTCCAGAGTTCGGGGATTTATATATCCTATGTAAATACAAATAAACATGAGAAAAGAGGGAGTGCTGCTAAAGGTGCTTTGCGGGCTAGCCACCCTGTGGGTCCTGCTGACTGGATATAAAGTACTGCGAAGAGCATTCATGCCCAAAAGAGGAAAAGAGGTGCTCAAAGCATCGGGGCCAAGAGATGGCTCGCAAGATGCTTTCTACGAAATGCCAAAAACAAAAGAAGAAAGACGCGCAGAGCTGGGCAGGGGTACATGGGCCCTCATCCACACAATTGCTGCGAAGTATCCTCCGTATGCGAGCCGAGAACACCAGTCAAATTTGATTAAATTTATTGATCTATTAACAAAACTGTTTCCCTGCGAAGAGTGCAGAGGACACTTCAAGAGCTTGGTGGACAGCTTTCCCCCCAAGGTCTCCTCCCGCGAAGAGTTTGGGCTGTGGACATGCCAGGCGCACAATATAGTCAATAAGCGGCTGGGAAAAAGAGAGTTTGACTGCACAAGGCTGGACGACCGGTGGGACTGCGGGTGCAAATAAACATATACACATTTTATCATTCGCACGCTCTTTTTGCCGGTGGAATAAAACGCCATTTTTAACTGCGAAGTTCAAACTTCTTTTCAAATAATTTTATTTAATTTTTATCCCCAGTTAATTATGGCAGAGAAAGAAGAGAAAGCAAAAAAACTAGGATTGCCCAAAGTAAGAGCACTCGCAGCTGAAGTAATTGGATGCGGTAGAAACAAAATATGGATGGACCCAACTGAGTCAATCAAGCTCTCAGAAGGAAAAACCAAGGAGCAGGTCAACCAGATGATTGATGATGGACTGATAGTCAGAAGACCAGACATTGGCCAGTCCAGAGGAAGAGTCAGACAGTTTAGATTAGAGAAGTCCAAGGGCAGACACAGAGGTCTCGGCAGAAGAAGAGGTACAAAGAACGCCCGATTCCCCCAGAGAAAGATATGGATGCTCAGAATAAGAGCCATCAGAAAGGATCTCAAAGAGCTCAGAGCCGAGGGAAGAATCGACAGGACGATGTACAGATCAATTTACTTGAAGGCAAAGGGAGGATACTTTAAGAACAGAAGAATGATGAAGGAGTACGTAGTCAACGAAGAAGTCAGAAGAAAGAAGGAAGAAATAGTCATGGCACAAATGAATGTTTCAAAATAAAATTTTATTCGTTTTTTCTATTTCACTTGCCATTTAAAAGTTTAAATTTTTTACGAGAGGAGCATGCCAAATAAAAAAATAAAAAGAGAAAGCACAGAGAACGAGCTGGAGGAGACCTTTGAGGACTTCAACCAGCTGCTGGAGCGCGCAGAGAAAGAGTACAGCGGCTCGGAGAGCGAGTCTGGCAGCGAGCACGAAAACATCAGTGAAAATGAAAACAGCAGCGAAGAGCTGAGCAGAGATACGGAAAAGAGCGAGGAAGAGTCAGATGCAAGTGCTCACTCAGATGCTGATGAAGAGCTGCTTCGGCTAGACGAGCTGAATAACGAAACAGAGGAAATAAAGCCCTCGCAGAAAAAGGAAGATCTAACAAGCACCTACAGACTGCTGGCCGTTATGCACAAAGATGGGCCCTCTGGTACGCTCAGCGCAGAGAGCTATGAATTCCTGAGCTCTTTTAACTTGGAAAATACAATCGAGGTTTTGGAGGAAAAGTCGAAGAGTGTCATAGGCCAGGTGGAGGCGCAGTTCAAGATACTCCCGGAATACAAGAGGATGAACAAGCAGAAGCCTCTGAAACAGAGAATAAAGCTTGGAATAGCAGAGAAACTAAAGAAAAACTTAAACGGGTACAGCGACATTCCCTTTATCATTGGTATAACAAAAGACTTCTGCTACAAAACAGGAACTAAAATATACAATAAAAAACCAGAAAAAAGAAGAGTGGAGCTGAAGGTGGACGAGAGAAAAGTGTACGAGAAACTGGTGGGGTTCTGCAGCAGGACAGGAGAATACGCGTGGTCAGAGGAGAAGAACGATGAGTTTGTTAAGTGTGTATTTAAAGAGTGAAATTAAAATATTTTGATGATTAAAAAAGTGTTTGGAAGCATTCTTTCGTGCGATGTTCTCAGCATGCAGAGCGAAATAGATAGACTGGTTCGGATGGGAATAAAAGGACTGCACTTGGATCTTATGGACGGACACTTTGTGGAGAGAGTGTTTCTGGGAGAAGATATAATAAATAGAATTGTTGTGAAAAATCCTGATATGTTTGTAGAATGCCACCTGATGGTCAGCAGCCCCTTGAATTCAATTAAGCACCTGGATATATCTCGAATAGATAGAATAGTAGTGCATCAAAGAGAGAAGCTGCCAGAGATAAGTGAATACATAGGCAGCAGCGGATGCAAATTAGGACTAGCAGTGGTAAATGAAAAAGAAATAGAGGGAATAAGCAGCACAGATAAGCTAAAGATAGATAAGATACTAATTATGGGAGTGCCTGTGGGAGAAGGCGGGCAAAAGATGCTTTCAAAAACAAAAGAGATGATTGAGTTTGCCACACGCAGGCATAAGGATCTGCTAATAGGCGTAGATGGTGGGGTTAATTTAAGCACTCTGGGGGAAGTTCAGCTAGCCGATGAAATAGTGCTGGGATCCTGTTTATTTAGCGAAAATGGCGAAGAAACAGCGCGCAAAATATTTTCTTATTTGGGCCTCTAATAGAAAGAAAAGAATAAAAATTTTACATTTATTTAAGTATTAATGGGGATAAAAAGTCTTTGGAAAATGATAAATGGCAGAGTCCTAGAGATGGAGGAGATGGACGGGCTTCGGCTGTGCATTGACGGGAATCTGGCTCTTTTTTCGTGCATCTGCAGCTCAAACATTGTGTTCATTACAGAGTACACGCTCAAGTCCATCCAAAAGCTGTTTGCACTAGGCGTTGACCCAATATTTGTTTTTGATGGGAGAAAGCCTCTTTTCAAAAGAAGGCGTCTGAGACAAAGATACGGTCTAGAAAACGCTCTGGAAGCAGAAGCAATAGAGGATGTGCCAAGAGATGAGGTAGAAAAGAGCAAAATGCCAGAAAAAAACAGACTGGCTGATCTGATAGAGAAGAGCAGCGAGATTTTCAAGAAAAAACCGCACGAGATGGAAGAAGCAGAGGGAGATGAAACATTAAAGCATCCAGACTTCAATAGAATTTTGAACGATCAGGATTTCTCGATGTACCAAATAAAAAGAGTAATGGAAAGGTACAAGTACATCAAGTCAATAAGCAAGCAGAGAATGCACGGAGAGAGCAATTTGATGTTTAAGCTAAGAATGCAGCAGAACTTCAATGTAACGGAAGCATGCGAAGATACTGCGCAAAACGACTTCAAAGAAACTCTTTTCTGCATAGATAGCATAAAAAACGTAATATACAAGGCCGAAGAGCCAGCACCTGCTAAGAATCCAAAGCCTCTGGCTCCGGTAAAAAATAAACCAGAAGAACACAGCATAAAAATAGACGACATTGCTCTGACTGAGTATCAAAGAGAGCTCAAAATGTACCCCATACTAAAAGAAGATCTTTTGTTGAGCAAAGAGTCTGTAGACAAAGAAACTTTGCCATTTTCGTACAGAATCATAATCGACATTCTTGACGCTTTTTCCATCAAGTATGCGATAGCACCAAGCGAGTCAGACAGCCTGTACAGAAGCATAGAAAAGGCAATACACACAGACGGGGTGGTAACAGAGGACAGCGATGTTTTGCTGTTCAGCAGAAAGCCCGTGTATAGACATGTATTTAAAAGAGGCAATTTTCCAAAAGTATTTGCAGAAAAAGATAGCCCCATTGAGTATAGCCGAGCTGAGCTGCACATTCTTGCCTGGCTGCTGGGGAATGACTATGTGCAGGGCATTCGCAAAGTAGGGCCCAGTAAAGCAAAGTACATTATTGGGCTGTACAGAGAAGCCGTTAAAAAAAAGAAAGAGCTCGAGAATAGCTCAGAGAGTGTTGATGTAGGTGCATTAGGGCGCGCAGTGGACTCAATACCTGAGATAGACATCGATAGAGACTTGCCTGCGCTACTGCAGCTGCAGAGAATCTACGCAGAAAAAGAGTTTAGCGTAAAAATAGAGAACCTCCACCCTAGTCCCATAGACAAAGGAAAAATTTTAGCTTTTCTAACTAAGCGAACAACGTGGATAGAAAGTGAGAAAGAGGGATTCTTCAAAATGGTACAAAATCACAAATATCAATTATAGAGCAGTGATGCGAGAGTTGCATAGAATAGGCAATAAATGAGTAATGTATAATTGATCCAACCTTGCATCTTCCAAAAGACAGCCATTGAATATTATTCGTGCAGAAAAGAAGTATCATATGCTCTGTAGAGAATTTAGGGTAGTATGTATGCACGCCATTAAAAGAGTTGGCAGCAAGAATAATAAATGCAAATCAGTAACAAAAGTTTATGTTTTTATTCAATATTATTTACACAATTTCACTAATACTATTTTTGATAAAGACCGTATATAGAAAATCAAGCTGTTCTTTCGATTCAATCATCCATGTTCTCTTGTTTCTTAGCTTTACGAATAAATCAACGAAGAAGAAAAGCTTTTCTTCTGCACTTTCTTCTATCTTTCCGTTTACAATCGAGTCTCTAAATATGCTATAGAAGATAAACGTGCCTGTTCTTCCAACGCCTGCTAAGCAGTGCACTATCACCGGGCCTGACTCGATGTTCAATAGAAGCCATGCTTTGTACAGTATGTCAATTGCCTTGAGCATATTTAAACTTGGCGGCGCTTTATCTACCCAATTCAGACACTTTATTCTAAATATATATGCATCTTCTTTCTTTTTGGTTTTGTACCGCTCTACCACAAAGTTTTTATTCTCTTTTTCTATTACTTCGTGCATGTCCCTATAATTTATTTTTGATGTGTCTTTTCCAGAGCGCGAAACATAGCATAAAAACTCTTCAGCTGAGAAGATCTTGTCTAGGCTGTATGATACTTGCAGAAAATCCTGCTCCCAGGGAGGATGGTCTCCAATTAAAGAAATTACTAAACCGCACTGGGACTTTAGCAATAGCTGGTCTGTGCAGTCAATGGCATGCTTGGTTGGATACTCCATTGCAATGAAATCCTTTGAGTTTTCAATCAGCGATGCATTCAGCTCGCCTTCTAGCTTGTATTTGCTCTGTATTACGCCGTAGTTGTAGGAGTGGATGCAGCTGTATCTAAATATGCTGTTTCTAACGCTCTTGTATGGAACTTTTAGTCTGTTGGCCATTTTCAAGAAGTTCTCGTAGTCTGTTCTTGCAAGCTCCAGCAGCTTTGTTTTCATTCTTTCGTTTTCTCTATTTTCTTCATTTGGCATGCACGCATTCATGTCGAGACGCATAAATAATTTTAATTTAAATATCTCGACTGCAACTTTACCAGATGAATGCAGTTTTAGTAGGGATGCATAGAAAGAGCTCCTGTGTCAACAGAAAAAACAGTAGAACATATAAATAAATAGAGCACTGTTTGTTGTTGTATGAAAATTGAAGGAAAGACCACGGATGAAATTGTCCTAAAGAGGAACATTGGGCTGGGAAGTATTTCCCCGCAGATTCTCAAAAAAACCCTGCAAAGAGGCATAGAGTTTAATCTGTTTGTCGTGGCAGAAAAGGGCATAGGAGCGAAAACGCTCATCTCTTCTATTTATAACTTAACAACTTTCCCGCCGAAAGTGCACACGCATGCTCCAGAGCTAGTAGAGTACTCCGCACTCCTTCAATCGAACGGCATCTCGTTGAAGCTAACCGTTTTTTTGTACCAGGGAAAAGAGGCATCTGTTGTAAAGGATTTCCTAATTGAGAGAAACTCAATGTACAACAAAAATAACATAGGGTTAAGAAGGGAAAGGAAAGAAGATCCGCGCATACACGCATCCTTGTTCCTTATCTCGCCCTTTGCGTTCAAGCAGCAGGACATCGAAATAATCAAATCGCTCTCTGAGCTTTCAAACACATTCCCTGTTATTCCGAAAAGAGACATATTTACGTCACACGAGCTGGAGGCGTACAAGGAAAGAATAAAAAAACAGCTGGACTCAAATAGAGTGTTTGTGTCTGATCTGATACCTGCAGGCATAACTGTGCTCTCTGTGGTGGCAAGCACCAGCATGGTATCTGTATCAGGAAAGCCTGTGCGAGGAAGAGAGTACAGCTGGGGAATAATCAACGCCGAGGATCCCTTGCTGTCTGACCTAGCACTGCTTACACAGCTGCTCCTATCTGTGCATTTGATTGACCTGAAGAAGAAAACTGTTGATTTATACCAAAAATGGAAAGAAACAGTCGTATCTGAGCTGCCAAGCCTGGAGGGACAGGACAAAGACCTGCTGAGGGATATTGAGTCCACAATTGCAGGAAACTTCAAAGAAAAGATGCTTGTGCTAGAAAAAGAAGAACAAATGATCGATCAAGCAGTGAGATCACTCGCAGAGCCAGTTGTCAAGTGATAGCAAGGATCAATAAATCTCCTATTTTATTCTTTTGAGTGTAGCCTTCTCTACTCTATTGCTCAATCTTTATCAAACATTTAGATGAGATCTCTTCCATTCCATATTTGCAGTTTGTCATCTCACTGAATCAAACCATCTCATCATCTTATGTTTGTAGAACAGAAGTGCCAATTCTCTTTTTATATAGCTGAGTTAAAATTAAAATTTGCATTTGAGAAGAGAAAACGTGTATAGCTTTTTACCAAGCTTACGCAAAAATATTTTGAGAGTTTTATTTTTATTTAGCAGCCATAAAAACATAAAAGTTTAAGTACGCATATTAGAATAATTCAATTCCAATACTCAATGAAAATATTAAGAACTGCAGAAGAACTAAATACGGAAATGTGTTGTAAATCAATCATAGCTAGTACTATACTATGATCAGGTATAGATAGGTGTAAGGCAGGTAGTACAAGTAGCAGAAAACATTGTTAAAGATATTTATTGAGTATTTTGCATCTACAGGGCAGTGTCAGAAGAGTCAAAAATAGACTCTAAAACGGGAGATTTCCACACCAATCGGCTAACTGACTTTATCTTTTGCAGTTTTTTATCTTCACTCTCTGGAATAGGCACGCACTTTCTTGAGCCTGGTTTATTTATCCATGTATTCACCATGCCAATCATTTCAACTTTTCCTGCCTGCTCAAAATGCAGAATGTGCACCTTGTACCTTTCTATTTTATTTCTCCACTTTTTGATCCTGCTGGTTATACCGTCCTCTGTTCCTGCCAAGTTCTTCAGCCTGGTGTATACGAAGATCTCAGACTCGCCAAAGAAAAACTTAAAGTGTGTTAGCGCCAAAAAAATAACATACAGCTCTTTTTCTTCTTCTGTGTATTCATTTGTTTTTTTCTTTAGTCTGTGGCTGAACAGCCCAATTAGTCTGCGGCCCTGCATAAGAACTACGCCTAAACCAAGGCTGCTACTTGGCGTGTATGTGCACAGCTGATATGGCGCGCCTTCTATGGGGTTTGCAAGCACTATCTCGCTTTCCATCATGGCCAGTGTCCTCTGTCTAAAAGCCTCTGCATCTGCACACCATTCAATGCGATCAGTGCTCGTCTGTTCTGCATCAGATATCTTATCATGCAGTCCACATATGGAAATGCCCAGATCGTGGATAAATTCCCGATTTCGGTCGAAAAGCCCAATAAGAGATCTGAGCTCTTGGACTGTGGCAGGTGGTGCTTCGTTTCTCAGGTGTGCAATGCATTCACTGTCTCTGCGCACACCTATTTCATCCACAATGTGTTCTGAGTACTGGATTGAGCTCATAAAAAACTTACTTTTTGAGCCCAGAATGGTTATCTTACTGCTCGCCAGCACTTCCAGTACAATTTTCAGATGGCCCATGTGGTTTTCCATGCTGTCTGAGAACACGATAATATCATCCATCAGATGCGCAATGCATTTCAAAGGAGATAGCACATCGGTGATAACATCGTAGAAAGCAGCCGGCGTGTTTTTAAACCCAGCTGGCATTCGCAAATACTCCCAAACATTTCCAAATATGGAAAAGACAGTGTACTTTCTACTGTTTAGCTCCATGCCTACCTGGTGGTACAGGTGGCCTAGGTTGATTATTGAAAAAACTTTCTGAAATGGCGGAATTTTTCTGAGAGTTGGAAAAACTCCTATGAAGTTGTACTTTTCATCGTTCGCTATTTTATTCAGCCGCGAATAGTCTACCATCAGCTTTATTCCTCCGTCTGGATACTCTTTTATGTATGCAGGAGAGTATACAGGGACCTCATCGACCGCTTCAGAGCAGACTCGTCTGATTATTCCTTCAAATTGAAGATTTTGCAGAAGAGCATGGACCGCAGTTGCGAGTTCATTCTTCACTTTGTAGCTAGGCCCTTGCAGAACTAGGTCTTTATCATTTACATTTATTTGCATCAAATAGTAGCCTCCTGCAAAACACTTGAGAGGGTCAAATGTCAGAATCACGCTGTCTACCAATTCTTTAATTTTTTTGTACTCTTTCTCATACTTTCTGTCTATATGGGCCAGCCTGTGGTCATCATCGTATTCCACTTCTCTTTCTTTTTCTATTAGCTTTTCCAGCTTTCTAAGATAGCACTCTTCATCGTACTCTATCTCAGTGCCGCTTTCCTCTATGCTGTACTCGCAAATATTTCCTCTGGCTGCATGTGTCTTTGCTTCTTTTTTGCATTTTGCAGACTTTAGATGGCTTTGGTGGTATCTCAGGTACTTGTTTTCTATTTTTGTTATTATGCCTGTTATAATATCAATGTCCATGGGCAGATTGTGCTTGCTGATCCATCTTTTGGTTAGGTCGCCAAGCCCCCTGAAAAAGGCAGTGTGTAGCTCTTTCTTCCTCTTTTCTTCTGGCTTTGCAGCGGCTTCAGAAGAGGAGAGATAGTATAGCTCGAGAACCTTCCTGTAGTTTTGTATTTTTATGTACTTTGTCTGTTCGAGTACTATTCGGTCTCTGAGCGTGTCTGTCTTAAGAACATGTGCACAAATTCTAGCCAGCGCTTCGTTATGGTCATCAGTGTCTGCAATAATCGGTTTTATCGAAGAAGGTATGCATTCCAGCAGCAAGAGCATGATGTCCCGCTTGGCCACCTGGCTTTCATCAATGAGCACATAGAACTCAGCAATCCAGCTAAATACGTTTTTGATTTCCTGCGGATCAAGCTTGGAGAGGCTCTGCAGGACCAGCTGTCCTGAGATGTTTCGAATGAAAGTGTGTTTCTGTTTGTGCAGGATATCTTCGTCATTTGGCGGGAATAAAATAGGTTGCATGTTTGGATTTTCAATTATCTGCTTCCACTTGACTTTCTTTGGAGGCTCTTGCTCTTTGCCAGCTCCAACGTCAAAGATGGGAAAAACTAGAACGGAAGATTTCATTGTGTGCACATCAGAGGGATGCTGCAGCTCAGAAGGAAGCTGCTCAAATAGGGCGTGTTCTATGATAGATATTATTTCAGGGTTTTTGATAAGAGAGTATCTCTGTTTTGTGGTGATTTTGAATGTATAATTTTGATCTGGGTAGTTGCACATGTTTGTTGATGTTTTGGATTAAAACTTTTGCAATGAAATAAGTTATTTGCCAGGAGAAAGCAGTATTTAAATATGCAACATTTTGCTAAAAAACTCTATGCTTCTTTGTATCAAAAATAAGATAGAAACAACAGCAGTTCATCTCTCCAGAGGGTAATTTTTGCCTTTTCTTCTATCGGTTACTAAATATTTAGATAGCAATAGAGTGATGCCGAGTATGTAAAAATACATGGAAAATAAATAGCTGTCTAGATAAGAACAGGGGAATAAGCAAGAGCAATCAAATAGAGATAAGCATTAATATATCAAGATTCATCCGAAAATATATAAGCCAAGATCATATCAAAGATCAGAAAGACGGATGGCCAGAGAAAAAACACACACTAAGAGAAAGTACATAAAACAATCTTCTCTATTGAAGCAGCTGAAGAAAATAAAAGCAGCAAAAACGAAAAAAGAGAAAATACCCGGCTATCTTAAAATATCAGCGAAAAGAATCATCTGTGATGCTAAATTTGCTAGAACTATAGCAAATGTAGAGAAAAGTCCTAAAAACTCACCGCACTTTGGTAAATATAACTATGAAAAACTTTTTAAAACGATAGAGTTAAATCTACTACAGACCGAAAGAAATAATGCTGATTGTACCATAGCGTCTCCATATAAGAACATATTCACTTCAGAGGGTTACTATAGCCTACCTAACTCTCTAGAATCGCTGGTTTTTCCACCAGATATGCATGGCAATACGCACAGATCTACTTCCATTCTTTCAATGTACGATGTATCTTCTGCTGAGAGTGTACACAACAGCACCCCTGACTGCTCACTGAATACTTCTGGCAGCTATGCTACATTTAAAAATAACTCAAATAGTGAAAAAAATACGCTCTTCTACGAATGCAAAGATTCTCTCACTAACAACATTCCTAGCAGTGATACATTTCTTCTTCAGAACAGCGTGCCTAATCAGATGGACAGCAGCAGTGAAAAAGGAGAGCTTAGTAGCTCCAGTGAAAGTGTGCAGGCATGGAACACAGAGAGCTGTGCCTCCTGTGGTATGGCTATGCGTAGACTGAAAAATAACACGAATAATCTGGTAGAAGGATTCTACAACAAGAATGATAGCTCCAATGATTCCCTTCTGCTACTAAGTCTATTGGCAGACAGAATGCAATAAACGCCAAAAGAGCAACTGTCTTCTTTACTCTACGCTGCAGCATCCATTTATTGCAGAATGGTCTCTCTTTTTTATTATGGAGCTGAATCCGCTGGAAGACCTCTTCAAAGCACACAGAGAGCTAGAGATGGCAAGAAGCAACTACGACAGAGGGCTTATAAGAGAAAGAATAAGACAAATTGAGAAGATCCTAAAGAATAACCCAATGCAGCCAGTGAAGAAAGAGCAGGAAGTTAGCAAAGTAGTTGCAATAGAAGAAACGCAAGAAACACACAGCAAAGTGTTCATGGTAGACCGAATAGAGAATAAAACCATTAATGTTGAAGAGAACGAGTACGACACAGCCAGAATAGCAAATGTCAAACAGTGCCAGATAAGCGTAAGGACAGCACACTCTACATACATTCAAAGCGCAGACTCGTCACTCTTCTACATCACTGCACAGCAAATCAGAGTAAATTCATGTAGAAATGTCACGATATATGCATATACAGCAACAGGTGTGTACATCGAAGACTCTACCGATGTAAAAGTGCTAGAGTATACACCAAAGGTCCTTCCAGCCTACGCAAACCATGTCCAAGTGTATGACTTTAACAGAGGAAACGCCATCTAGCCACAGAATATGCTGAAGAACATAGAAAACTTCTAATCCATAGAAGAAGATGTATTATGGGAGTATAGATAGACTTAGAACATAGCAGTTCTAGAGATACGTAACCACCAAAGAGCAGCTATGTAGAAAGTGATACAATAGTTCTCTGTGCAAATGAAAAGAGAAGTGCGAATATAAAGAGACTTATTTTATTCCTTCATAAAGTGCATTATTTCACCACTGCACATATCACCCTGCATCCTTCTACCCTATAGTTCTATTCTTCGTTGAAAAATTACTATATACGGTGTGTGCTATTTTTTAAGCGCTTACAGCACCCAGTGCATGCCGCAGTTTGCACTAGAACTCCAATAAATTACAAGCCACTAATCCATCTTCATACATTTATATTCGCTGGTTGGCTGAGAAGAGTGTGAATGCATTAGTGAATGCAAATTAGCTTAATGCTACCTAGAATTAGATAATAAATATGCGCAAACAGTGCAGCGACTATGCACGCGCTATAATTCCTAATTGCTATTTCATGCGATATTTATTAAACTCTGAATTGGTTTATTAATATGGGCCCGCATGGACTGCATCTATTTTCTAATGAATTTATATTGCAATTAATAGACCGAAAATCTGCAACATAGCCCCGTCCATTGCTTAAATTTTTCTAGGAATGTGCAAAATGCAAAAAAAGATGGGTCTTAAAATAAAAACATTACCTAAAAGAGATAGGGTCTAGATCGCAACCAAGAGATCTAAAAATTTTAAATAGATTTGAAAATTAATCACACAGACAATGCAACTTCAAAGAACACTTAGAAAGACAGTCATCCTAGCAGTACACATGGTAGTAGCCAGGTGTGCAATGTACGGAGAGTACGATTGCTACAATGGAAATATGTATAACAACGCATGCGGATACAACCCACAGCCAATGCAAACTCTTGACGATGCATACTACTACGGAGACCTGGAATTTGACGCAGTCGGATGTAACCTCGGCGGATGCTCCACCGGAGGATGCTCAGTCCAGATGGACCCCACCCCAGCAATTGGCGGAGGAGCGTTCCCTGAACAGCCCATCTACAGCCAGCCATCCTTCCCCATGCAGCCATCCTTCCCAGCACAGCCCTCATTCCCAGTTCAGCAATCATTCCCTGAACAGGTATACGGCCAAGGATCCTTCCAGGGACAAGAGAGCTACGAGATGTCCTCAGGATACTTCACCGAGTCATCAGCATCAGGTGCCGCACAGGCACACACTGCCACCTGCGCCAACAACCCTGCAAATATCTCCTCTCAGCAGGGAGCCACCAGCGGAATGACCGAGCAGATCACTGTTCTCCTGAACGGAAATGTTCCAGTGGAGATGCACCCAACCACCATCACTGTTGGTGAGAACACATACCCCCTGAGCAGCACCCCAGCCATTTCAGCACCAGCATCCCTTACAGTTGGCCACGCACAGATCCACGATCTGAACCTATCTGAGGCCATCATAATTGATCTGCCAACGCCCACCCGCGAGGAAATAGCAGCAGCAGCAGCTGGAAACAGCGCAGCAGGCCTGACTGCAGCCCAGCTCAAGAAAGAGCAGGAGATGAAAGACGGCGACTGCAAAGACAAGAAAAAGGGCAAGAAAGGAAAGTCTGGAAAGAAGGGAGCAGCAAAGGCTGGCGCAGTCCAGAAGAAGAAGAACGGAGTAGCCGGCGTATCTACGCTCGTAGCCATTGCAGTTCTTCCCATCATTGCATTGCTCATGTAAAACACTCCTTTGTATCTTGAATAAAAGATAGTTTCTTAAATTTATGTGTATTATTCTCTTTGTTCTTGGGCTGCGCAGCCTATTTCCTGGGCGAAAATAATTTAATAACTGAAGGGTGTGCAGTATTTAGCTGCCGCATGTTTAGTGTGCGCTGGAATTTACTCGCTGTGCATAAAAAGTAGCAGCGTATAAAGAGACAGAGAGTGCAAAGTAGATGCAGAGAACAAACAATACTATCTTATTTATTAAATTATTATTTTGCAAGAAATGGAAGAAAGAATGAGCACGGAAGAATGCACATGCATAATGAAGGAGGAAACACAGAGGGTGAAGAGCATTGCATTTCATCCCAGCAAAAAGGTGGTGATAGCTGGGCTGCACAGCGGGGTGATCCAGGGATGGAACTATTTGTACAGGACAAAGATATTCGAGCTCTCCGAGCACGAGGGGCCTGTGAGGGTGGTTGTATTTCACCATCTGATAGAGAGGTTTGCATCGGCTGGTGATGACTGTCTTATACGCATATGGGACTACAAGACCAAGGCGGTTGAGACAGTGTTCAAGGGGCACACAGACTACATCCGATCGATAGAGTTTCACAAGCATCTTCCCTGGATAATTAGCACATCAGACGACCAGACAATAAGAATATGGAACTTCCAGTCGAAAAAGCAGATAGCATGTCTGACAGGACACACACACTACGTCATGTGCGCTAAGTTTATCAATGACAAGATATTTGCAAGTGTGTCGCTGGACCAGACCATACGCATATGGGACTACTCTGCGCTAGTGACAAAGAGCCAAACGAGTGTGATGGACATGCTGGGAGTGCCTGAAGTAGTGCTTAAGCACATAATAGATGGACACGACAGAGGAATCAACTGGATATCAGTGCAGCCAGAAACGAGCTTATTTGCAACAGGGGGAGACGATAGCACAATACGAATATGGGATGCATCGCAGGATGGCGTTTTTGAGAAAGAAATTCTGCAGGGGCATCACAGCCACGTAAGCTCTCTGTACTACACTAAGACAGAAACACTGCTGAGCAACAGCGAAGATGGAACCATGAAGATATGGGATCTAAAAAAGAAAAAGCCTGCAAAGTCATTCAGCATAGACAGCAGATACTGGTGTTTGGCCATGGACAGCGATGAGACTATGTTTGCTGCTGGGTATGACACAGGCTTCTCCATATACTCGCTGGAGACACCGTATCCCATATACACAGTCTGCGATGATGTGCTGTACATCTGCAAGAACCAGGAGGTGCTAAAGGTAGAAGACAGCAAGCTCGTAAAGGTTATGAACATACAGAAAGACCCGCAGGAGGTGCTGGTGCATGAGAATGCCATTATAGTGAACTATGGAAACAACTACATTGTAAATAACAAGTCAATGTATAAGGGCATGGGGTATGCAACATTCGCATACGAGAAGATAGCAGTGTGCACAAACAGCGAGGTTATACTCAGAGAGATAGACGGAAGAGATGTAGACTCGCATAAGATGGAAGCTGAGAAAATATTTCCTATCAAGGACGGGCTTTTGGGGATGAAAAACAAGGTTTTGTTTAAGATAGAGAATGGACAGGTTGCAGAGAGCACCACCCTGCCTGGGAAATGCATGTTTGTAAGGTATGATGATTCGCACATAGTGGCTGTGTGCAATAACAACATTGTTGTGTTTGATTATAGCCTAAATCAGATCACTGCTATTGAAGAGATTATATCCGTTAACAGCCTGATAATTAAAGATGGGTGCATATTCTACACCACCCCAATGCACATCAAATTTGCATTTGTGAGCGGAGAGGGATCGTCTTTTATGTCCATTGAAGAGCCTCTGTGGCTTGTGAAGGTGGAAGACCATGTGTTTACACTGGTGGCAGTTGACGGGTCAGTGGTGGAGGTGGAAATGGACATGATTGAATTCAAGTTCAAAAAAGCTCTGGACAGCATGGATGTGCAGACTATACGAGAGTGCATAGACACGGGCGCTTTGATGGGGCAGGTGTCTCTAGCATGCTTGATACGGAAAGGATTCTACGAAGAAGGACTGAACTACATCGAAGACACAGGCGTTAGACTTGAGCTCTGTTTAAAAACGAAAAGATTTAAAGAGGCTTTGGAGTACACAAAGGACCTGCACAGCGCAGAAATATACATCAAAACAGGCAGAGCAGCAATTAATCATGATCTAGACGTGGCAGAGGAGTGTTTTAAGATGGCTAATGATTTTACGTCTCTTATCCTGCTGTACATCGCAGGCAATAGGGTGGACAAGATAGAATCAATACTGTTTGAGTGCACTGATGGAATGTACAGCGCAATAGCAGCAATTATAACAGGAAACAAGGAAATGCTGTGCAAACTGATCTCGCTGCAGGAGGAGATAAAGAGAATAGATGTGCTGCCCTCCACAGAGTCAGACTTTACCTCAACAACAGACACTGCAAAGGCACAGTGTCCAAAGGAAGAAGAGGCAAATGAGTGCGTATTTACATCAGACTCGCAGGACATGGTGGAGAGCGATGACACACAAACGATCAAAAAACATATAGAGGAAGAGAAAGACAATGGCCTAGAAAGAGACACAGTATCAAAAATGTCTAAAGATGATTCAGACCCCGTCTTTCCTTCTTTGAATATGCAACGGCTTGAGCGATGTCTGAAAAATGTGCCAAGCGACTTGGATGTGGAGAGAGAGATATCGATTGCAAAGGGATGTGTTGCAAATGGAAAGACCCCTGCAGCCATCAACAGCTTCTTAGTTTCTCTGCACTACTCGATCAACTCCATGCGCGAGTCCAGGAACATGCAAAACCAGAAGTGTCTTGAAACAGCAGCAGAGTATCTCCAAGGGCTTTTCTCTGAGAAAATAAGAAGAACAACGCAGTCTGAAAAAACAAGCATATCCTGTGCTGTGTTCTATGCATCTTTGAAGCTGGATAGAGAGCACAAAGAAAAAGCCATCAAAGCAGCGATTCCCATATGCTACAAAAAAGGAAATAAGCACACTGCAATGGAGCTGGCCCAGGAGCTAGTGAAGAGCTATGAGTGCACAGACGAAAGAATAAAAATGCTAGCAGATGCGCATAAGAACATGAAGGATGCCTACGTAATAGACACGAGTTTGCCGTTCTGTATAGATGTCGGAGAGTATGCGGAGAGCGCGCTGCAGTGCCAGATATGCAAAGCATGGTCTTCGAGTAGATGCAAAACATGTGCCTGCTGTTTTGTATCAAATCTGCAATAAATACCTACTTGCATTACTTGTCTTTTGTTATGGGGGAGTTCATTATTTTTCTCAATGGAGTATAAAAAGATTTTCTGTTCACAGTAATTTCTGGTAAAAGTAGAAAATTCAAGTTAAATAAATGTCTTTATTCAAGGAAATAGCGAGCCAATCGACTGTGTTTTAATAGGGCTGCTATTTCTGATTTTGTTTTCTTACGATCAAATAAGCTAAATGTGTGTCTGAACTAGTAGTTTTTTCGTATGAATCTAAGCAATTTGTATATAATGTATATAACTATGCCAATCAATATTTCCAACACGCAGAACATTGGGTTTCTCCAGTGGAAGTATAGTATATCCTTTATAGCGGAAAAAAGATTCCCGTAGAGGCAGTTCGCTTGGTTGATGGTCTCTGGTGCTTCCTCTTTTATTTTTTCTGCGGTTTCAACTATACTTTTCACTCCTGGCTTTATTACGGTCTCGTTGGCTGCACTTAATAAATTCTGACAGATCTGCTGTCCTTCTGTCAAAAAGTTCCCTATAGGCTCTTTGCTGCTCTCAAAGATTTCACTTCCCATCTCACAACCTTTTTTTGCGAATTGACTAACATTCTCATAAACAGTTTTTGCAATATCTTTAACTCTGTGTGTGCTTTCCATTTTTATATAAAAAATTTATTGATTTTTTATAAATAGTTTTGTCCCAAGGAATGGAAAAAATTTGCGCAAATTTCTTTATGGTAATTTACTAGCTCAGGAAGCACATTTAGAGCTTAAAAATGCGAAGTTATTCACAATAAATCGTATAGCCACAGGATAATAATAAATACATTGCTATACACTGATCTCCTTTCTGTTCATCATCATATAGGTAAAACTGCATACTACTATAGCGACTATGGCCAGTGCAGCCAAATGCAGTAACCGTTTTGAGGAAATGCTAATCTTTGGCTTTAGCGGTCTTAAGACAGCTAGGTCTAGTAGATCTATGTATTCAAGCGCCTTTTGGTGCATGTACGAGATCTGTGAATCGAGCACTTTTTCTTTCTTTCCTAATTCAGAAACAATAGAGCATACTTTTTTTTCTATTTCTTTTTTTACTTCCAGCGCATCTGCTGAGCTTTCTTTACACATTGCAAAGTCAGAGCTTCCTAGGAAATCATTTACGCCATTGTACACCTTTAGCAGACACTCTTTTTGTCTTTGAATTTTCTCTTGGTGCTCTATGACTGATTTAATAAGTAGCGCATTCTTAATATAGGCATTCTTGCTCTTAATGGCGCTTTTAGCGTCATTGTTTAGCTCGATAAGGTCTCCTTCTCTGATAAAAGACGAAGGATCTTTCAGTATTTTTTCTTTATTCTCTAGCTCCTTTGTATTGTTGGCAAGTATGGATATCCCGTAGTCTACCAGCGGCATGCCTTCTTTCTTAAAAGTGTACAGCTCGTCTATGCTGTATTTATAGCCAGAAAGTTTGTATTTATGCATATCAGTGAATCCATCCATCAGCCCGTCGAGTGTTATGAATTTTTTGATCAAACAGACGTCATAGCCCAAGTCCAGTTTTTTTATGTATATTTCTAAAAACTTGTCTACACCTATGCCGTGGTCCTCTATATTCTTAGCCCCTGCATACAGTTTGTTGATAAAGTCAGTAATTGGGCCTTTTATCGTTGCATACCCCTCGTCGTATGTTAGCGAGTTTTTCAGAAGGTCAACAAGATTTTCTCTTTTTTTTTGCTGCAAGAGCCTGTAAATGTTCTTTTTGGCAATTTTCAGCAAGAGACTCTTTGTGTACCTTGGCAGAAAGTCGGCTTTGAGGGTTACATTTGGATCTACAATGGAAGGGAATGAGCTTACATAGTTGGCATCAAGCCCGTTTTTTTTGCTGGCATTCTGTCCATCTGCAGATTTTTTACTTTCGCTAAAACCTTTTTCTTTTTCAATTCTTTTAATTACTTCTTCTATGCTCTGCTCATCAAATACTATTTCAATTTCTGCATTCTGCTGCCCCATCTTATAAATTTTTTTTCTACCAATTATAAGCCCTTTCTATCCCTGTGAGAATACACTGCAAAATGTGCCGTCTGACCAAAATGAATCGTTCTAAAATGACAGTATGCTAGGCACAGACATACACACTGAGGAATTAAGAAACAATTGCTATGCCCTGCACAGAGTGGTATCAGAGAGTGTACTCAGCCAATGAAAAGTAATATTTATTTGATTCTGTTGCCAAGGTCTATAGTTTATTTTATGCAGGGTTTAATAATAGGGATATGTACTTCTGGTACTGTGCTAATCTAGTTTGCAACAGATTTATGTGCGAACAACCGTTGTATAAACGCAAATATAGAAACACTGCTTTTTTCTATGCCATCATACGAGCCCAGGTACAACAAAATGCCGTAGAAAAGAAGAGCGAACAGCAAAGTGAATCCTGTAAAAATAGTCAGCAGCATATGGCAGAACAGGTCATAGTCTCCCACTCCTTCAACTTTCTTTAATATCCGAACTATCTTTTTTGGCTTTTTTAGTATGGCTATTACATTTATGTTCATGTAGGATACAGCAATGTAGTACAGAGCTAAAGAGAAAAAAGGAAGCTTTGTGTGTGCAACAAACTGCTCTCCTGCCTTGCCATTCAAGAAAAGAATCCCTTCCATCAGTAGAATTAGTAGTACCGATGCTATAAGCGAAAACAGCGTAAAGAATGCTTTAGTTCTGTTTATGGCTTTCTTTGTTGAAAATATGAATCTGTCGTGCATGCTGCATATTAAGTTTACGGCAATAAACACCCATAGAAAAACATAGAGAAATTTTGCAGTTGAAATGTGCTGAAGAGTGCCGGCAGGCAGTAAAAAAAGCTCTAGAAGGCCCAGCGTCCCATAGACCAGAAATAAAAGAGATATCACTTTGAAAGCGTTGAAGATAGAGATATCTACTTTTTTCATATTTGACAGCACAGTTGTCTTCACAATGCTTACAAAGAAAGTAGCCAATGAGATAACCAAGCTGTTGTATCTACCTCTTGCTGCCAGACAGTAAAGAAGAACTAGCAGAGAGCCAGAAACCATACCATATACAGCAAAGCTATTTTCCGCTCTATTCGCAGAAATCTTAAAAGATCTTATTTTGTTATCTATTTCTATAGACTTGTAGTCTGATCGAGTGAGATATCCGTATCTGTATATACTATCGCTGTTTAGGTCTCTGATTATGTATATGATGGTGTCTTTTGCAAAACACTTTTTGAACTCTTCTACATACGCTTCTGCCTCAGGGCTTTTCATCACTATAAAGATGTTTAGTCTCGCCTGTGTTTCCCTGCACATGTCTTTCAGGGCCAAACCGCCTATGTCTACGCTATTTGGATCTGTGTTTTTCTCAAAAGAAATAAACCAGGAGTTAAAAGATGCGATGTTATTTCGGTTTGTTCTTTTTGGCCAGGTTGGGTCGAGTTTGATAATCAGTCTGTTTCTTATTGCAAACCTGAATACAGGATGGAGATAGGCAGCAGGAGCCAGATTGTACATTTTACTGAAAAATTCTGGAATAGGCATGTAGTCGTCTGCAAATGATTTTTTCTTGTGTATAATGTACTCTAAGCCATACGGATATATTCTCTTATTAAGAAAGTGGTTAATCGTTCTGTAGTGGCTCTGCACAATATTCGATTCGCTATTTGAGAAGTCTGCTATATGGCTTAAATACGTCTCTATAGTAATATATGGGTTTGATCTGTTGCAAGAATTTTCTACTAGAAAGTCTATCTCTCTGCCTATGTTATACAGAAATATATTCAGACCTTCACCATATACCCGTCTTTCCAAGGCAAAATCCATTTCGTATAAAACACAGTGTAGGTAGATGCACTGAAGTATTTCGTGAGGCTGTTTGTGCGCATACGTCTCTATAGTGTCTCTGTTATTTGGGCTGTGCATGTGTTTGAGATGCTTGTATATCCTGCACAGTTCATTTGGATTTTTTAATTGAAATAAATCGCATAGTCCTAGAATAATTGATCTTTCGTTGTACACTCCGTGCAGATTTTGATTGACTATTGTTTTATAAAGAAGGGTTTGTCTAGGGTCTATAGCATTCCCAGCGCATGTTCTTTTGATCATTGTAGACAGCTCTGCCGTTGCAAGGCCCCAATCCCCTGTTCTTCTTATGTTTACAGGCCCAAAGCATATACTTACAACAGCAGTGACTATGTTGTTTCTGCTTGTCTTGTACAGCTCTGCCAGCAGGCCTGAAGGGTTTATTTTAAGGTTGTCCCACGTAACTTCTTTGTTCATGTAGTTGTCCAGCCACTTCATGGGTGTTCTTTTTACTGAATTTTTGTCTTCATTGTCTTCTGCGCAGAGTGCATGGCGGGCTCTGTAAAACATTGAGCACAAAAAGTACATTGCCAGCACGAACCGCGTTCTTTGCTTTTTCTGTTTCCTAATGGCCACCATGGTATAAAAAATTGCTAAAACTATAACATCCACTTTTAGGACTTTTTGCATTAATATCCATACGTGCATGGAATAGCGCCACGCACCCCTGCCAACTGGATAAATAATTGCTGCATATGCAGTTATTCTGCTTTGTTAGAGACATAAGTTGGCAGAGCTGTATAATCCTTGTCTTTATGTATAGTAACCGGTTTACTGCATTTTTTCTTCTTTTGGCCTTCTTAGCTCTTAATCCAATGCTGAAGTGAATTTTCTGTGCATTTTATTCGTAAGTCTGGCCTGCATTCTGCTAGAAAAAAAGTCTACACTACAAAGAATCTGAAGAGTAAAAATTTGTACTAAGTAAAGAGTGTGCGAATATAAATAAAGACTTCATTTTTATTTAAATAAATTGACTTGTCTAATGAAATGAAAGCCTGCTGCAGGTCTAAGTGTAATGTAGATAATGGTAAAAGAAATTACCAAGAGAAAAAGAGACAAAAACACATTTGAAACAAAAACCTGTTGGAGCGTGCTGCACAGGAACATTAGCTTTCTAGCACTAGGAGGTTTAGCAGGCCGATAGTTTTCTACAAAAATGCCTGCATGTCTTGAAATTTTGGAAGCAATGTAGTTTTTTTGTGTGATGTCTAGAGCAGAGTATTCCTTCGACAAACTGCCTAAAACCTCGCTGCTTCTATTAGCGTATTTTTCAATTAAACGCCGAATGTTCCTAAGTTTTTCAAGCCTTCGGTTCTTTTTGTTTATTTTACGATTTAAAACGGCTTTTTCTTCTTCGATTCTCTGAAGTTCTTCTTCAATAGCTGCTGTCTCTGGGTTTTTAGCAGTAGGTAGCTCCTGTGTTTTTTTAGTATGCAGCTCTTCTAATTCGATGTCTTCTAGGTCTAAAGACTCTATTTCGTCGCTTACACTATTTATTTGCTCCACAATCATGAAATAATACTCGTCATAGTACTTTTTTATCAGCTTCTTTGCTTTCTTTATGTTCTCTGAACTCTCAACAAACCTTTCCACCGTATTGACGACTTTGTTCAGAAACGCATTCTGCGGAGTTTTGTCAATCTGCTCTAGCGGGGCTATTTCTTGTAATTTTAGCTGGGATGGGAAGCTCAGCAGGAGATTTTCCAAAACAGTATGCACTTTAGTGAGCACATTCTTTTCGCATTTGATGTTTTCTTCAAAGTAAACTAGAGATCTCATTAGTTTTACGTCTTCGCTTGGAAGGATGTCTTCTAAAATATCTGCTTTTTCCTTATTGGTTTTATTTTCTGCATAGTAGGCTTCTTTCAGTCTTTTTGCAGGCTCTTGCAGAGTTTCCGAAATGTCAACAATGTATTGCAGCGCATAGTCCACTAAAGGCACGCCCTCTCGCGTGGTGCCATAGAGCTCTTTTATGGTGTATAAGTTCTTCTTTTTAAACGCAAGCTGTTCAAAATAATTTGAAATAACATTTGTGCTTGTGGACAGCGTGTTCTTCACATAGACCAAAAAGAACACGTGTGTAGAGGCAAGCATTTCTTTATACAGCTTTATGTACTCTTCTACGTTTATCTTTTCAACACTACAGACAATTTTGTACCACGAGTTGATAAAGTCGGTAAGTTCATGTTTTAGTGTTATACTATTCGTCTCATGCCCATTCTTTTTTCTTCTAATGTGGTAGTTTGTAATGTTTTTTCTCAGATTTTCAATGGCAGCATCGTAGTTTTTTCCTCTTAGCATCAGCTCGTGCAGATAGATTATTTCTAAAATATGTGTAGACAGAAAAGTGCTGTACATGAGATATCTTACAATTTCTAAAATGTTTTGCCTTATGGGCTCTGGTAAAAAATCTGCTTTAATCAACACATGCCCATTTATGATGTGTTTTACTGCCAAAAAAGAAGCATAATTGTCTATAGGCAATTCTTCATCGACTTTGTATTTATCGGGCATGTTTTTAAAGGCATTTAGTATTTCTTTTTCATCAAATATTATTTCAATTTTTGCAGTTGGTGGGCTTTCTGGCATGCAAATAAATTTTTGCAGCCAGGAAATAAATAAAAATAGGATACAGTCTACCGCCCTGCTCTGCACAGGGTTAGACATGTATGCACAAGTAGCAGAGGGTATGGTACATACATTTATTGTTTGATCTAGATAAGGCCAGATATGCATTGCTAGATTTAAAATTCTTTTATTTAAAATAAACCTAAAGATGGCTTGCATAGAATGCAGATAGTATTTTCATGCTCCATAACTTTCTCTGTGCTGGGCAGTTTCTGAGCTAGATTCCGTACTAAATTGGCAAAGATTGCCTCGTTCTATTGCAATAATAAAGAATGGCTGGGTTAGCACAGCCCGTCGCCTCAAAACATTCCTACATCGCTGTCATCGCAGGAGAAAACTCTGGAGGTAGCTCTCTCGCCTAAAATTGGCTTAGAGTACTCTGAGGGGCTTGCTAGATTTCCAGAGTAAGCATCGTTGCATCCTACGGATGGATGGCATTTAATGCCTTCTTCTCCATAATTAATGCTTTTGTTTTTATCGTCTCGTGCTACACAGTCTGCAAAGCCGTTAAATTGTTTGTACTTTTCCACAAAAAGAGGATTGTACTCATCAAAGCTGGTTATTTGATCCGGAGTGGTAGCAGAAGAAGTCACATTAGAGTTGCTGGTGGTAATGGGGGTAGAAACAGTGTCAATAGAGGCAAAAGATCCCAGAGAAGGCAGCACAGTGGGCTCATCAACCGTAGAGTCAATTATTTCCTCAGAAACAGTGGCAGTAGATGAGTACCACTTCGTATTTAGCACAGAATCCGCACCATCAAATCCAAGCATTTGGTCCAGAGTTGCAGTGGTGGCAGGATACCAGCTATTTCTCAGAACAGAATCATTGCCATCGAATCCAACCATTTTGTCTATGCCTGTGGTGGCAGAGGGATACCAGCTATTTGCTATGCCCGCATCAGCGCCATCAAATCCAGTCATTTGGTCAGGAGCAGTGATGGGATACCAATTGTTTGCTAGTCCTGCATCAGCGCCATCAAATCCAGCCATTTGGGTTGTGCTGGTGGCCACAGAGTTATCTACGCTTTTAGATCGGCGCAGAGTAAAAGTGGAAATGTCTCCAGTGGATAGAACTTCAGGCTGGCCCTCAGAAGGCTCTTCCTCGCGCGGCAAAGAGCCTTTCTCTGATTCTTGCGAGTCAGGGCTGGATCTTTTCTTTTTCATCTGAGACAGAATAAGAAAGACGATGTACATCACGAGAGGAACGATGACAAATACGTTGAACAGCAAGTATTTCTTAGAAAGTGTTGTGGAGCCTTCAAGCTCTTCTATCTTGGCTGAAGTCAGTATGCTCTGTCTCTGTGCACCGTATGCATCATGATCAAGCATTAATTAAATATAAAAATTTATTAATTTAAATATTTATGTAGTTATAGGTTCCAAGATTTGTTTTAGTTTAATTTTAGCTCATTAGAAAAAAGCATTAATACACACATATTAATTAGTAATTAAATGTCAGTGCGGCTAGAGCTATTCATTTTCAGAACCTAGCAAATGTCTGATCTTTATGTATTCAAACCAGCTTGGACTAGATGCCACCGTAGATCACTTTGTGCATTTCATTCTACTCTTTGGTATTGGTTTATCTGATGAGATACAGCTATTTTTGCATTATCTCAAAGTGTGTATGCCAGTTGGGTTCAGAGTTTGTGCATGCAGTATATGCTAGTGCACCATAAGCTGAGCAGATTAAACAGGTTTGATTGTAGATTTATTGATTGAGTTTTGGTTTTAGAATTACTGGTAGACATTTTATCTAAATATTGGATTGAGATGCTTCTTCCTGGCAGATTTAGCACTTCATATTAGATCATTTGTCGCTTTCCAGCTCATCTGATGGAGCAATCTTCTGCTCTGCAGTTTCTGTTTTCACGCTTTCAAAAGATTCATTGGACTCTGTATCATACTTATCTTCTTTGTCGTCATATGATGCTGGCTCGTTTGGGATAGAACAGTATTCTTGTTCAGCACTGGCGCCTTCTTGTCCATTAATCTCTGAAAATGTCGAGGAGTTAGAGTTGGGTATAGAAACCACATCAGAGCCTTCGCTGTCTTTTCTTTCTTCCTCTTTTGCAGGCTCTGGATGGACATCTGTTTGCTTTTCAGCCGCTGCAGACACATATGGGCCAAAGTCAGCATCGATACTATATGTAGGATTATCTGTGTATGTCTCTTCAATACAGCCTAGCAAAAGCTCAGAAGCCTCTTCATCGTAAATAGTATCGTTTTTTCTTTCCTGTTCAATATCGTATTCTTTATTCAAAGCATTATCTGTTTTATTATCTGATTCTGTCTGTTTAGTCTCTCCAGCTTCATGTAGGCCATGCTCATCTACTGTTGAATGATCCTGTTTACTTTCTTTTTCAGCCTCTGCACCAAGGCTTTCTTCATTGGGAAGAGTTTTCTCTTCTTTTTGGGCTTTCTTTCTTTTTGCTAGCAGCAGCATAATGCACATTGCAGCTAGGATGCACGCAGTCACAAAGACTCCCGTAACGAGAACATTGGCTTTTCTGGAACGGTGGATGGATGTAGTGATGGCAACCTCTATGCTTTCCTTTGGGGACTGTCCAAGAATGGGGTGTGCTGAGTTGTTTAATGTTTCCATGTTTACCTGATCATTGGCTAATGTCATTTAAAAACTGAAAAATATTTTTTATTAATACTCCACTAGAACTAATGCTGTTCAATTATTACTTATGTATGCCGGATGGCAGCCAACTGCTACAAACTCTGCAGGATAAAATCTATTTGTACATTTAGAATTGTATATGTGCTATCTATTTTCAAATGCATACGCAGTGTAGGTACATAAACATAGCATCAGACAGCATAGAGCCTTTATTCTAACTAATCTGCAACAGAAGCTGATCAGCCTTTGCATATCCGTTTTTGGAAATTGTTTCTACAGTCAGTTTTTACAGAAATCTGAAAAGAAAAGTGGTGTATAGAAACACGCTTCTAGTAGATGTGACAGAGCCATAGAAACAGGATGTGATAATTACAAACTCTTTATTCAAGATCTATATCAAGAGTTGGCAAACTTAATAATGGATATTTGTGTTTTTCCTCTTTCGGCATGCCCGTATACTATGGTCTCGTCTTCGCAGTACAGGCTGTACAGCAGCTCTACAGACACAACTGTTCGTATGTACTTGCCTGTGTCTCTGTAGTACAGATCAACGCGGTTTGTAAGGCCAACAACCAGCAGATGGTTTATAACAGAAAAGTCTACCGATTTTGTGTTTGTTTCTATTTGGTAGACCTCCTGGCCTGTTTCTATGTTCCACTTGGAGAGCACCCCCGAAGCAGTGAGAGTGTATACATACCCCTCGCTGTCTATCCTAATTTGGAATATAGTTCCGTGCTGTGTTCTTCCGCTGAACAAAAGCTTTCCCTCAAGTGTTACTATGTACAGATTCTGATCCATTCCCGCTATTGCAACGTACTTCCCCAGGCTTTTCACTTTGTATATCCGCCTCGGAAGTTTTATCAGGTACCGAACGCCCTCTCCTATCTGGTAGTTCCACAGTATAGACGTGCCGTCATACGAGCCTGTCACTAGATACGGCTTGTCTTTGATAAGCACCATGTCCCGAATGCTTCCCTTGTGGCCTGTCAGCAGATGCTTGCACACCCCTGTGCGTATCGACCAAATGCGGATTGTAAAGTCTCTAGACCCAGTGATAACGTACTCATCAGTCAGCAAAACTGTCCTGATTGTGGATGTGTGTCCAATGAACGTTTTTAAGCAGACGCCCAGAAAGGCGTCCCAGATCTTTGCAGTTCTGTCGGTGCTTCCGCTCGCAAGGATGTTGTTCATGTAGTCAAACGCCCAAATGCTCCCCTTGTGCTTATTGAGGGTTTTAATGAGGTTCAGAGACTTGTCCAAGACATAGATGTACGAGGAGTTGCTGGCCACAATGATTATGTCGCCGTACGCCTTTATCTTTGTTATGTACACGCTTGGGTGGTGGCTTATCGTTCGAACCTGTTTTACCTGGTTGTTTATCCAGTCCAGCGTAACAAGATGCTCTTTTTTTACAGCCACCAAGTAGTTTCCATTCGAGCAGCTTGTCTCTTTGTTTTTCAGCTTTTGTTTCCAGATCACTGGATTTTTCTCAATGGCGGTTTTTACTGTTTCAGAGCTGCACATCAGCCTTTTTATGTCGTGCATGCCGAGATGCTTTGTTATTTTGCTAAGCATCTCAAGGGGGAAGATATTTTCTATGATTGCCATTCTTTAAAAAATTTAAAAAACCAAGCAATTCATTGCTGTCCCCATTTTGCCAGCTTACTTGCCTTGTCCACACAAAATTTTATTTCGTTTCAAATTGTAACTGGCTCTGTTTTTCATTGGTTAAATGTATTTTTATTTTAGAGATTTCTGGATGCCGCTGAATATGGAGCAAGAACGCAAGCAGAAGAGAATAACAGAGCTTATAAAAGCTCTCCCCGTAGACCGCAAAAAGCTGGAAGATCTGCTGCTAAATAACTCTCTGGAAGACATAGAAGTAAAGATATATGGGAGCAAAATAGGGAAAGTTGAAAAAGCCATAAAAAAGGCCATCAGACACATCGGGATAAAGCCGAAAATCAAGAACTCAGAGGACAGAAGACATGTGATAGTCAAGCTGAACAAACACATGAAGTTTATAATACTCGATATAGAGGCCTAGGAGATCAGGCTCTTCTACTTTGGATGATTAGTGCAAAATGGTTTTTGATTTTAAAGGAGTATACTACTAACGGTTTTACTAGCAGCATCTTCGATTGGTTTATTCTGTTCCAGAATGTTCTAGTGCGATGTGCGGAGAGATGAGAACAATAAGTTTTTATACTTTGACAAATAAATAAAATTTAGAATGAAATTAAATGAAGTAATGGACGACTTATCTGGTAGATTTCTTATGTACTTGCCGCTTTCTGAAGTGAAGAACACGGAAAGGCTCTTTTTCCAGGTGGAGGAAGCGCACTGGTTCTACGAAGACTACTACCGAAGAAAATTCAATCTTCCCTATTTAAATCTAAGAGAGTTCACGCTTCGTCTTATAAAACACAGCGACTTTGCAAAGAATCTTACCGGGATTGACGAAGACTTCAAGAAGTTCCTGAAGTACAAAAAGATAGTGCCGGTGTTTGGCGCTCTGATATTCAACTCGTCCATGAGCAAAGTGCTTCTGGTCCGAGGATTTGGGCCCAAAAAGTCGTTCACCTTCCCAAGAGGAAAAATATGCAAATCAGAGAGCAATGTAGACTGCGCGATCAGAGAAGTGTACGAAGAGGTGGGGTACGACATAAGAAACAAGCTGATCTACAACATGTTCATGGAAACAGGATCGAAGAGCAAAGAGTCAAAGCTTTATGCAGTGCTGAACGTATCCGAGCAAACAGCGTTTAAAACAAAGACAAGAAACGAAATAAAAGAGATCAAATGGGTTTCCATAGAGTTCCTTGAAAAAACGCCAGACGAAGCGTTTTCCTACGTAAAGACGTACGTAAAGGAGATAAAAAATCTCGTAAAAAGAATCGAGAAAGACAAGCCTAGACTCAACATGAAAAGAATTAAAAAGGCATTTTCAATAGAGTAACTCCATTGTTTGTTGTGAAAATGAAGAATATTAGGTATGCCATGTATATAATAAAAATTCTAAATATTTTCATTTGTATGACAGACCAGACAGAGGAAGGGTATTCGAATGTTAGCACATCGGAGTATGAAATACTGGAAGAAGACAGACTCACAATGTTCAGGAGTCTGCTGAGAAGTAAAGGGCTGTGCGGATACATCCTATACAGAAGAGATCCGCACTTGAATGAATACGTGCACCCGCACTACGAGCACATCGCATGGCTTTCAGGCTTCACAGGATCAAATTCCACTCTTCTTGTGCTGCCTGAAGTGGCTTATCTCTACACGGACTCAAGATACTTCCTGCAGGCGAAGCAGCAGCTCCCCAGGAACATCGAGCTCTCCCGAATGGGCATAGACCCCACAGTATCTGAGAGGCTAATAGAGTTCAAGTGCACAGTTGGCGTAGACCCAAGTGTCATAACAAGCGATGAGTACACGCGGCTCTTTAAGAAACTGCCGGAGGGCGTGGATATTGTGCTTCTGGAAGATGATATCATTAAGGAAATGTGGGCTGATAGACCTGAGATAGTCCCAGGGAATCTTGAGATAATGAAGCACCAAAGACCAGTCGACGCAAAAATAAAAGAAATAAGAGAAGAAATGAAAAAAAACACAGATATGTACTCGTACATGCCTCCATTGGACGTAGCAATTATTGCAGACATGGACGAGATAGCATGGGCCACGAACCTGAGAGGAACAGACATTCCGATGTCAAGGCTGTTCTACTCGTTTTTAGCGATAGAAAAAGATGATGTTTTTTTGTTCACTGAGTCCAGCTTAACTCAAGACATTTCCTCTGTCAAAGTTCGGCCGTATGCAGAATTTTACCAGTACACTGCAGAGCTAAAAGACAAAATAATCGGAATCTCGTCCAGCACAAACTACAAAATACTGAACAGCATCATAAATAGCAACAAAGTCAGCACATTCACAGGAATACTGAACCTGAAAGCAGTGAAAACAGAAGAAGAGATACAGGGGTTTATAGAAGCCAACAAACGAGATGCAGTGTATTTGTGCATGCTGTTTGGCGAAGTTCAGAAGATCGTATCAGAGGGCAAGAGGGAGATAGGCGAGCTAGATGTATCAGAGATGCTTCTGAAGATAAAGGAAAAAGACAGAGAATTTATAGTGCCCAGTTTTGAAACCATTTCCGGGTTTGGAGAGAACGGGGCATGCATCCACTACGCACCAGTCGATAACGCAACAAAAATCACAGAAGATAATTTGCTTTTGGTAGACTCTGGATCGCAATACACGATGGGAACTACCGATATAACACGAACTGTGTGCTTTGGAAAGCCCACAGATGAGCAGAAAAGAGACTACACTGCTCTGATAAAAGGACACATGGACCTGGAAACTACTCCATTCTCCTCTAAGACAGCTTTAGGCGCTCTATCACCCATTGTAAGGAAGCACGTATGGAAGCATTACCTTGAATACGGGCACAGCACAGGGCACGGTGTGGGCTTTGGGCTTAACGTGCACGAAGGCCCTCAGACACTGGACAGCTCATCTCGTGTTAAGGCTCTGCCTGGAATGAACATAACCGTTGAACCAGGAATATACAGAGAAGGAAAGTATGGGATAAGACACGAAAACTTGGCAGTAGTGCAGAAGTCAAAAGTAAACCCAGAAGAGTTCTACGTAATCAAGAACATTACCCATGCACCTCTGCATTTGGATCTCGTAGATGTGGAGATGCTTAGCGATGAAGAAGTCCAGTACATAAACGACCAGTCAAAGTACATACGAGAGTTGCTCGGAGAGAGTTTAATGCACCACAAGGAGGGAACTAAATGGCTCCTAAAAAATACGGAAAAAATATCAAAAAGAAAAAACAAAAAGTAGGAGCGAAGGCACGAATAAATCAGTCAGTTATAACAATTTTAGTTTATATAATAGATATCTTACTGTTTGGCTACTGGATCATGCGAGTGCTTTGCTAGTCTCTTCGCTGTACTCGTCTTCGTATCTGCGGCTGCCTTTAGATCCCCTTCCATGCGAAGTTTCATAGCTGGAGTGTCTGGAAGGAGAATCTTTGTATCTATCGTTGGAGGATCTTCGTGCGGTGTAGGTGCCTCTTCTGTCGCTTTCGTAGTCGCTTTCTCTTGGGTAATCATCTATTGTTCTTTCTTCTTCTATGGGCTCTTCTTCTTTTGCTCGCCTGGTGTGTCGATACTCTTTCTTTTTCACACTTGTCTCATCGTCTTCGTCATCTATAGTCTCTGATCTTCGTGTTTTTACTCTCTCAACTGCAGCCTTAGAGTCATTTATTGGCTGGTATGCTGACTCTTCTTCGCTTAGCAAGCGGTCTTTTCTTTTGCTCTGCGAGTTTGCAGATCTTTTTAGCTTAGAGCTTGTTGAGTTGTAGCTCTTGGACAGCTTCTTGAGGGTATTGGACAGAGCAGAGCTGTCTTTCATGGTGCCATCGTCCAAGGTGCTTTTTAAAAGTGATCTAATGTGTGCTAGTCTGCTCATCATGAGCCGGGCGGCTGCTTCCTTTCCCATCTCGCATCGGCACACTATAGAAAAACATACGTACAGTAGTAAGTGGTATCTCATTATGTATATTTGTGCTCATTATCTCTACTAATACTCTTTTTGAAACAATGTTTAGAATTTACAGCCCAAGCACAAAACAAAATACGTGCAGGCGCTCTAACACACCATAAATAAGATCGGTTTTATGTTTGTACTCGCTGGGCACAATAAACATCTTGTTCTCTTGGAGCGTGGTAAGGTCAATGTAGCTGCTGTTTAGCTTTTCCTGGACTTTTTTCTCAACTATTGGCAGTAGTTTGCGGATATTTGCAGACCACAGGTGAAAGCTTTTAGAAGGAGCGCAGTCCGCTGTTCTGGAGATCATCTGCATCGAAATGAGCCTGTCTGCAAGTAGAGCAAACAGCGTTTTTTTGCACTCTGAAGGCTCCATTAGAAGATACTTTTGTACGAACTTATCCTCCACGTACCCTTTTGACAGCAGCATGGACAAAATGGTAGAAGCATTTGGCCCCATGAACATGTCGCAGTACTCCAGAGCTATTTCTTTTTTGATTTTATCGAGATATGATTCATGGTTTACCTGATACATCTCGTATCCCCCGGAGAGAGCGCCGTATCCTATGAGATATTTTAAGTTTTTTTGGACAACCGCGTCAATACTTGTCTCTCCGTACTCTTCTGCCTGCACGCCAAACTCTTTGCACCTTTCAAGCACCTTGACGAAGGAAGAAGGCGCTGGGTAGAAGCTCTTCACAGCTAGGAAAACCTTTTTTGTGTTTTCAGAAAACCGTTTTGTAATATCGTTATTAAATAGCTCACTGAGTATTTTTGCATTTGCATTTCTTTTTGAAAATACTATGTACTTCTCGCTCTCATCTTTTACTCTCTTCACCCCGGACAAAGACTCTTCCGATAGAACTCCGTCTTTAATCATTTTTCTTGCACATTCAAGCATCTCGCTCGGAAAAGAGTTCATTCCTATCCGGCCTCTAACGAGTATTTCTGTTGCTATCTGGCCGCCAAATGGCCCATACGTTCTCTCAGCATAGTCTATATACACGGGATAACTATTCAGCGAAGAATATCCGTTTTTTATGAAATATCGCGTCCCTTTGCCGCTGTAGTTCGCAAACCCCACAATTTGGAAATGTATCAGAAGAGAGAGCCCTTTGATTACGTCTTTCCTAGATAGCTGTGTGTTTTTGTAGATGGACACCAGCCCCACGTCTCTGTTGTTTAGGAGGTAGTATCCTATTTTGCTGCACACATCGCCAAATCCTTCGAGTATAAATACTCTTGCACTGCAGCTCATCTGAAAAATAAAAATATGCAAGAGTCAAAAGACCCAAAAAAATCGAAAAAACCCGCAGAAGCTGCCATTGAGACATTGAAGCGCCTAAACCGGTACAACCCCCTGGTAGAGGCTGTTAGAAAGGAGATTGACAATATAAAAGGCACAGCAACCCTTTCTGAAAAGTACAGAAAAGCGTGCGAAATACTCGAAAATGTCCTCACAAAAGAAGACATAGCAGAAATTGAAGAAAGCACTAAAAGAATTAAAGAAGAGAATTTTTAAAAAGCGAATTATAAAATGCTTCCGAAGCAAGCCGCAAGCACGCTAGAAGGAGTAAGCGAGCCAATTCTGCTAAAAGAGAGCCACAAAAACAGGCCTATGTGGGTTTCCCCAGATGGCGTTATGATACTGGAAATGCACTCGGAGCAGAGCCAGCAGGCGCAAGACTTCCTTATCGCAATAGCAGAGCCAGTCACCCGGCCTGCAAACATGCACGAGTACAAGCTAACCGCCTATTCGCTCTACGCTGCAGCAAGTGTGGGGCTGAAAACTGAAGATATCATAGACACAATGGACAGATTCAGCAAGAACAAAGTGCCGCTGAGCATTTTGAACTTCATTCGGTCCTGCACAACGAGCTACGGAAAAATAAAAATGGTGATTCGGCAGGGAAGATACTTTATAGAGTCGCAGGAAAATCAGAACATATCGTTTCTCTACAAAGACCCTGTGATCCAGCAGCTGTGCATTCCCATAGCAGAAGAAAAGAAGGGCATCGTAAATTTTGAGATAGAGCAATCAAAAGTTGAGCTGGCTAAGAAAAGATGCATAGAGCTAGACTACCCCCTGATTGAGGAGTACGATTTCCGCACAGAAAATACACTTCCTCTTTTGGACATAGACCTGAAGCCCACAACTTCAATAAGAACGTATCAGGAGTTCAGCCTCAACAAAATGTTCGGAAATGGCAGAGCGCGCTCAGGGATTATTGTCCTGCCATGCGGCGCTGGAAAGACTCTCGTGGGGATTGTGGCTCTGTGCACGATGAAGAGATCCTGTCTGATACTCTGCACAACCTCGGTTTCTGTAGAGCAGTGGAAACAGCAGATAAAACACTTTACAAATATAAAGGATGAATCGATAGCGATGCTCACATCAGACACAAAGGAAAAGTTTACAGGGCACGCGGGAGTAGTTGTCAGCACGTATACAATGGTGTCGTACAGCGGAAAAAGATCGTATGACACGCAGAAGATAATGGACTTTCTGACAAACACCGAGTGGGGCCTCGTTATATTCGACGAGGTGCATGTAGTGCCTGCGAATATGTTCAGACGAGTTGTCTCCACAATTATCTCGCACTGCAAGCTCGGCCTCACTGCTACGCTTGTGCGAGAAGATGAAAAAATTGAGGATCTGAACTTTTTGATTGGGCCGAAGCTGTACGAGGCAGACTGGCTGAACCTCAGCGCACAGGGCCACATATCCAAGGTGAGCTGCACAGAAGTATGGTGCAAAATGACGGGTGACTTCTACAAGCAGTATTTAATAGCTGATATAAGAAAAAAAAGAATACTCGCTACTATGAACCCAACAAAAATACAGATGTGCGAATATATTATAAATAAGCACGAGGCCCTGGGGGATAAAATAATCGTTTTTTCAGATAACGTATTTACTCTCAAGGCGTATGCTCTTAAGTTTGGAAAGCCGTTTATATACGGGCCCACAGGCCAGGTGGAGAGGATGCACATTCTTAACCAGTTCAGAACCAATCCAAAAATAAACACAATTTTTCTGTCGAAGGTGGGAGACACTTCGATTGATCTCCCAGAGGCTACGTGTCTAATACAGATATCAGGGCACTTTGGAAGCAGAAGACAGGAGACACAGCGGCTGGGAAGAATTCTCAGGGCGAAGAGAAGAACAGACGAAGGATTCACTGCGTATTTCTACACATTGGTGAGCATGGACACAGAAGAAGTCCCGTACTCCACCAGAAGGAGACAGTTTCTGATCGACCAGGGATACTCATTCAAAATAATAGAGGAGATAGAAGAGATGGAGGACAATCCGCCAACAGCCTACAGGACAAAAACAGAGCAAAACGAACTCCTTGCCTCAATTCTCATGGCGTCAGAGCGGGAAATACAGACAGAGTCAGAAGATGACGAAATAGAAAAAATAGAAAAGAAAGTGTCAAGCAGAAAACTAGCAGGGCCTGCCCACCTGTCCTACACAGAAAAAAGAACAAGATGAATGTCATTAATGAATATTGGATATACAATTGTTATCAGTGGATTGATCGCATCCACCTACTAAAACCTTCTCAAAGATAAATAAACAGATAAAAGCATCTCTATCACACTAGCCGTTTTATCTGCAAATTGGTTAGCGCGCTCTTACTAGAAAAAGAAGTGGAAAACAGTTTGGTCTTTCCATTTGCAAATAATTTAATATTTGCACTGTCTGTGCTGGCAAACAGTACTTTCAGTTTGCAAAAGCCAACTGCAAAATTATTTATATTTTTTCTTTCTTTTTTTATTCGTCATGGGTTCAAAAGCGTTTGAAGCAGAAGCTATTATTCCAGCATTGGAGAAGATCATTGAAGGAGTAAAACCAAAGAGAGCTGAGGCAGGAGAGACAATCGAAGTAAGAGTTGGAATTAAAGGGTACGACCCAGCAAGAGACAAAAGATTCAGAGGAGAGGTAACCCTCCCCTTCAGCAAGAGAAAGGAAGAGAAAATCCTTGTGCTGGCTGACATCCATCTGGCAAACGCCCTCGAGGGATCAGACATTCCCTTCATTTCATACGACGAGTACAAGGGAAAGACTCCAGAGGGAAAGAAGAGAAGAAAGAAGCTGATAAAGCAGTACCACTCGTTCATATCAGTGCCCTCTCTCTACAAAGTGTTCGAGCCTCTGCTGTTCACCGGAAAGAAGAAGCCCGTCTACATGATTAAAAACATAAACGAGATAAAGAACTATTACGAAGATGTAAAGAGAAAGGTGCAGCTGAATCTAAAGGCAGATTTGCTGATTGGCTTCCCCGTTGGAACCACCAAAATGGACTCAAACGAGGTATCGCAGAACATCTCAACGGCTATGATCGCGCTTATTGGACTGCTTAAAAAGGGAGTGCAGAACATACGGTCAGTTGACATCAAATCAACGCAAGGAAAGCCTATTAGATACTTCCCATTCTAATAAATATAACACTCTTTTAAGCGGTGATTTTATTTTGTGTTCGCTGCAGGCTTGCTGCTTCTTTTCCTGCGCTTGTAAAAATAATTTGAATGTGCTATAAGCGGTAGTAACCAGAAAAGAATGAAAATGGAGGAGAAACAAGAACAGATAATGCTTGCACTCTTCTGTTTATCTGACCCTGTCTTTGCTGTGCAGGCAGTTCATCGTTCTGTCTCTACATCTTTCTATTTTACTTTTTTGCCATTATAGCAGAATCACATCACTTTCTATGCTCTTTCTATGTCCTTATTTACCGACTTATCTTATCTTTCTGTTCTTTTAAAAGTAGTACGTAGTAGGAGCAAGATACATTGCAATACTTCTTTCAACTTCTGAAGATAAAGCTTATTTAGATCACTTGAGCATTGGGAACATACGAGTCGCAATATTTCTTTTAAGCAAAACTCTAACAGATGCACTGCGAATAGACCAAAAGCCCAAAGAAACACACAGATAATTTATCACATTCTTTATTGACTACCACTGCAGGTAGGAGTACATCTTTACTATGTCGTGTGTCAGAAACATGTTTTTTTCTTTTTTTTCCGATGCTTCAGACTCGTCCAGTATCCACTCCTCAGACTCTTCCATTTTATTGCAAAATCATATTTGCATTTATTTTGTATATAGACGCCCCGCTGTCTATGGACATGGCAGGCACATCGGTTGAAATAGAAGACTCGCCTGGCGCAATTGTCAGCGCAGGGAGCAGAATCTCGCCCAAGAACTTTTTCTCTTTCAGAAGAGTCCATGCATACACCTTTATCTCAACTACATCAATTGGCACAAACACCGGGAAAGAAAAAGTTTCATTGAAGACGGGATTTGCAATGTCTCCCACCGATGCTGTGGCCTTGGAGTTCTCTCCCACAACTACCTCTATAAAAACATTGGAGTATATCTCGGCATCTGCTAGGTCTGCTACTTCCATGTTCAGAATGCTCAGCGAAAGTGTTCCCTTTTCGATCACAGGTCTAGGGAGTCCCGTGTAGTATCTGTTGTACACATCTATGACAAAGAGCTGGCCGTGCGTTAGTTTTATCTCGTGTCTTCCGCTTGAGTGAGAAAGATGGAACTTTCCTATCAAAAACCCTTCCTTAACCGTAAACACAGAAATGCTTACATCTGTGAAGAAGTAGAACTCACCGTGCAGCTTTTTTCCAGAGCTTGATGCACTTCTGTCCACTACTACGCCGTCTTTTGAGAACTCCAGGAATATCGGATGGTTCACCCTGCACACTATCACCCTCATCTGAATGAAAGGCGATTTATTCTCTGGCTCGCACACTTCTTCATTTACCTCTGGCTTCTCGTGCGGCTCTACGCTTTGGAGCGAAGATGCTTCTATTTTTTCTGGTTTTTCTGGTTTTTCATTTACCTCCTGAACTTCGCTTTTCTTCTCGTCTTCTGTGCTGTTTTTAGACGAGCCATCCTGATCTTTTGTGTTTTCTGTTTTGTACAACGGATAATCCACCGAGCTCATGTCGATCCTTGTCTCTCCAATGTACGACTCGCCTGAGATTATATTGCATCCACCATACACCTCTTCATTGACATATGCCACATACTTCGTTACTTCATTCGGAGAAAGAAGGGGAACAAGCGTGTATCCGCTAAACTCTCCGGTGCAGTGCGAGAAGAAGGGCGTAGCAGGGACCACTCTTCCATTTGTCACTAAATAACCTGAAAATGCTCCTGGTGTTTTTATGCTAAGTATCTTAACAGCTCTGATGTGTGTGTATTTCTGCATATTTACCTTGATCATAAACGCATATTCAGCCGAGAAGAGAAGCTTTGCCCTCCCCGCCGCCATGTGCCAAAAATCAAAAGTACCGTACGATATTGAGATGCCTCTTCGAATATTTACATTGAAGCTTCCCAGTGCTCTGTCTTTGTCGTATGCCTCGATGCATATAGTGGTGCGCTTAGCATCTCGCGTATAAAACACAAACTTTTCATCGAATGCTGGGCTCGTTACATTCCTTGCAACTGCTGTGGTGAATACTCCAAGTATTTCGTTCGGCACTGAATGGTGTTGTGCTGGCTTTTTTTTCAGCTCTTCATCAGAGTCTGTTGATGACTCGTTTGTTACGGAGAATCCTGGGCTTGCGCTCTTCTCCGGCATAAGCTCAGTGGCTGACATATCAGCTGGGTCTTTATTTTTTATTCTTTTCTGGCGCAGATACACGGTGGCTTTGACTGTAAGGTTCTTATACGGCATTCCTAGCAGATCGACCATATCTATCAGCTGAACCAGCTTAACAGTTACAATCGCAGACTTTGGCTTCTCTTCGTCTGGCATTTTATCTACATCTATCTTCGGATGGAACATAAAAGAAGCATCTAGGTATCCCTGGCCGTTGGAAAAAGGTATGACGCCCTGTGTCCTGGAGAGCATGCATATCTGCTCAATGGACATAGTGGCTGTTGCAATGGGAACTTCGTCTTCTTTCTTGTGGATGCCCATTGAAATAAGATCATCTGTGTTTTTAATGGGAAGATAGACTAAAAAGTTGGAGCTATCTTGGTCAACCCTTACAACATCCTTCCCTTTTCTTCCATTCAGCCCCACCGACATAAGCAGCTCGTTCTTTATGTTTGTCACTACCTTGTGAATGTGCACAACAATGGCTCCTACGTAATACTTTGATTTTGGCTTCAGAGCCACTGAAATTCGCTTGGGGTACAGAGCCTCTTTTTCGATTCCTACTTCTATCACCTTTTTAATCGCAGTTGCAAGCCCTGGTATGTCCATAATATCCATCATCTTCAGGGGAACAATGTTGAAGCCTATTACAGGCTGCTTCAAAAACGAGAACTCAACGCCTTCTATGACGCTTGCATCGTACGTAAAGTTTAGCTTGATTCTTACACTTCCTCTAAATGACACATTCTTCAGTGTCAGGGGCATATCTATCCCTGCTGCTGTTGCGCCTACTCTTATTGTCAGTGTGATGTTCGAGTTCCAGTTAATTCTGCTATCTCCCGGGGTCTCTAATGACGAGTGAATTTCTTCTGATACAGCCGGTATAAAGTGCATTGTTACGTCCATCACCAAAGACTCCTTGCAGGACTGGCGTATTCTTATGCCCTCTATCACAGGTGATTGCCCACCCAGCGTAAATCTATCGAGCCGAATATCGCTCACCATGGGCAGCTTTACCTTTCTGAGGACTGCGCTCACTCTCAGCAGTAGTTCTTTTGAAACACTTGACTCTACGTATCTCCACGCCTTCTCCATTACCTCGTTCATCCAGTCTACCTTCTCGTATTTTGACACTGATTGTTTTCTTATTGAAAAATACACGAATGCCTCCATGCTTCTCTTGAACTCTTTGATTCTCGATAGAAATATGAACCCTATCACGTAGAGGAGAGGAACAATGACCCAGGGCCTGAACTCCATCCATCCGAGCACGTATCCTCCTATCCCTGCAAAGAATACTATGCCCGGCACTTTAAGGATCTTCACAAAACTCGAGGGCTTGTCCAGCGCGAGTGCGTTCTCGTACTGCGCAAGGCTCTTTGCATACTTTTCTGCGCTGATTTTTTCTTCCTTCACAAACTCGTCCTCTTCAGAACTTTCGCGCTTCATATTCCACGAAAATAAACAAACAATAAATACCACTCGACCCAACTCATAATTTATTTATAGATTTAGCTACACCCCGGTCTTTAATTTTATTTATATCTCACTCTGTAGCCTTCCGGTCTCCAACCTCTTCTATAAATCTCTTTCATCTGCTCAATAGAGATCATCTCACATACTACACTGCACTCCTCACGAATATAAAATATCAAAGTGCTCTGAAATGTACAGAAGGCTTCCAATCTTTGGGCCTTCTCCTCTCGTGAGAGTCTCCATCTTTCCGTCCTCAATGCACACCACGTCAAAGGATATAGAGAGCGAGCTTGAAATTGCTGTGATCTCTATCTCTCCTGCATACTGGCTGCTGGCCTCTATGTTCATTGCGCAGTACTTGTCCACCGGCCCTTCAATGAAGCCCGCAAATACTTCAGAATTCTTTTTAATGTATGCAGATGCGATCATGCGGAAGTATGTGACAGTGTAGTTCCAGAAGATGCTGTCAAGATCTTCTATGTTTGGTGCCTCTCCTGTGGTTGCAGACTTGAGAATCGTCATGATGGGATCTGTAAACTCTTTTATCAGATAGTCTTCTACGCCTGTCTCTGCGAGGGCGCCATTTAGCTCGGTGAGCGTGTTTATGAGGGCTGCAGAAAGCGCTGGGGTGGAGTAGTATTCAAGAGCCAGAAATATAATAGAATAGTAGAAACAGTTTCCGTCTCTGCGAATTGGGCGAATATTCGAGTCACTCCTCGCCAGACTGGCTATGCTGCTGTGGAAGGGCGTGTCTTTGTATTTTTCGAGGAGAGTATCTGCTTTCAAAAGGTCTCCGATGTATCTACATTCTTCCGTATTGGTTTGCATGTTATTTGAACACAAATAATTTATTTATAAATACTATGCCACCAAGACAACAGAGCAAAAAAAAAGAGGAAGACGGTTTATATCTTGACGAAGAAGACAAAAAACAGCTAGAACTACTGCCAGAGGCTGCCAGGGAAGAGATACTGTATGAAAGACACATGCGAAAGACAGAGGCAAAAGAAAGACAAGAGCTAAAGCACAGAAGAAGAGAGTTTGGGGACGAGAGCGATTCGGAGAGCGAAAGCAAGGATGTGTACGGCATACACGAGAAAGCGATTCCAAGGATAGTGTCTAAGACGAGCTTTGACGTGTTTAAGAATGTTGTTCTGAGACGAGACGATCTCATCAGCATTGTATACAGAAGAGCCATAGACAGACTGAAGGGATACTACGTGAAAATACGGCTCCCAGAGGGATATTGTGTGTACAGGATATTAAGAGTTTACGAAGACAAAAGGTACGAAGTAAACGGCGTTGTAACGAACAAATGGATGTCGCTGGGGCGAAACAAAGACAGAAAAGAGGTGAACATCCAGAGCATAAGCAATGCACCGGTGACAAAGGAGGAGTACAGCCGGTATGCACGCGAGAATACGATAGAGGGAGGAGATAAAGAGATACTGCGGCTGTACAAGAAGCTGTCAAGAGATTTAGAAAGCGGAGCCACAGAAGAAGAGCTGAACTACTCGCTTACCCAGAAGAGAAGATTTTCAAAGTACGGAAAAATTGCAGTAAAAAGAAGAATTGAGCTAAAAGTTATGCTGGAGAGAGCAAAGGCAGAAGATAGACAAAACGAGGTTGAGGAGATAGAAAAAGAGCTTAAGGAAATAGAGGATGCTGCAGGATCTGAGTAGCTGCATAGCAGTAGTTCACAAATCTACAGGTAATAAATAGTATTAAAAATAGCCCTATGCAGCCAGGAGAGAGCTGCAGTGCTCTTTTGTTCGATCTGTTCTATTCTGTGTTTATCCATTGAGTGAGTTTTATTTATTTTTACTTTTTCTGTTCTTTAGCTGTAGTAATTTTCGTGAAAATATTTTAGTAAATTCGATCTTACCTAGTTTTAAACCATTCCGTGCCATTTATTTAACTCTGTGCAGATTGCTCCTATTACCCATAGTATAAGCTCGGGGTGAAGACAATTCCCCTCTTTAGTTTTTCATTTATTGCCTCTACCTCCTGCGACAGTCTTGGGTTTCCTAGTATCTTTGCTGCTATCGCTATCTCTGTGCATATTTCAGTTGCTTTTTTAATGTACTTTACGATCACGCCTTCTGAGAGAGGAGAAGCATCAATGATCTCTGCTAGAGATTTATTGTTGAGCCAGAGAGCCAGCTCTCCGCAGAACGCGTGATTGGGGAGCTCCATTCGTATTTTGTAGTGTTTATATAGGGGTCTAAGCTCATAGACTATCTCATCGATTATTTCAAGAGAAGGCTTGAGTATCCTTATCTGCTCTACCCTGGGCTCTTCTCGGCTGTGCTCTGCTTCTTCTTTTAGCTGGTGTTTTTCGTAGAAGGTAAGACCAACCAGTGCAATAATAAGATGCGATGTTTCCATTTCAGAGATTTTAGGTGATAGCAGTACTTCTGTTGTAAGAACACATTCGATTGCATTGAACTCATACGCTATTTTTCCTTTCAGTTTTATGTTATCTAGATTGTCTATGTAGTCGAGAGTTCGGAGGAACATGATGTAGTTGAAGTAGTTGTTGCACGCAAGACCGGATGTGTTTGTCGATGCCAGCTTTTGGTCAATCTGTTTTATCTTTTCTCGTATAGTGTACTCTTTCAGGTACCCTTTGTAGTGCTCCTGGAACTCTTTGCATTCTAGGCATTTAAATCTGCTGAGATCTTTCCATGCGCTGATTCCATCTATCTGTGTTTTTAGTAACTTAAAATCTTTTCTTGGGAAAGAGACCGGCTCTTTTGTTGTGCGATCAATCACTAGTATAGGCGGTGTCTCTGCGCTATTTGAAATATCCTGTAGAACACTGTGGTGCGGTACTTTAGACACCTCTGCAATCGTAGATCGTATAACCACATAATTGGGATTGTCGGCTAAAGAATCATCTGAGCCATAGACGAGGGAGAGCTGTTTCAGAGCTGTGCAGTAGCTGTCTATGTACTCCAGAGCATCTGCGCACTCTTCACAGGATATGACAGAATGCAATAGCTCCACCTTCAATGATTTTTGTATTTGAAGGTCTTTTCTTATCTCTTGCTCTGTTTTTGATTTTCCAAAACTAAGCCGTACCATTTCTTCAATTGATACGCTTTTTACTCTTAAAAGTTTAAGTATCATTCTGGCCGTAATGTAAAAGTTGCTCTCTATGGCTCCTGCAGTCCCTGTTTGCAAGTTCACTAAGAGTTTTTCTGGGAGTATCTCCTGTCCCGTGCACTCCAGGATAGATGTTCCTTTTATGTCGTATCCTCTTCTCCCTGCACGCCCCGCCATTTGTGTGTACTCTCCCACGCTTATATCAACGTAATTGCGAAGCTCTGGGTTGTACTTTTTGCTCGTTCGGATTACAACAGTTCTTGCGGGCATGTTCAGCCCCATGGCCAGAGTTTCAGTGGAAAACAGCACTCTAAGTGCTCCTGTTGTGAAAAGCATCTCTATGATTTCTTTGAGAATAGGCAGAAGACCCGAGTGGTGCATCCCTACTCCTCTGATTAAGTTGGGCACTACAAAGTTAATCTGCGGGAGATCTCTGTCTGACTTTGGAATCTTCTGAAGCGCATCCCCAATGAATCCCTTTATGAGAGATTTTTCTTCAACTGTTGTAAGATCCAGACAGTCGCACATTGAGAAGGATTGCTCTATCCGGGCCTTCGAAAAATCAAAAAATACAACTGGTGCTAGATTTCTCTCTATTAGATCTCTTGCTATGTGTATTGGCGTGTCCAAAACTGTCGGTGCTTTTTTCTTGGGCTCTGGCCCCTTTTTAAGCAGCAGTGCAGGATTGATTTTCTGCTTTCCTTTGAACACCTCCACTGCGCCTGCGTTCTTTGCCCGCATGTACTCTTCGTGATCAAACCTGTTCTTCTGTGTGAGCATGTACAGTTCGTTTCTGAAGTATATCCCGTGCTCCAGCTCCACTGCTCTTTTTTCTGTTCCGATCAGATACATTTCTTTATTTTTTATTACGCTTATCCAGCTGCACATATCCTTTGCATTTGGGCTGGTTGCGCTTAGGAAAATAAGACTGATGTGTCTGGGGAGCATGATTATCACCTCCTCCCAGACCACGCCTCTCTCTTTATCTCCGAGGTAGTGGATTTCATCGAAGACAATAAACTCAACATCGTCTAAAATGGTGCTCCCTCTGTACAGCATATTTCTGAGTATTTCTGTGGTCATTACCAAAGTCTTCGCAGTGCTGTTTATCTGCGCATCTCCCGTCAGTATGCCCACGCTTGCAAACTTTTGCGCAAACTCTCTGTACTTCTGGTTGCTGAGGGCTTTAATGGGAGACGTGTATATCATTCGTGTGTCGTGCAGCTCTGCTATGTAGCTCGCATACTCTGCTATGAGTGTTTTTCCAGAGCTTGTATGGGCAGTTACGAATATGCTTTGGCTTTTGTTGATATAGTAAAAACACTGTTTTTGGAAGTTGTCAGGTTCAAAGGAAATGTGCGGATATTTTGGCGTGATGCTTTCGTAGTCGTAAGGAAGATTGTTGTTTTTTATCTCGATGACTCCTGCTATTTCCTCTTCTATTGTCTCAGGCTGTTTTTCTGGTGGTGTGTCGGATATGCAGTAGCTCTCGTCAAAGTACGGCTGAGGAAGCGCAGGGAGCGAAACAGAGGATATGGTCTGTTCTACAAATGTTTTTAGTTGGGCTTTATCCAGTGTACTCATAAAAAATTGTGTGTTAAAATTTTAATAATGTCGCAGTGGTCTAGAAGAAAAGTTGGGGGGCTTCCCGTCCGAAATCTTTCTCTTCCCATCTTTTTTGGCGGGATCTCGGAGGAAAACCAGACATCTGAAATTAAAGAGGCTCTTAAAAATACAAGGTACTGCAGCTTGACAAAAACACGGACCATTAATCTCAGCTGCTTGGCCATTAAAAATCTCCCTATCAACTCGCTGCTGGCTTCTATCAGAGAAGAGTCTTTCACACTGAACGAGCGAGTGGACTATGAAATGGTTTTTACAGAAACAAAGATAGTGCTGAACCTTGAAGGAAACCTGCTGGAGACCATTCCCGTTGAGCTCTTCTCTGCTTTGAACATTCAAGTTATACTTCTTCGGTCAAATAAACTGCAAACAATCTCATCAAAGATTGCAGATCTAAAGAGCCTGCAAACTCTAACGCTCTCAAACAACCCCATCCGATATCTTCCCGTAGAAATACTCTCGCTTCCCATTACACTCTTCACAATATCCGAAAGACACTTTTTAACAGACGAAGAAATGGACAATATGAACTCCCAAGTGGTGTTCAAAGAAACCACACTGAATGAGCTGTGTTTAAAGAATGTTATGATGGATGACATTCTGAGCATTAGAGGCACAGCTATTAACAAGCCACAAGGAGAGTGCTACGGATGCCGCTCTCTCACCACAAGCACCAATCTAGTTTTTAAAAAGATCGAGTATAAAGGCATTTGCATTCCATTTGCCATGCGAGTGTGCTCTGTGGAGTGTAAAGACAAGTGTCTTTCTCCAGGTGAAACGCCCAATGTTGTATGAAGAGTCTGTGTTTTAATAAATAGCACAATCAGTTGATTTTTCTTTTTCTTTTTGAATGTGTGCGAGCATATTGCAGTCTCCATGGGCTCTCAGAAAGAAAAGATTGCTCTCTTTTTTAGAGAGCTTAGCACATTTGTTCAATAGCACACCTCTATTTCTCTATTTTATGGAAGCCTGCGAGATGTCTACAGAAATTCCTAAATGATTTTGATTACTTTTTGCATAAAATACACATTTGTCTATCTAAAAAAGAATGGCACAGAGTGTCTCAAATTCTGCTAAAAAGCCCATCCTTCAAAGAAAAAGCAGACACGCAGGAGTAGGCAAAGACAGGAGAAGAATTTGCAGATGCAAAAAGTGCTCTTCTGTCAAAACAGAAACTATCATGCAGAATTCAATCTTGTACTTATCGTTGCCGTATCCTCTGGAGAAACATAGTGTTTTTTTTGGCCCGTTCTCTTTTCTTCCTTTCTTCTACATATACTTCTATCCGGGGTTTAGGCTCTCCTCGGAGTCTCCCGACTATTTTCGGTCCATAGGATGTGCGTGCTCTGGGCTCTTCTTTGTGTGGTTTTCTTTCAAAATGTTTGTGTACACAATTCGGTTTCCTGAGATCGCTCTGCTAGTTCTGGCCATGACTAGCTCTCTGCATTCTTCTTTCATGCTGTACATTTTGGTTCTGTCTCTTATTAACTTCTCCATCTTCTCTTCTCCCACCTGGAAAAAGCACTTCATCTTCATAAATATTCCCCATTCTGTTGTATGCTGTCTTGTTTTTTTTCTTTTTTCTTTCTCCATCACATTCCTGCTAGTGTACATAGCATACCTCCCTCTCCCCAAAAAAAGGATTAGAAGATACCGTTTGTAGACACTGCCGATTTGCAGACTTATCTTTTTCCATCTGAAAATAAGAGACTAGGTCTGCTAAAATGGGCCAAAAGATCACAGCTAGAATCCTATTAAGATGGCTAATGTTCTCTTTTTCGCATGGCTTTATTGTTGCTTAAATATTTCTTTGTTTTTGTCCGAGCATATACAGCTTACTTTTTGAATATATGTGCAAATTTTATTCTTACAGATGCTGAGCAAGTTTATAAATAAAAAAGAGAAGACAGAAGATGTTAAAATGAACCCAGTAACCATCGACACCATTAGAAACAGCGATAAACACATAGGTGCCCATTTGTCTATCCAGGGTGGAATTAATCTGATATTTGGAAGGATAAAGTCCATAGGCGCACAGGCAGCTGGGCTGTTTCTAAAGCCGCAGAGAACATTCACCACCAAGCCGTACACCTCTGAGACCATACACGCCTTCAAAATGGCAAACACACACGAGAAGCTGCTTCCCCACGGATCATACCTTATTAACTTGGCACAGCCTGATAAGGAGAAATCCGATCGATCTTACAATCTGTTCCTAGATGAGCTCACTCGATGCGAACAGCTGGACATTCCTATGTGCAACATACACCCCGGAAGCAACGTGGGAAAGCTGCCTGTGCAGGTTGCCTGCCAAATGATAGCAGATAACATTAACAAAGCGCACAAAGTCACAAATACCGTTATAGTTGTTATCGAGAACATGGCAGGCCAGGGAAACACTCTGGGCTCCAAGTTCGCAGAGCTAAAAATGATAATAGACGGGGTGGAAGACAAGTCGAGAATAGGCGTGTGCTTAGACACCTGCCATCTTTTTGGCACAGGGTACAACATATCAACGAAAGCCAGTTTTAAAAAGGTCATGGATGATTTTGAAAAGACCGTGGGGATAGAATACTTGAAGGGGATGCATTTGAACGACAGCAAAGAGCCCCTGGGCAGCAGAAGAGACAGACATGCATCGATTGGAAAGGATCTTATTGGGCTGGAGGCTTTTTCGTACATCATGAATAGCTCTATTTTCAATGGCATTCCCATGATTCTGGAGACACCTGATCCCGAAAGGTACAAAGAAGAAATAGAGCTGCTTTATTCGCTTATTGAGAAATAGTGTAAATGTATGCAGAAGTGATCCAAATGGATAGTCTATTCTATTGTCAAAATATAAAGTGTGGTTAAATTGAATTAGCATCTAGATTTAGATAGACATACTCCATTTTTAATAAAACAATACAGATTGTTTCTAGTACATGAATTAATAAATGCTACACATTTTAATAAAATTATTTTGGATTTTAGTTCTTTGGCAAAAAGTTTTAAAGCTTTATCCTTTGGAAAGTGAGAGTATTAAACATTTTTTTCTCTATGGTAAAGAAAAAATGAAAACATTTTAATTTTTATGATTTTCCAAAGAACGGTAAAAAAGGTTCTTATAATGGCAGCATATGCGCTGGTCTGCACACAGCAAGCCAGATGCAGAGTAGCAGAGAAGAATATAAGCACCATAAAAACATACTGGTTTGTTCGAATAGACTCTATGGAAAAGGAAATTGTACTACGCACTGATTTTCTTAAACGCATTGAAGCTGTTGGGGCTAGGGCTCTGCTCTCTGCTGCTAATGGTGATGCATACACTAGTCTGAGCTTCGATGAAAAGATAAGGACAGGAAATAAATATTTATCTGAGATAGTGGCAAAAAAGAGAGATCTTGAAAAAAGTGTGAGTGCAATAGCAGGGGCAGCAGGCACACTGATGGACTTGTACAGATATAAAAACAACCGGTTCTTTCTTGATTATAGAAACAAACACAAAAACATGATTAAAAAAGAAAAGAATACACTAGAAAGACTTCTTCTACCAGCTCTTGAGAACAGCACTCAGGTGATTGAGAAAATAAACGAGTATGATCTGCACATGCTAGAGATGGTTGAGCAATACGGTTTAGTGGAAAACACTAACATAGATGGGCTGGTGCTCTTTAAACTAGCAAAGAAAAACAAGATAGTGGCTGCCAAGATAATTTTCTATCTTTTCGAGATGGAGCCATGCGAAATAGAAAATAATACAGTGGGTGTAGCAGAGCGCATGCACAAAGATATAATGGCCCACATTCAACACGAGAATGTAAAGCTTTTTATCTCCGCTATAAGAGACGATATAAAAGACCGTGTACTAAAAAGTAGGACAGAAGTGCTGATATCAGCTGGCGTACACGTTCATTTGCTATTTGATAGATGCAGCTCTACACACAAGTCTAACCCATCTGTTCTAGATGCAGAAACAATGAATGTCTACTTATCTCTGCTAAAGGACGATCTGACTGAGTCTGATATAAGCTTGCATGCAGATATTACACCTAGACAGGTTATGGGTGTGCTAGCAATAGAATTCCTACTGAACGGGCATCTTCTTGACCATAAAAGAAATTCTCTATTTTCTGCATTAGGAAAAGTCATAAGTAGTATAGGAAATCCAGCAGACAGTAGCACCAATGTCTGCGAAAATATCAGAAAGGGAAGAGCACAGCAGAATAAAATACTTGATGCACTGGGCACCCTATGGAATGAATGCAACCTGTTTACATCAATTAAACATGAAAACATCGCCTCTTTCCAAAAAGAGAAAAGCATTTCATTTTCTAATTCTGAGTGGATGGCCAACAGTCTCATATCGTCTGAATGGATGTACGACTTGGACACACACAGCCCATCTTTTGAAGACAAATTTAACATGGGAATACACTTTGATATGTCCTACACGCATCCCTTGTGGTATATATGCCAGCGCTGCGAAAATGCCAGCCATTTAACCAGCAACAACATGCGATCCAACCTAAATCTGTTTGAGGAAACAGAGAACACAATAGTTGTCCTGAGGCCGCACAGAATAAATAAAACTGATGATGATTCAGTGCGCGCAGAAAACATGAAGAGCTGCATTAAAGCATGGTTTGCACCCGTAGTTGAAATCATCAGCAGAGAAGAAGATGGCAGAGAATACAACAGCATAGCCAATGATTTTTCTAGATATCTGGGAGCCTGTCAGCAAAAGATAGTTACAATAAAAATCACATCTGAGACAATAGAGGCATCTGAGTGCAGAGATAATGTCAGCCGACTATAAAAGTGAATTGCTTTCTGCCACTTGAAATACTGAAATTTTGTAAATAACTTTGCAAGACTCTGCTATACAATTGTTTACGTATGGACGATTAATTCATATAAATAACACAAATTAAGTGTTTGTTTTGTTATTATGGAAGGACCAATAGAAGACCATCAGAGAGATCAGGCTCCAAAAGCCTTTGCACTAGCTCAAATGACGAAGAAGTGCGGAAGGTATATTGCCAAGGTGCCAAAGTCTGCAGGCAGAAAGATAAAAAAAGGAGTCACTTATTTGGCTAAAAAAATCAAGACAATATTCAGAACGCTTAAAGGAAAAAAGATCGGTGAAAAAGAGACAAATTATGACGAAGAAAAAGAGACAGAAAGAATGAAAGCATCATCTACCACAGACTCTGCTCTTTTGAAAACCGCAAAACAAAATGCAAAGTGCAAGATACAAATCACAAGCCAAGGAGAAGCACTACCAGAAATAATCCAGCCCATAGAAGCAGAAAGCTCAAAAAAGAGCACAGTGGAGACAATAGCTTATCTATGCAAACAGATGGAAGACATGGAGAGGATCATAAAAGATAAAACCCACAGTGAGCCAGTGCCTGCATCTATTTCACTAGAGCTCATTTCTTACATGGAAAAGAACGGCATAGGCAGGTATGCCGAGCTAAATGAAATAAAAACAAAGTATCACGCAGATGTGAGAAGCCAGAAAGATAAAGAAGATGTTAAGCTGGTAAACAGCACCGAGGCTCGGAGTGCTGTTATAGATGAGCTGAAGCCAACTCTTTACCTGAAGTATATGTTTGCCCAGAGCTCTGAGTTCAGGAAAAGCTACAGCTCTCTGTACGACAGTATTATATTTTCATTAGCCGCAAAAGCAGCACCTACCAACAGAAGCATCACAACTGTTCTTCTGTATGCCAGTGTTGTAAAACAAATTAAAATGCACATTATGTCCAGCACATGCAAATTAGAATCAAAAAAGCCGATTTTCGATCTGTACACATACAAAAAACACGAGTACATTCAGAAGCAGAGACCGAGCATATAATGGGATAGGAGAGTCTGAGAGAAAAAGAGAAAGCAAATAGACATCTATCTATGCTATAATAAAAAGATCCAAAAATAAAATAAATTCTTTCATCTAGAGTCTATTTTACGAGTTGCAAAGTGTACATTTTAAAAATTAAAAAGAAGAGGAAAACACAAAGATTTGAAATAGCTGGATGGATGAGCCCAGAGACTTATATACATACACTCTCTTATGTGTAAATATAGTCACAACCCATTTAGCCCTTTTAGGACATATTAAAGAACAAATAACACAACACAATAAGTTTAATTAAAACAGAGAGAACCTATTGTAAATAGTAAGAAAACACAAACGTGGGCTTTCTAAAGCAGAAACACATAGAAGAAAAGAAATCCATTACAGCTCTGGCCATTTATAAAACCTGCCTACAAATAACCCGAAAAATAATCCAGGAATATTGCAGAGCCATATGTAAAGATTTTCTATTTTGCTGGACTGTCTCTAGAGAATAGTAGTAGACTCTCTGCAATATACACCAAACAGAGCCAATCAAGAGATAATGTAGTGTAGAGATGTTTTGGATTAAATAAATAGCATAGCACTAAAAATGCTAGTTTTTACGGAGCAGCCCTTTAAACACAATATTGGCATTAATTAATTTTAAATTTAATATAACCCATTTTAAGTAAATGAGCTGTCTTACTGAATCTGCCTATTATTAGCACCGGGGCCTTTCCTCTTTCGGGCATATTGCCTTTCGTTTACAGACATTCTGACATAGATGACTTAATATAAATATATGATATAAATAATCATGTAAACAAACACTGATGGACGAGAAGAAAAGATACGCGTGGCTGGACATGTACAGCACAAGGAACAACACAGTAACATTCGAGCAGCTGGGAGTCTGCGAGCCTTTTAATGAATTCTTTGAGGGCGTTTTGAAAATTAACCCAAGTCCAGAAATAAAAAGATTCTACAAGATATCTCTGCACCTGATAGGGTTTCTGACAATCCAAAAAAGGATAAAGAAAATCATAGCAAAGCACCAGCCGCTCTCTCCAGACGAAAAAAGAGTGCTTGATCTTAGGGCCGAGAATATCTTCTGGGCAGCAACAAGCAATATGCCCAAGGCCTTTATTTTTTCAACGCTCCCAGAGCTCACCGTTTCGAAGGACTTCTACAGAAACCTGCAGGAAATAGCAGTTGAAATGGCAAAGCTCAAAAAGATGCAGAAGCCCACGCACATAGCAGACGTGCAGTACAGGATACTTGAAAGAGTCCTGACAAACCAGGAAATAAGAAGCAGACACTCATTTGCAAGGGACAAGTTCACGTCGAATGAGCTGCAGGCGGTTTTCAAGATGTTCATGCGAATAAAAAAGAACAGCATGGCAGAAAGCTTCTACAGACACTATGAGCTGGCATATTTCCTCAATGTGTACTACAAAGAAAGATGTCTTGGCAATGCCACGCCAATTGCGCAGTGTGACATAGACTTTCTGGTGGATAGAGCAGGAGAAGGAAAAGATGGCATTTCAGAGAGCGACGACACAGAGGGCGAAGGGTACGAAAGAAGAATAAAAGATAGAAAGTTTGTACTGATAATGCACGCACTTATCAACCGGTTCAGCAAGCAGGTTGAGCTGAGCAAAAAAATAGAATTTTACACAGTGGCCATACTTCAGACATTTTTGCAAAAAGAAGCTCTTCTCGGGTACTTCAAGGATTTCTCAGCTGAGATTCTCATTGTGGGGTTTACGTACATAGCCATGAAAGTGCATAGCAAAGACATGTCGGTACGGACGGTCTATGAAGTGTACAGGTCCTTTGGGTTTATCACACATTTCAGAGTGGATGACAGAAATAGATTGGATATTACAGTGGAGGAGATAATCAAGAACCTGATAGTGAAAACGTACAACACCTTGCTCCCTAGCATACTGAAAAACATCAAGCCTAAGAGCCAGGCGCCGCCCTCAGAGGCATCAAGCCCTAAGGAAGGCAGTAGCAGTGTAAAATACATGCTCTCGCCGCTTCCCGGGAGAATGAGCCAGATAGTTCCCGTCTCTGAAAACGCCAAGAAAGTTTTATTCGCAGAGAAGCAGATGTAGTAGAAGAGTTGGAGCCAAAGCGATAGATTAGATGTGAAAAGAAAGAGAGAAATTTTACATGGATTCAGAAGAAACATCGAGCACACACACTTTACATTTTATAGAAGAAAGCAGGCTTAGCGAGCAGATTGAAAAGGCTGCAGGAGAAAAAAAAAGAGTTCTGGTGAGATATAGAGAAGATGCCCTTCCACTGATTAATACGGAAGGACTGGATGTAGCGCTGCTGGAAAAAGAAGACAGAAAGAAATTTAGCAATACATTTCTGGTGGATGTCTGCACAATGCTAAGCAAGGAGTACGATTGTATTTTTATTGCTGCAGAGCTAGAAGATGAATACACTTCTTTTTTTGAGGTTTTTATGGACAAGTACTGCCAGGGTAGAAATACTCGTATATACTGTGGGTGTAAAGAAAAATAGAAAAAATAACTGAAAAGTAAGTACGATGCAGAAAAAGCATAGGAGTATAGATGGAGCATGCTGATTAGTAAGGTAGAGCTATTTTTCTTCTCAAAGTACACGCTCATATTCACTAGAGACTGTTTCCGTTGGTTTGCATTGTCATTAAGAAAGATTCAAATTAAAGAGCCAAATGCAAAGAACTCCCTGGGCACGGATGATTCTAAGAATAAAGTAAAGGTTTTAAACTTAATTAGCAGATTATATTCATCTTACCAATGATCTACAGTTCTAGAACACTCTCAAATAAACAGTAGAGAAAGAGTAAATACTATTTTAATTTAAAATAATTCCAAGACAGAACATACAGAATGTAATTAAAAATATTATTGGATAGTTAATATTGAAATTGCTCTGTACAAAATGGCAGTATGTAGTCTAGGGATTTTATTTAAAGTTATCGCACTCCTTCTCCACTAGCAGAAAGAGATAATCAAAAACAGAAGTTCTCTGCAAACAATAAAAGCATCAAAATAAACTCACTTTGAGTACTTTTTAGAGTCTTTTCTGGACATTGTGATCTTATTACGAGAGCCCTTCCCGCCTTCCCAGAAAGAAGATGCCTTCCCAGTGAGAGCTGCTTTACACACACTGCTTCCGCACACAGGGCTCACAGGACTCTCCACCCCGCACTTCCCGCATATCATTCTGCTAGCACGCACAGCTGCATGCGATTCATGCTTATTGTGGCAAATATCGCATGCATATCTTCCATTGCAGCACGGAAAGATAAATATTCTGCTGGACTTTTTGTAGTGCTCGCACGTACCTCCTGTTTTTAGAAGCGCATTCACATCTCCTCTGAGGGGCATCTTCGCCAGTGGTACCGAGCTTTGCGAAATAATTTCCTGTAACGGCTTGGCCTTATCTTTTCGCATTTCCAAAATGCACCCGCAGGAGCAGGGCGTCTTTTTATCAAGCTGAAGCACCTGGGATGCGCTGCACTCACTGCACAGACAGTTTAGGCTTACTTCTCGAATGCTTACATTGTATACTCCCGTGTACTCTAGCCGCATAAGGTTATTTGTATTGCCACCGCTTGGAATAACCAAGTGAAATGCGCTGTCTACACTTAGCTGCACGGTGCATTTAACGCAGTCAAATCTTGTTTTTGTGTTTTTCTTTATGTCAGAGCCACCCTCTCCGATGCTCTTTACGTTCAGAGTGTTACAACGTTTGCAGAACAAAGAGAGTGATATTGTATTTATTTTGAAGGCCTGAATGTTGCTAGATGCGTATGTGAATAGAATGTAGTTTCCCTCTCGAATGGGGCTGTCTGTCAGATCCAGAACTACTGTTTCTTTTTTAGCTTCTTCTGCTTTGACAGTTTCCACAGGTTTCCCAGCAAGAATATTCTCTATTTGGCGGAACACCATCTCTCCGTACTCTTCATGCGACATTTTATCTCTCACTCGGATGTACCCCACAGACACATTCATGCATATTTTTTTGTTATCTATGTCCAGTAGAGCCACTGTGTCCTGTTTATAGCTGTATCTCAGCCTTATCTTGTCTATGCTGTATGGAAACTCAGGGTCCGTGATGGCGTACGTGCATATTAGCACTCCTTCGCTGGAATCTTCTTTCCAAGAGCGGCTTTCTGTGTTTCCCTCCATCTACAAAATAATATTATTTTTGCATAAAACAAATGGCAGTGGGTTCCGAGACCTTTGAAGAAGAAAACATTGCGCAGCAGTACGAAACGCTGTTTAAGAGGACAGCAGAGCAGGAGAGAAGGTACAACGAAATAGACAGGAAAATAAACAACGAGATCATAAGGCTGCTTATTGTCGAGTACACTGCAGTCGAAAAAGATAAACAAACACTGAAGGAAGAGGTGGAGAAGCTGGAGCAGGAGAAAGAGGCAAGAGAGGCAGCGGAGGCAGAGGTGGAGACAAAGACAAAAGAAACAGAAGAAAAAGAGAAAGCGCTGAAAGAAGCCCACAAGTCGAAGAAAGAGGCAGAGAAGCAGCTGGCAGACCTTCAAAAGGCAATAGAGTCACTGAAGGCGCAGTCCGCACAGAAGTCCGAAGAAAAAGCAGAAAAAGTAGAAGAGATAAAACAGATGAAGTCTAAAGAGAAAGAGCTGATCACTGAGCTGAAGGAGAAGGAAAAAACCATCCAGAGCAAGGAGAAAGAGCTGGAGAAAGAGATAGAGAGCAAAAATAAGGAGGTTGAAAAAGCACAGATATTATCCAAGGAGATAGCAGAAGCGCAGAAAGAGCTCGACAAAAAAGAGAAAAAGATCGGCGAAAAAGAGAAAGAAATATCTCAGCTAGAAACTGCCTTGAAAGAAGTGAGAAAAGTCAGGGAAAAGAAAGAGGAGGAGACATACGAGAAAGAGAGAGACCTCAAAAGAAAAATCTCTGAGCTGGAGGATAAGATAAAAGCCACACCAGAGTGTACCTCAACAATCAATGAAGAAATAAACAGGCTAAAGATAGAAAGCGAGATAAGCAAAGCAAAGGTGGAGGAGAAGAACAAAACAATCGAAATACTGCAGAGCACAATACAGCGCCTAGAGACGCTCTTTACACGGCAGATGGAGTACGCGATGACAAGCATTCCAAAACAAGAGGCTGCGCCCATAAGGAAAGTCCAGGAGACAAAAGTAGCAGCAGAGAGTAAGAAAATAGCACCAGTTGAGAGTGTGCCTCTAGAAGCTGCACCAAGGGCAGAGCAGGAAAAGAAGATGAAGTTGGAAAGCGTCCTTGAGAGCGAATCCGAGGCAGAAAACTCCATTATTCTTGTTAAGAAAGAAAGCAAAGCACCAGCGAGTAAAAAATTAAATGGAAAAGCGAACAACAGTAAGCCTGCTGGCAAAGCACCAGTGAAGAGAAAGGGCAAGGGAGAGGTGATCGACTTCAAGAAAGAGATGACAAAGCAGACGCAGGCTAGAGAAACAAAAAGACAGAAAGAGTCATCAGACTCTGAAAGCGACTCGGGGAAAGAGAAGAAAGACTTTAGCACGCTCTTTGGAAAGACAAAAAGCAAAAGCGTATTTACAGGAAGACCAGAAGCATCATCTTTTTTTGCAAATCTATCGTTTTCAGATTACGAGCCAGAGGCATCGGAGAAATAGAAGGAGTTTCATAAGAATAATCTGCTATCCACAGCACTAGCAATCGAGTGGAAGAACACACTGCTGATTTATACTAATTATTAGTATGTTCCTAGCAGATGGATCTAATCCACCAATGCCATTGCATGTACTTAAAATGAATAACTGCACTGCTATGCCAGCACAAGTATACTTTATTCAGTCACTAGCAGATACTCAAAGATCAGCTATGGGGCTCTTCGTGTAATTATTACATACAGCCTGAGAATAAAAAGTATAAATAGAACTGCAAAACAGCACAGTACAGAGAGTGAATAGCCGGTAGAGTGTATCAAATAAATATTAATAACAAAAATAGAGAGCTGTATTTAGCCGGTTTATTTTGACAGGTTCTTCTGTATCTCCAGATGTGGGATTATGTACTCTTTTATTTTTCTAAACTCGTAGAAAGTTAGGTTGTTCATGCCTATCACAGACGTATCTATGTACTCTATGCCTTTGAGGAGCTTCTTCAGTCTTATCTCTTTGAGTTTTTTGATAAGGATTTTTATTTCGGAGATATTCTCAGTTATGTCACAGCTCTCCAGAGAAACCTCTGCATTTTCAAAAATGTACATATTGATCGGCGAAAACTCATCGAGCGAAATTTCCTCGTTTTCTATTGCTCTCTGCAGGTATCCTATGCTCAGCCACTCGGGTGCCTGGATGGAGCACAGAAGAGAGTGCCGCAGGAAAAGAGCCACATACAGTGGGACAGATGCGGGCGCCATCGGAAAGAACGGCCCAAATGTCCCAGAAGCCATTTCCAGCTTGTCCATGTGCACTCTGGGGACAATGGTCACGCGCTCGCTCTGTGCCAGCATTATTTCTGCCTCTCTTTCTCTTTTTATTCTCTTATCTATGTTTCCGTTTAGATCATCTGAGCTTCTTAGCAGTCCGTGCGCCATGGCAAAATTTTCAATGGGACGCCCAGAGCCTTTCTACATGAAGTTTGTGAGACGGAGCCAAGAAAGGAAGAGAGAGCAGCAAAATACAATTATAGATAATATTTCAGCAGGCCTGAAGGAAACAATAGGATACGCAATACTGCTGCGGATGGGATGGAACACAACCGAAGGACTTGGAAAAAACAAAGATGGGAGAACAAATCTCAACGGACTGATGCAGCAGCAAAGAGCGGTGAAAAAGCCTTGTCCGTACAGAATAAACTACGAGGCAGCAGAGGCAGAGTACAACTCGCTCCTAAAAGAGAAAGCAGAGGGGAGCAAATAGTGGCAGCATCACACAGATTTTTAGAGAAAAGTGCTAATATGAATATTCAAATAAAACCAAGCCACTCATAAATATTTTTATATGAAAGAAAAGCAGCGAAGTGACTCGTTTAAGCGGCAGGATTTTGCGCACAGAAAGACGTCGTACAACGACTTCATGACTCCAAAAGAGAAGGAGTTTGTTGCGTTTTTATTCGATAGAATAAACAGGAAGAAAGAAAGAGTTTCTCCAGACTTCTACACACAGGACAGAGTAGCCCTCCCAGAGCTCAAAAAGAAGGAGGCGATCGAAGAAGAAGCGGTTTTTGAAGGAGTCCTTGGAAAAGCCATTCGAAAATCCACTAAAAAGTCGATTGTAGCACAAAATACAAGCGAAAATAACGGGATTTTTATTAAAAAGTTGATAGCAAGAGGGAAGATAGAAGAGGTGTATGATCTTCTGAACAGAAAGGAGATGTTTATAGGAGAAGAAGAGCATGCGGAGGACAACACAGACGAAGTGCTGTCACGAATAAAAGAGATAGGCGAGGATCTCTTCAACACAGAGAAAGGAGTGCAGCTGCTGGACAGAGTGCTATTCCTTGAAAACGATAAGGAAAAATACTCAAAAACAGTTGTATCGATACTAATGAACCGAATACGGTACATTTACTACACGCCCGAGCTGTGCGACTTTGTAAGCAAACTGATTCCTGTGCTGAAAGAGTCCATAGAAGTCCTAAAAAGCATAAAGCCAAATAAGCTAGCGGACATGTTCCTCACAAACACTGCAGGCGTGCTCATAGGACACATTGTTCTTCTGATATTCAAAAAAGAAGACCCCGCCCTATTCTCTGATGTGTGCACGGAGATTCCAAAGATACTCACAGACGCCTGCATCAAAAGAGCATTTACAAAGATACCACATCCTCTGCTGTGGAGGCTTCTTTCGGTGTCGTCAAAGAAAATGCCTTCTCCAGAAATATCACAGCTTAAAAAAAGACTAGAAGCTCAGATAGCAGAGGGACTCAAAAGCCGATCATCTGTTGTTATTGAGAACATACGAATCTTTACAAAAAGGTGTCCGTAAATAAATATGATTTTGCAATCGCGGTCACTCGCCATCTTTAGCTCTTCAACTAGCAGATTCTGATTTTATGTAGAATTTATTTTTGATTTGATCTGATCTATTGTACTTTGTGGTAAGATATATCCACTTTCTACTTCATCTTATCCATAAGGGCAATTATCTCAGCAAGCTCTTTCTTGTTCAGGTTGAGCTTAGCCATTCCGCTTCTCTCCACAAGAATGTGCGAGTCTATAAAGGCAGAGAGAGCCTCCCTGAAAGAGCTGTAGTTTATGATAAGAAGCCTCTTTTTTTCTTTGTTGAATATTTCTCGCAAAGAAAACTCTGCACGCGAGGCAGCTGCCTTGAGGGTAAGTCTGAATATTTTTTTGCTCAGACTTCCGACACAGTCGTACACGTTGAGGGCTTCATCTATTTTTGTAGAAATGCCTCCCCGTTTTTTCTCTTCGAATATAAACGTTGTTACATCTCTCATCACATAGTTGTGCTGCACCAGATCGTCAAAAGAGAAGTACAGCTCTCTGTGCTGGACAAGAATAACTTTTAAATTTTCGATCTTGTCAAGCGTGTCTTTTTTTGCGTTTAAAAGAACTATGGGCTTTACGTCTTCTCTTCTTACAAGGGTGCTGATGTGCTGTAGCGCCCGCTTTAGATCTGTTTCTTTTGGCTCCATTTCAAAATGCTCGTAAAGGTTTCTGCTGGTCATCACTGTTTCTCCCTCGGAAAAGTCGACTACAAAGACACTTTGGAACACCTCCTTTAAAATGTCCAATTTGTATCCATATCCATACGCGTATATGTTGAATGTCTCAATGAGAGACTGGTACTCGTCTGAAATGTCTCTGTGAAAGGAAAGCAGTTTCTGCGATATGTCAGCATTCATATCCATTTCTCTTTTAGCAGAATTAAAATATTAAATTATGGAGCACAGAGCTAATCCAATTTGCTCTGTGTGGTCCAAGACAAGCCAAGCTCATCTACGGTAGATTTAACTGCACTTGTGTGATATAAATGATGGCAATCTCTACACAAACAAATAGTGCATCAGTCAGATGGTGTGCACAGCATAATCCAAGAGTTGCAAAATAACTCTTTACTTTTTTATTTCATTTCTACTGCAAAGTGTATACATTAAAACTAAATTAGTAGCCATTATGACACAAAAGGAAATATCTTAATTAAGCAATAAAAGAGATAATTAACAGAAGAGTAGACACGAGTAAACAAACAAGCCATTTTATTCAAACAAACTTTCTATTAATTAGCTCATTTGTGCAGAATTAAATGCACTGGAGCATGTATGTACTCAGAGCTGGGGAAAGTATCTTCAATTCCCAGGACATCCAGCTCCACTACATCGCAGTACTCTCCGACTATTTCTGACATTGAAGGAGACGTTCGCCCCATGTCTCCGTTCACAAACTCTTTTATGTAGGTGCCCGAAGAGGACTTTATTTCCATTTGGAGGGCGGTTCCTTCCTTTGACGACTCTTTATCCACTAGTATCTTACAGGTGTGCAGTATCTTATCTCTTGTCAGGTTGGCTCGTCTGTGCATGACTCTAATCGGTGTCTTCTGCGCGAGCAGCAGGTTGGGGCTTTTCAGAGCATAGTATCCCTCAGTTTCTTCCCAGTAGCTGGAAGCAATCTTCTGCTCAACTGTCTCCCGCGCTGCTTTTGTGTGCACTAGCACTCCGTACTCCTTGCAGTGCTCCTCTTCTATCATCTTCATGTCTTTCATGGCTCGAGACCCATCCACCAAATACATATCAATCAGCTCCACTTCCGAGCTCATACCGTACGGTATTTCAAAAGGTTTGTAGACAACAGAGTACTCCTCCACAGCATCTCCTGTCTCTGATATAACCGTGCTAAGAACACCCACTCTCTTGGGGAGGTTGCAGGAGGGGTTCTCTATCCTGCACAAAAACGGCCTTCCATTCCCAAGCATTCGGACATCGTAGTCTTCTCTGCCCCCAGAAATAAATACAGTTTTTTCTGCCCGGAAGTACGCTCTTAATGGCTCCATCCAGTCAGAGACAGCAGGCATCCTCGCCTCGCAGCTAGTAAGATCATTGTTTCCACTAGTATTATTGCTACTTATTTCTGCATTTCCATCATTAAAAGTGGATTTGCTATTGCTGGATGCAGTATGGCTGCTAGTATTATTAGCATCGTTTGAGAAGTCTCCAGCATTTTCCATGTGTTTATCATTTTGACCTTTCTCAGCGCTATTGCAGTTTCTAGCACTGTTTTTCCTATTTTTTCCATCTTTTCCATCTTTATTGCTTCCGCCTCTCTCTTTGCCTCCTCTTCTACGGTGCACCTTTCCTCCTCCAAAGACCATGGGCGTATTTGATATTCCTCTCTTGTTCTTCCTGTATCGCCCGCATATAAATATTGTTTCATTCCTTATCTCTATCTCTGCGGCCTCTTTTGTTATAACTACATCAATACTCGTTACGTACTCTCCAGAGACAGTGCGCCCGTACTTGTCCTGGAAGTGTCTCTTCAAGTACTCTTTTGTGCTCTCGCCCGTCTCTGCGTCTGCGCTGCTTGTATCCTGCACGTTCAGCTGTAGGTTGTCGAATATCTCCCCATCTGTTTTGGCTTCTTCTATTTTTTGAATAATTGCAGAGAGTATTTCTTCTGGATTTTTCCTTTTCATTAAAATTAATTAAAATCCATTTTAATATCCTGTGCTGAATATTGCCAAATTGATTTCAAATTTAAAAATATTTAAAGAATTTTTTTTTAAAATGAGAATGCATATGTCTAGACTCCTGAGAAGAGTAGCTGTATTGGCAACTATCGGGATAATGGGGAAAACCAAGCTAGCAAGCGCAAGGGAGCAGCAAAAAGTAGAGGAGCCGCGTGTCTCTCGCGTTGAAGACCTGCAAAAGGTAGCCTTGGGAATAGACCTGGGAACAACAAACTCAGTCATATCTTTTTTTGATAAGAACAAGAACGCAGTCGAAACGATCCAGATAAATAACAAAGTGAGCATGCCTTCTTTCATTAAGATGGAGATACGAGATGAGCAGGAGCTGTCCGGCGACCTGAAAAGGCAGATGGAGAGAGTGCGCGAGAAGTCTAGAATGGGAGACCACTACTACTACAACGGGATGTGGATCTCAAACAAGTTCAAGGGAATAATCAGCCCCATTGTTGGATGGCCTGCAATGGAGAAGATGAAGGAAGAGAGCAGCTCAGTGCGCAACTACATATACAGGTTCAAGCCTCTTCTTGCCAGAAACTCAAACGGAAAAGAAGACAGGAACGCAATCAACGCAACCAGAAAGAACGTGAAGTATGGAATTACAAGCAAGAGAGACGAGTCTCTGAAAAGCGACGTGCTGGCCATTACCATAACAGACAACGACAACCAGGAAATAGCCTGGGTGACCCCTAAAAGTCTGAGCACCATGGTCCTGGAAGAGCTGAGACAGAAGTTTGAGGAGTACTGGCACAAAACCCACTCCGACGGCAGCAAAAGCGCAAAGGACATGAGCAAGAGCAGAAAGTGCGTAGTGACTGTCCCCGCATACTTCAACAACGACCAGAAGGAAGAAACAAGAGACGCAGCCATGCACTCTCTGCTGGACGTGTACAAGGATGGAATCATCAACGAGCCCACCAGTGCAGCCATTGCATACGCATACACCTGCGCAAGAGCGAAGAAGCTCTCTGACCTGAGCGAGAAGAACTTCCTTGTCTTTGACTTTGGAGGCGGTACTCTGGACATGTCCTACCTGAGCCTTGGAGAAGAAGGTGTTCTTATCGTAGAGAGCCACGTGGGAGACAACTTCCTTGGAGGAGAAAACGTGAACGATCTGATATACGAAGAGTTCCAGAGACAGCTGAAGGCAAAGTACAGCGTTGATCCTGCGAGCTTCCCCATCAACGCATCGCTCAGGCTAAGAGCGCTCGTAGAGGAGATGAAGATCGAGCTGTGTAACAAACAGAACATCGTGGATGACGCCATTAGAAAAGAGGCTCTCCGAAACAACACCACGCCAGACTACTCGGGAACAAACGAGAAAGTGGTGAAAGAGCTGGTTATCCAGAAGGGCGCAAGCGGAAACTTCCTGAACTACGAGCTGGAGCTATCCGCAAACACCATGCAGACTCTCTGCACCGGCGTATTTGCCAAGATATCCTCCCTGCTTGACCACAAAGTCTCTGCAAACTCAAACGACTCTCCAGGACTGATGCAGAAGCTGAAGTCAATCAACGGAAAAGACGACATCAAACACATCCTGTACGTTGGAGGATCGAGCAGACTCTTTGGCGTAAGAAGGCTTTTGATGACAGAGTTCCCCAAGGCAGACCACTGCTTCGACCTCGACCCAGACACATGTGTCTCCGTGGGAGCTGCGTACTATGCTGCATCGCTTGAGGGAATCATCAGCGACGAAAACTACGTGGTGCTAGTCGATGCCATCCCAATGAACATGGGAATCAAGCTCGACCAGGACATGTTTGACGTGATGGCAGAGGCAGGTAAGCAGGTGCCAAACACCTTTGAGAAATACTTCACCACAACAGTGGATGCACAGAAAACCGTGCAGATTGTGGTGGGACAGACGCCCACGCAGACAAAGCAGTTCAGCAAAACCAAGATGGTCGGCACCTTCAACCTGGACATGCCAAACAACGATCTGCCCAGAGGAAAGAAGAGAATCAAGGTTGTCTTTGACTTTGGAAACGTGGGAGACATTGAAGTGACTGCATACGAAGTTGCAGAGAACGGAGATGTTCTTTCCAACGCGAGCAAGATTGCCATCACAAAGAACAAGACAAAGATGACAGAAGAGGAGAAGAACGAGATGAAAGCCAGATACCAGGAGACAAAGGAGAAGGAAGCCAAGTGGCTTGAGAAGTGCGAGAAGATGAAGGAGCTTGACGAGGCCATCAATAGAATAGGCGAGGAGGCATCCAGACTGCCAGACACCCACCCCAAGAAGAAGGGGCTTTTGTCTCTGCACAAGGAGAACAGCTTCTGGTACGAGAGAGAGATCAAGAACGAGAAGCTCCTTGGCGACGAGGAGATGATCCAGAAAGTGCAGGACAGACTGCTGGATCTCTCTGCAGCATACTCTGCTCTGTCCGACACCGAGGCCGAGAAGACAGAAGAAGCCAAGCCAGAGGCAGAAGAGTTTATCCCAAGAGAAGACCTTTAGTTATACCAATTCTTATCTTTAATAAAATGATATGAACCACTTTGTTTTCTGTTTATTGCTTGTGCTGCTAACTCCAGCAGCTCTTGGAGAGTGAAGAAGATGCTAGTTTGCTGGATGTGAGTTTACTTTTAAAATAAAATGCATTTGCAGAGTGAGAGCAGAGAGCTTTTAAAAATTAAAAAAATAATTAGTTGGTGCAAATACTCTGCAAAACTTTGCTTCTTTTAGCCCGTTCAAATATAAAAAAATTTCATATTTTTTTGCTAGAAATGATACATAATCAGCACCACCACTATCACCACATGTTTTTAAACCAAATACCAATGGTAAGAAGAGAAGTCATCAGCACACCTGTTCGCACCACAGTTATAGAAAGAGGGAGTATGCCAATTGCTTCAGTGGTATTTAAAACAGAAGATCTAGCAGCGGCAGTATGTGCAGTGTTATTACTTGGAGGATTAGTACTTCTATTAAACTATTTGAAGCATTTATACGATACTAAATACAATATACCAAGAACGTTTAGTCAGAGCTCTGGATCTACAAACCCAAGAGGGAACCAAGATGCTCCTCCTGCTTATACAGAGTTTGATTTAAATAACGATCAGCAAGCATCAGCTATACCCGAGAAGGACAATTTATTTTATGAACCAACAGCACCAACAGAAACAATAGAAATAATAGAAACAATAGAGCCAACAGCACCCTATGATGTTTAGTATTACTATCATTTAGATTTAATATAAGATATTACATAAATTTTATGCATCGAACACTTCTATAATACATGGAAATTCTCGGGTTATACGATCTATAGCTCATTTAGGCCAATCAGATCACAATAAATTATACAATTATACTCACAGTCTACACAATATATACCAGTTTATGTTTGGATGGCTTTCTCCTATGATTTATGCTCATATACTCCTTTACGAAAAAGAAACAGTTACAGCCAATAAACCATCTTATCTATATTTGTTCTAGTGTTTATTTAATATCTTTCATGCCTTCTTTGTGATTTAACGAAAAATCAGAATAAAAATGCTTTTGTTTGTGCGATCTACTTCTCTTTTTCTGTGTTTATGCTCTCACAGCATCTGTACTACATCTACTTATTGAATATATCGCTGATGTCGTCTTTTTCTGTGCTGCTATCTTCCTCTTCTACTACGTACGATATACGAGACGTGTTTTCTTTTTCTTTGAACATTTTGCTGAGGCTGTACAGCTTGGCTATGACTGCCATTAGACAGATTGTAAGTCCCAAGTTATGCCCCCTTGCAACATTGCTGCTTAGAGCAACATATGCTTCCATGCATCTATCCTGTAAGTCTTTCAGCAGTATTTCTCTTTTCTTCTGGGCTCTTTCTGTTTCTAAGTACTTTCTGATTAGTCTGTACACGTGCACTGTCTTCCTGTAGTACAGCGTGCACCTGTGTGCATTTTTAGACTTGTACAGCACTCTCTGGAGAGTCTTTGTCTCTTTTAAAAATAGATCCATGTAAAACTTTTGCGCTCTGCCCAGAGAATAACCGAAGAATCTGCCAAACAGTCTACAAAAATAACAGAGTAGAGTGCTCATTGCTGCACATCCTATAAAATACCACTATAATCAATAAATACTTAATGTACATCTGATAGATCAAACTAATGACCCATTGGACTGATGATCAGAAGAAACTCCATAGTATTGGACAGGACAAAAGAAAATAGATGATAAAAGAGCAGAAGTAGATGCTAAATGGTTTATTAATTAATACCCTGTGGATGTAAAATATTAGCTGCACTGGCTATTATGCGGGACAGATAGACTGTGTCATTGCCTCCGCACATAATTTCCTCTTCGCAGTTTGCCAGCGTCACAAACAGTCTCTGCATTGGCTTAGTAATTGGCTCCATTTGCACCAGATATTTAGATAGTCCTTGAACAACATCCAGTGCTGAATATCCCTCCCTGGATATTTTGTTTGACAGTTCTACTATTTCAGGTACGGTTTGCACAGATATAACTGACTTCAAAATGTCATTGGGCACTATGCCTGCGATCTCTGCTATGATATTCCTGTGCTCACCCGGTGCTACTTTGCATGCGCCCACTGTCTGCAGAAGAACCAGCGATCTCCTCATGTCTCCTTCTGTTATTTCAAGAATGTACTCAATGTCTTCGCGGGTAATGTTCAGCTTTTCTTTTTCTTTTATTCTGCTAAGAATATTTACACTCTCACTGCTCCCTGTCCACGGGATGTGCAGAGGAACGAGTCTGCTCTTGATGGGGTCTATGACTTTGTTAATGTAGTTCGTTATAAATACGAAACGCGTGTTCTTGTGGGTGTCTTCTATGATTCTTCTGAGACAGTGCTGTGCATCCGTTGTCAGATAATCGCACTCGTCCATGATGATGATCTTCACTTCTCCGCTGTGCGACTTGGCCGCTGCAAATGTCTTTATTTTCCCTCGGATTGCGGATATTTCTCGATCACTCGAGGCATTCAGCTCCAGTATGCTCTCCTTCCTTGAGAGAGAATTTGCAAGAATCAGCGCAAGCGTGGTCTTCCCGCTGCCAGGAGGACCGTGCAGTATTATGTTGGGGAGTGCGTGTCTCCCAGAAAGAAGAGAAGAGAAAAAGTCTCTTATCTCCGCAGGCAGGGCCATGCTTTCCAGGCTGGACGGCCGGTACTTCTCAGTCCATGTGGAATTACTCAGACTCATAAAAAATTAAATTCAAGATAGTTTAGTAGTTTATTATTGTATTCTTCTCTTTCTCTTTTCTGATCCCTTGGAGATAACTCTCGGTCTGGCTGGGTTGTGTCCGTCTCCAGCTGATCCAAAGTACTTGTACTGTTTTCTTGCCTTCTGGGGGCCCTGGAAGATGACCATCTGGTCTGGGGTTGGAGCTATCTTAAATATTTCATCAAGTTTGTACACTTGTCCACCGTACTTCTCTATTTTCTCCTTCGCTTTCTGCGATATGCTGAGGCATGCCACTTTTATTGCGTGAGGGATCTCTACCACGGTGTCATCGCCAACTATCTTTGTTACAACAACTGCCAGCTTGTCGGAGCAGGGTGCTGTGTACTTTACGAGATTCTTGAGAGTGACAATGGACTTCTGTGTTCTGGGCTTCTGGATGAAGTGTGCGATCTTCTGGTACTCAGCGTGCGTTGTTTTTCTGGCAACGGTGCTGAACAAGTTGAACAGGTTGAGTACTTCTTGATTCTTTGTCTTTGGGGCTTTTCTTCCACTTCTTACTTTAGTTGGTCTTCCTAGCATACTGGGGGTAAATTAAAAGAAAAAATAAAATATGCAAATAATTGTGAGAATTAGCACGTGTTTGTGAACAGTCCGTTGGAGGCTGTCTTATTGATGAAGAAGCGGGTGTGCTTCTCTTCCTTTCCTCCAGCTATGTAGAGCGTGCTGCCTGTGCTGACTATGTCATTGGGGATGGCATCTACGGACATAGAATCTTTGACAGAAATTGATTGCGAAAAGTCTAAAATAAAAATATGACCGTTGGTAAGACCGACTGCAAATGTGCTATCAGACAGGAGCTTCAGTGAAGATACTGCACACTCAGAGGAATTCTCTGTCTCTAGATAAAGTGATTGAATTGGCTCTGACTGATCGGTGGAGAAAAGATAAACGGTATTTGTGCTGGAGACGACAACAAATTGGTTGTTCTTTATGAAGAGCGCAGCAAGTGCATACTCTCCCTTCTGGAGATGGAATAGCAGCTGGGTGTCTTTCTCAAGCCTGAACACTCTGACTGTCTCTGCGAGTTCTGCAGTGCAGAGAAACAGCTTTTTGTCCTGCGAGAGAGATGAGGAAGTGATGGGCGTATTTGGGCCGTAGAGAGTCTTCAGAAAAAGGAGATGCGCCACTTTCTTTCCTTTGTTTTCAGTGATGTCCAGCTTCCATATGTGCACTCTGTGGTCTGCTGAGGCAGTGATTATTTCCACTTCGCCTGTTTCTGTTTCTATGGCATCGATTGATACGATCAGAGATCTGTGTCTTTTTGAGATTCTTTTTAGGCTTTTGTTTATCAGAGATTTAACCTCTCCTTTTCTCGTGCCCACTAGGAGGATGTCTTGTGTCTGGCATACTGCTGTTACTGATACTTTCTCTTTCGCCAGAACTTTTCTTTCTTTTGTCTCTGTGTCAATTGTTACTATTTCGCCTGATTTGTGTGCGATAGTGAGCTTGCTGTTGTGCAACTGCATTGCCGTGGGCGGTGCTCTGAGAGATACAATAGGCTTTTTTCTCTCTTCTATTTGTGTTTTTACTGGCATTAAAAAAGAGAATATTGTGCTAGAAATAAGTATGCAAATTTTTGCAGAGGTAGATAAACTGTCTAAACCGTCTATAAGTTTCCATCTCTAGTCTACTTAGATAATGCTAGGTGCACATCTTCTTTTTAACATATTTCATTGCATTATCAGAGACATGGTTTGTAAGCTATTTATTGTCATTGCATTTTTATTTTGCAAAGTATAATTATTTTCCATTACACATTGAATTGCTTATTTATTTGTATAAAGCTACTATTCATCATAGTTTAATTCATCTGCAATATTTTATGTACTTAATACTCTACCATCATGTCATATCTAGATTAAAATTACATAGTTGCATTGGTTGAATTGGTTCGAGAATTTCAGCAGGAGTAACCGATAGCTTACAATATCTACACCAACTTATGCACAGCTTGCACACAGCAATTCTTGGCTTATTGAAATGCTTAAATTTTGCCATCTATTCCATCATTGCCTATTACGGAAATACTGTTAAAAAATACCTTAATCCCTTGCACATGCTCTATAGCACTTCACTGCACACCCTGCTGCACTTGCTGATAATAAAGAGAAAGAGTGGCAATAGTTTGTTCCTATTTCTTATTAGTTTATCAATTTTTTACCAATGGCTGGGGGCTGTTTTCTTTGTATTTTTTTGTTTATTTCCATGGATGTATCTGATCTAATTGGAAACAGTCTTGCAGGTGTTCTATCTGCAGGAAGCGCTATTTTTGTCTGGTTCTTTGGAATGAAGTACTGCATCCTTGCTCCAATGATTATTCTGCACTCTTTCTCAAGCTGGTACTGCAGGAAGACGCGCACCCTGCTTGTTCAAAAGGTTTTTTCTGTTTCAAAGTTGGTGTTTTCTATTTGCACAGTTGCTGGCTTCTTCGTGGTAAGCAATACTGTGTTCCTATTGCTCCCAGGATCAAGCATGGCAGAGTCCATCCCTTCCAACATTGTCTACGCGCTGTACATATACCTCTTTCTGTACTTTGGATACATAGCATACATCCTGCACGGATACCTCAACCCGGCTCTTGCAGAAGACGAAGAGTCTTCCGATGTTATCAGACATAATCAGCTGAAAACGCTAACTAGCGTATAGCTAAAAAATTGCACAATTTTTTCCATATGTCAGAGTACAACAAGAAGCTGCGGGAATCGTATCTTTCTGGCCGCATAGCTGAAGAAAGAGTGAAAATGCAAGAACAGAACATCTACTCGTTTGATAAGCTGGCTGGGGTCGATGCGCAGAAAAAAGAAATACTGGAATCGCTAAAAATGCCGTTGGAGTTTTCTAAATTCTACGAGTATGTCGGGGTAGAAGCCGTGGTGGGCCTAATAGTGCAGGGACCCTGTGGGTGCGGAAAAACAGCCTTTGCGTACGCAGCTGCCAAGGAGGCTAAGCTCCCCATTTTTCCCATCACCAGAAACGATTTTATCGGAAAAGGAACTCCCCCCGAAGACAATGCAGAGGCTATCCTGGCCAAAGCCCAGTCGCATGCTCCATCCATCTTGCTGATAGACGATATAGACAGATTTTGCATGAAAAGAGAAAGCTTGGACAACGAGTCAGATAAAAGAGTGGTTCTTAGAGTGGTGGAATTTATAAGCAATCTTCCTAAACAGATAGTAGTTATTGCAACGGCTACTTCAGTAGATGATGTGGATCCTATTCTAAGGAGATCAGGCAGACTGGAAAAAGAGATCAAGCTGATGGTGCCTACAGAGGGAGAGAGAACGCAGATAATAAAAAAGCTGTTCTCCTTCACAGTCAATGAAGGTCTTGATTATCAGGAGATTACCAAGCTAACACCCGGGTATGTTGGTGCTGACATTAAGCTCCTTGTAACAGAGGCAGGACACTCGGCTGTCAGAAGGTTTGTAGAAAATCGAACAAAATCACTAAAATTTGCAGAAAACAAAGAAACCTTTTCCAGCGGTCCTGTAATCACACAAGATGATGTAGCAGCAGCTTTGGGCAGAGTCCAGCCGGTTGCAAAGAAGGAAGGGTTTACCACAGCTTCAAATATCTCGCTAGATGACGTAGGAGCGATGCACCACATAAAAAAAGTGCTGGAAATGGCGATCATACAGCCCTCACTGTACCCTGAGAGATTTTTAAAGGTGGGGATACAGAGGCCAGCAGGTGTACTTCTATACGGGCCCCCGGGAACAGGAAAAACCATGCTTGCGCGGGCTGTTTCAAACAAAACCCACTGCAACTTCATATCCGTTAAAGGCCCAGAGCTCATCAGCATGTACTACGGTGAAAGTGAAAGAGCCATACGAAAACTCTTTGCAAGAGCAAAAGCATCGCAGCCCTGCGTTATATTCTTTGATGAAATAGACTCAATCTGCAGAAGAAGAGATGCAGGCGCAAATAAGTTCGGAGATACTCTAGTGAATCAGCTGCTGATAGAGATGGACGGTCTAGAAGGACGAGGAGCGGTGTATGTACTCGGTGCGACCAATAGAATAGATATTATAGACAGGGCGCTGCTAAGGCCTGGTCGTTTTGACAATATAATCGAAGTACTTCCCCCAACACCCGAAGAATTAGTGGAGATACTGTCTAAAAAACTGTCTAAATTAGCGGTGGACTGTGCAATTAACCTGAATGAGCTATATTTAGAGGGCCTTACAGGCGCTGAGATAGATCTCCTTATCAGAGAGGCAGGTAACATATGCCTGCAGACAACTCCCATTGCAGACGACCCAGTTATCACACAGATGCATCTGGAGAGCGCTCTAGAGAAGCTTAGAGAGAAACAGCACGCAATTCAAAAATAAATAACAGAATGCACTAGCCGTAGTATAGTCGTATCAAAGCACAATTTAATGCAGCCACTCTTCGTACGTTATTTTCACTAATGTAATCAGTTGCAATTTAGCTAGTAGTAGATAAGATGCGTTTGGTTATAACTCTTTTGTTATAATTATGAAAGCACAGTTAAAGTTAAAATTTCAATTAAATTTTTATATTTATATTCAGGATGTACTCATTCGTTAATAAATAAACATCATATTGCATAAGAGCGGATAAGCCTACAGTGCATCTTTATCTAGTATGGCATACTGATGTTGCACACACTATACATGAGAAATACGCCCATGAAGATACCAGAGACCATTCCTACTCCTCCATATTTAGCCAGCTCTGACCAAGGAGCTATTTTTTCGTTCAGCGCAGACTGGCTGGTTTCTCTGGGGAGCACTGCTAGCTCGTTTAAGTCTTTTTTTTCTATCTCTTCTTTTAGATCGGATAGAGGAATAGATGCTGGCTTAGCTAGCTTGTCTGATAGATCTGTCAGAAGGCTTAGCATTTTCTCGTTGAAATGTGTTTCATAGCTCTCCAGTTTTTTTACTTGGTCGCTGTACAGTCCGCTCTTTTCCTCGCCTGTGCTTCTGCCTGTGCTCCTGGGCATGGCGGTAAATGTCCGAGGGCCTTCGCTTTTTTCTATGATGTCGTTGATTCGGGATAGAATCTCATTGCACTTGTCATTTGATCGAATTGGTTTCTGATTTGGAAGCACGCTCCAGTTGTAGAGCGTGTCTTTTTTAGGCAGAATGTTCCCTGTGTCCTTTATTTCATCGAATCTCTTCAGTCTTTCGTTCTTTTTCTGCTGGATAAACCTGTCCGTTACGCCCATGTTTATGTCCAGAGAGTTCTGTGTTTTTTCTGCTAGGTTTTGCACGCCTTCTGTTACGTCTTCCAAAATGCTTTTAAACTCGTACTGGGTTTCATCGGGAGCATCTGGAAGGATGATGGTGTTGCTCGTGTCTAGGTCGTAGTGCGGTGAGCCTTTGAATGTGTTTTCTATGTCGTAGATGTTCACTTTGTTGGTTTTAGCTGAGTCAATGATCACTTCAATAAGCCGCTTCATTATTTTTTTTGTGACTCTTACTCTTCTGTGGTCGTGCATCTTTCTTTTTACCTCCTGCAGTATTGAGTTGCTCTTAATGGGTATGTTGAGAATGATGGGCAGAGAGTCAAGTGAGAGTATAAGTCTCTCTATGGGCTGTTCTCTTTCAATGCCGTACATTCTGTCTATAAATTCATCTATGTATTCATTTTGTTCTGCCATAGTGTTTGTATGTCACGCAATAAAAATAATTTCAGATGCGAATGTCTCTAAATTGGCGGCGCAATAAAATATTTAAGCAATTAAGCTGGAAAAGTACCGCTTCAAAATTAAAAGAGCACAAGAAAAAGAGCTAAATAGGTTAGATACTTTATATAAAACTCGTATTTGTCTATTGGATTAGCGAAGAATGGCTACCGCTGCAAGAGCTATGATGATCAGAGTAAAAATGCCGAGAATCAAAAAGAGCCCTTTTTTCACGCTGTGTCTTCTCCTTATGCTTTTCAAGTCTGCAATGAAGTCTTTGTGCATGTAGACTATAAATGCAGACATTGCGTCTGACTTGTATGTGTCTTTTAGCTCTATGTATCTGTCTATCTCTTCAAGACTCACCACGTAGTAAGAATTGTTGCCAAGCTTTATCTTCTTTCTTCCTGACGCCTCTTCATGGTTAATAGCCTCCGCGTTTGCGCCTGCTTCAGGCACCTCTGCTTTGTTTTTTTCGTCTGTTTTGTCTTGCTTTTTCACGTCATCTTTTTCGGTGGCTGCGGGCTCTTTAACCGGCGGCATGCTCTCCACAGCTGCTGCGCTCCCTGATATTTCTTCTTTTCCCATATTTAGAAGGGATCTTCCTGCTATATATGCTCCCAGATCAAAGGACCAATAGAAATATGATTTCTACGATTGGATTGAACATTGAGTGTGCTTCATTCTAGATCAAAAGCTCATTTGTTTGGCGTAGGGGCACTCCTTTAATTTAGAATGGAAGGAGGCTCTTTGTCCATTTTCTAATTGCAATAAATATTTTATGGGAAATGCAAGAGCGTAAGTTTTTTAAATGACGCAGGAAGAAAGAAACAGAGGAAAAGTGGAGAAAAGCAAGAAGGCGCCTGACAGCATAGACTGCATCTTAAGCGACCAAGATGAACTAGACATCGACAACATCCGGCTGATTGACTACGGCGCAAAAGACGATGAGCTGCTAAAGGATCTCTCCATAAACGACGAGGAGAGCATAGATGAGCTAGACATGACCAAGATATACGAGAACGAGCTGGAGCAAAGCGACGACGACCTTGAAATAGGAGACGAAGAGATGAAAAAGATAAGAGGGTTTGAAGAGAGCATCAACCAGAAAACGAAGAACAAACGCAACATGCTCAGCACCTTTTATCCGCACATGGAGACGGGATACAACTCGCACGTCCCAGACCTGAACAGCGATGTAGATAACGATATATGCAAAGAAAACATCAAGAAGATCTATAGCTACCTGAAGGAAGACCAGGAAAAAGAAGAGGAAATACAGAGAGAAATTGAAAAAACGATAGAGTATATCGGCAATATCAGAAAAAATAATGAACAGCCAAACGAATAAATAAAATTACTTAGTGTTTATTTATTTTATTTTTAATTCGTATGGAACAACTCTGGAGAATAAAATGTGTAGAATATTTTACTTTTGCATTTTAAATAAAAGTTTCTTTAAAATTAGGTGGAATAATAAATGTTTATTTTCTTGGTTTTGTTTTTCCTTTGCTGCCTTTGTGTTTCTTGTTCTTATTTGCTTTCTGCATCTGTATCTGCGCCACATTCTTCATCTTTGTCTCTTTTTTCTTCCTCTTTTCCTCTCTTTCCTGGACAATCTCTTTGATTCTGGCTTCTCTGCTCTTTGCCTTCTCTTGCTTCATCTGCTCTACTTTGTGCGACAGCTCTCTAAGTATTTTCAGCTTATGTTTTGTCTCTTCTGATCCTGTCACCTCCTGCACTTCCTCTTCTTTTTTGAGCATAGATAGCGGGGCTCTTGATAGAAGAGCCTTTGGAATAGGCCGAAGCTTCTTCAGCACAGGCTCCTCTACTTCTTTGTATAAGCTGTCTGTGTTGTTTTCCACCTCTATGTTCTTCTTCTCTCTTATCTCTTTCAGAAGCCCTATCTCTCCTGATCCACTGAAGTCTTCGGCATTGAGGTATATCTTCGCAGGAGGAAGAGGGAAAAAGCAGGGAAGGAATATAATTTCGCTCATTTTTATCTGGGCTTCAAACGAGGCTCTAAACACTCCCTTGTCCCCTGCCTTTTTTATCTGTCCTCGAATTCCGCTTACCGTTTTGAGCATAACGCCTTCGTATCTAGCGGCTTCTTCCTGTGTGTGGAACATGTCCTTAACAAAGACGGTGTGCCCTTTTATCTCTGAGGGGTATCCTATCAGCTTCAGCTTTTTCATGATTTTCGGATGGCCGCCTATTTCTGTTTGCACTCCATTGGCTGCTATTCTAAAGTTTTTGTGTTCATCAAACTTTCTCAAAACTGTAAAGCTTGTGCCCGGAGGGTGTGTGGGAGCGTAGAAAGTTATGTTGCATGTCATCGTATCTGGTATGTACTTAAGCATTCTGTTTCGAATGGGGTCCTTCAGAGAAAAGACAGGAGTTGTCTGGAATCTGCGCCACCCCATGGAAATGTAGTGTGCTTCTTTTGTTTTAAGAGTTTTCTTGAACCATTTGTGTCTTTTTACTCTTCCCTGGATGAACGTCATTGAAAGCTCTTCCTCTTTGTTGGCGCCAAGGATGAATATGTTCTCTGGCGTGTACACTTCAGTGACCTTTTTTGGAAGAGCAATGAGCAGTTTTACGTACTTCCCTGGGGCTATTCCTTCGATGTGCTCCTTAGCTGTTTCTGAATGGTTTTCAAGCATCTGCATTGTTGCTTCCTCTGCCTCTCTCAGCTTCTCCTTTTCCTGTGTGAAGACATCTCTTCTGTCTTTTTCATGCTCTCGGTACTTTTCATTGAATCTCTCAATGTAGTCTTCTTCTGTTTCTTTTTTGTGTCTGAACATTCTTCTAACGGCTGCCTCGTCAAGCTCGTCGCTGTTTTCATCTTCTGCTGCGTATTCAATGGAGTTTATCTCTGCAATTACCCTTTCTTTTTGATTCTCAGAGATATCCTGCACTTCACCATCGAGCGAGTCTTCGCTATCCGTCACACAGTTTTCAGGAATTGCATCTCCTTCATCTCCAGCTGCATGATCAGCAGTGCTCTTTGTCTGTGTGCTCTGTCTGCTATATTCCTCTGGTGCACACTCTGGCTCAAGGTTTAGATGCTGGGAGGGCTCTGCAAAGAGCTTAAACTCTTTTTTAGCAGGTGCATCTGCGTCGTAGTACGAAGGAAGGTCTTTCATCTCCTTTGTTTTCTGTATCTCCAGATAAATAGCATCCTGCTCTACTCGCATTCCCCTGATGTCACTCATTGGAGCATACAACGGCTTTTTTCTTTCGCTGAGTTTTCTCTTCTGCGCGTTGGTCAGGGGGCATGGGTCATCTACCACTTCAATGCTCGCTGGACAGTAGTCTCCTATTCCAGGAAGGTGGAATGTAGTGCTTTTTTTAAGAGCCACTCCGCCTCGGACATATCCTGTGATGGAGAATAGCTGCATATCGCTCTTTATCTCCGTGTCTTTTGGTGTTTCTTCCACTTGCAGCTGGTCTGCTACGATGTACGGGTGCGATGCTCTCCACATAAACGGCCTGTACTTCATCTGTGCAATGTGTCTTGCAGCATTTGTCACTTCTCTGTCCAAGTACCTTCCTCCAATAATTTTTGTCATTGGTATGATCTTAATTCCATCGCATATCTCTGTCCATATTCTTTTTTTCATTTTTTTGATCAGCGCTCTCTGCTGGGACACGCCTTCGATCTTGTCAAGCTTCGTTATGACGCACATTATCTTTGGGAATCCGTGTGTTTTCAGCAAATTCAGCATTTCAAAGGTCTCTATCTCCAGTCCTATCTGCGCATCTATCACAAGAACCATGAGATCAGCTACTTTTGAAGAGTCTGTCATGGTGGCTAGGTTTGCTGGGCACTCGTAGAAACTTATTCTTTTCAGCTTTGACGCCATAAGAGTGACAACTCCGTTAATTTTTTCTATTTTTTGTCTGGTGTAGTGCCGCACAATTGAGTTCATTAGAAGGGTCTTTCCAGAGGAGGGCGGGCCAAAAATAACAACCATTGGCGGCGCAGGCTCTACTCCGTACTTTCTCATCACAATGGGTGTTTGGTATTTGCTCTCCTCATACCGCAGCTTCTTCTGTGCTGCAAATCTGCTCAAGTGCTTTTCGTTGGTTCTTGACTGCAGTTTTGGCTCTTTAGAACTTCCATCCATTTTTAATTTTGTAAAATTTTGCAGCTCTTCAACTGCCATATCAAAATTTCCTCTTTTGCTAGCAGGTGCACCCATCTGTTCCTTGCTTAGCATACGCACTGTTTCTATGCAGTTCTTGTGCGTGCAGTGAAGACCTCGATCCAGCTGACTTTTTGTGTGGCCATTAAATTATAAATTACTTTTCTCTTGGTTTGGGCTATGTTGCAAAATAGCTCGCAGAGAAAGCAGAACACAGAGCTGTTGAGATACGCCCTGTGCACAGGAATCGTGTCAATAGGCATGTCGTTTAATAAACAATCACCTGCTGCGCTAATGAACATGCACTCCGCGCGGATATTCCTGACTCTCCAGGAAGCAAAGGAGCAGTATGCATATTCGGGGATGGATGCCCTCCAGGCCGCTAAAACAGCAAGTGGGGTAGTAGCCTCCTGCTCTGTGCTTGTTCTGGGATACTCTCGGGTGTCTTGTGCCCTTGAAAGCGTGCATTTAGCCGTAGAGGCTGTGCGAGTGATTGAACAGTGGATAAGAGTGAGAAAAGTAATGAAAAGAACAGCAGGAAATAAACCTGCAAAGCAGCTTGCAGAAATGCACAATAAAGCCGTTTTCTGCATGGCTTGTGCAGTGGCAGAGTTTGCATCGTTTACTTTTAGGCTGTGGCCTGTTTATCTGTGCGTGCATGCTGTGAAGGGTGTCTATTTCCTGCACAAACTGCTTTCTGAAAATCCAATGTTCTACATAAACAAGCTCTATGAAACATGCCGGAATGCCATCCACTAGCTCTGCAATCAAAGTACAAAATAATCAAAACACACTCGGCCATAGTAACACTCTGAGATCACGAATATTAATAGACATGCTCCATATGATATAATGGATGTGTTGGAAGAAGAGCGCAACGGTAGCCAATCTTCTTACAGAATAGTAAAGAAAGAGCATATGTGCGAAAGTGCACTGTCATCTGTTAGGGCATTTCTTTATTTGGAGGTAGATTTTCAGAGAATGCTATCTGCACTTTGTGTTATTTTCTTTATGGTAAGAAAGCCACTCTTGTGCCATTCATTTTTTCTCGGAGGATTGCATCTCTCAATAGCTGCAGAGAGCATTGGCAGCCTAAACAAGCACATATTCAGAGTTTTCCCATTATTAGGGCTTCTTGTAGATCTGTTTATCTGCCAGCCCAGACAAAAAGTGCTAATTACTGTTTCAATCTTGGTTTTTTTATTGCTGTATGCAAAAATAGTAGCAGCCTACACTTTGCTCGATGATGATGCTGAGCTCCTGCTGATTTTAGTAGCACTGATGATTTTTATGGGTAGAAACCTGATCATAAACGCAACACTGCAGGACTTCACGCGATCCATCAGCGCACAGCAGGTTTACAGTGTCTGTGTGTCTATTGTGTTCATTCAAAAGCTGTTCATAGGACTGTACAGTATAATAATGTATACGTATATACATAACACATTGGAGATCCTTGGTTTTAGCGTTTTTCTAGACATACTCAGTGCTTTTATGGTAGGTATTTTTATAGGAGTGTCCTATGCTGTGTATGAAATACTTCACCTGGAGTGTTCAGAAGTAATTGACAAATCACTCTTTTTAAAGCTGCGCAGAACATAGAAAAAATAGAAACACTGCGATAGTGAGTATTAAATAAAGAATAGATGGATGTGCACTGCTGTAGTTACTTACGAA